AATTAAGATAGGTTATAAGAAATTAAGATTTATTTAATATAAAATAAGGAGATAAAGGTTTATAAAAAAGGAAAGAAAAAGTAAAGGAAAAGGCAATTTACATAAATTATAAATATTATAATGGTTATTTTATATTAAAATTTATAAATATATATAAATATATATATTACCTTTTAATAAATCTTTTAGCTAATTAAATCCTTCTAATTAATAATAACAAAGTTTTAAGATATAATATAAAAAAATTATTAACTACATTATCTCACAAATATCTTATTCTTTTTCCTATAATATTATTTAATATATTAATATTTTAATTAAGTTAATATTTATTTTTATATTAATTTATTTTTATCATATTTTATTATATTATCATTACTAATTTAATATATTATTAATAATACCTTCCTTATTTATTTTTTAAAATATTTAACACTTCCTTTATAAAAATTAAAATAAATGTTAAATAACAAAAGACATATAACTTAATTTATTTACTCCAATATTTAATTCATGCTAGCAAATTATTTAATTAAGAAGATTATGTTAATTTTAATTTTTAACGCATAATTATTACTAATAAAATCATATCTCCAAGCAATAAATTTAATAACTTATTATACACTTAATTATTACCACTAAAGATTAATAGGAAAAAATGGGAATAAGATTTATTTTTTAAACTTATCCATATCCTTTAATTATATAAAAAAAAGGAGTAGCTATATGTTAAACAAATTATAATCTTATAAAAATTAACAATATTAAATATCTTTAATTAAATAGTAAACTATAAGCCGATAATAGTTTAAATATTCAATTACTAAACCACAAGGGATTTTAGTACAAAAATAAAAAAAATCTTAAAAAATTACCCCAAAATAATAACCTTTTTAACATTCACTAATTTATTAAATCCGGAAAAGACAAAAGAAATTACAAATAATTTATATTACTATCTCTTCGCCATTTATATATTTAAATAAAAACAAATCTACGTATTTGATATAATTAAAAATAAAATAAATTAACAAACTAATCATATCGACAAACAATTAAAAGTAACTATAAAAAATTAAAATTAAACTTTTATACCTAAAAAATCAATTTTATTTAAAATAATAAATCAAAACAATAGATAAATATATAAATATTAATATAAACTTACACTATACCTAATTATAAAAAAATCAAAAATTTTACTAAATATAATAAAATATAATATAAATCTATACATTCTACTTAAGAAATATATACAATCTCTCTCCGCATACCTAAATATTAAAATAATTAATAAACTAACTAAAGAATTAACACTACCGGTATCCCCACAACCCTTAAAAAATATAAGCTTTATACCTAAATATAAACCATAATAAAAAACCCTCGTCACTAAAACTAAACCAAAAACATTAAAAAAACAATAGATCAAAATTTTAAATATATTAAAAACCTTAAAATAATTAATTAAACTAACTACTAATAATAACAATACGTTAATTAAAGAATTTTTAAACATAATAAATTTAAATAAACATTACTCGCATAATCCCAAACCATATAAAACCGATTAATATAGATATAAAGAACTTACTCCGTATATATAAACCACTAATACATATAAAACTGCTACCATTTAACCATAACCCAATTTCCTAATAAAATAACCAAATTAAAATAAATTTAAAAAACAACTTAAACAAATTAAGCTAAAATTTAAAAAAGTTATTAATTAAGCTAAAAACTATATTAAATAAGCTAAAACCAAAGTTAAAAAACGGACTAGGATTGTTAAGTTAAAAAACGAAAACATAAATAACTTTAATAACTAAATTAATTTATTACTATTAAAAACACGTTAATTAGCGATTTACGCGTTAAATCAAAATACTTTTTTATCAAAATTACTTCACTATTATTAATATTATTAATTTTAAAAAATATTAAATTAATATAATATCATATTGTTAAAAATAAAGATATTATTATATAATTTTAAGTTATAGGTTATATAAAGGTTTAATATTTATTATATTTTTTTAATTAAATAACTATAATTATTATTATTTAATTATGTATTTAATATAAACATATTTGTTATTTTCCTATATTTATAATTTATAGCCTTATTTTACATATTTATTTTATATATCTTATCCAATCAATAAATCCTTACAATTCTTTTAAAATATAATATTATTATTAGTTATTTAAGGCCTTTCATAAAGATCTAAACGTTGAAATGATATGTTATACTCTGCAAAAAATACCAACTCTTATTTAATAATTTTATTAAAGATTTTATTAATTTTATTAAATAAAAACCTTACTGCGGATTTAATAAACGTTATATTAATTTTAAATAGTTTTTTAATTAAAATATTAATATTTCGTGAACTTAAAAACATTATTAAAAAAATTAAGATTATATTTTCGATAAAATTAAACTTTTTTAAGTTAGAAATAAAGTTTGGAAAGGCCGGGGTAATATTAAAAGCTTTTCGAAACATAAACCGGTAATTTAATAACTTATTCCAATCTTTAAAATAAATCCTTATAGCTTTTTAATTAACCAATATATTATATTTAATTAAACGTTTTTTTATACTATTTAATAAATCGTAATAAATTCCTTTTTACCAAAATTAAAAATATAATATAATTAATATACCTTAATAAATTTATAACAATAACCTTATTTTATTAATAAAAATATACTTATATTAATAATTTATAAAACGTACAATAAGTATATTAAGATAAAAATAATATAAACTTTATTTATAAAATATTTTTAAAGAAATTTTATTATAATATAATTATTATAACCGTTAAAGATTAATAATTACCATTATTAACAATTTAATAGCTTTATTTCTTTTAAAAAAACCTTATAAAACTATTTAAATATAATATTATTATTAATTTAATTATTAAAAAACGTAATAAATTTTTAACTTTTAAATCTAACATTTTTATTATTAAAAAATTATTATTATTATATATATTTATTTATATATATAATAAAAGAATTTAAAAATTAACTATTATTATTAATATATTTAATAATTAACGTTTAAATTTTATTATTATAATTTTTAACTATAATACGTTTTTTATAAACTTTACCGATAATTATTTTATTATTTTTAACCCTTTCCATAATCTTTATTTTATTAATGCTATACATATATTTAACCAGGATATTTTTAATTTTAAAGATCTCGAATCGGTCGAAAAAAATATTAATATTATTAACTATAACCTTATTAACTCGTTTATAATCAATTAAATAAATTCTAACTAATTTAATATTAAAATAATGAAATAAAAATTATATATATTAATATTTATTAAAGGTATTAAGCTAATAATTATAAATTAATAATCTTTTTGCAATATTTTTAAATTAATATAAAAAAAACATATAATTAATATAATTCAACGTAATAATTTAATTAATTAATTTCTTTTTTTAATATTTTAATAGTTTCTAACGTTTTTTTAAATAGTTATTTTGTATTTTATAACTTAATATTCGGTTCGTAAAATAATATTATAATATAAGGTATTTTTTAAACGCTTACCGTAAAGATACACCGTTAAAAACATTATTTATCGCTATAACACAACGCAATTAAACTAAGAAAATAAGCATTTTAAAATCGTGAAAAAATAAGGATTTAAATAATGTTGGTAGGTACGTACGTAAATAGGAATAATAATAATAACGAGAAAGCAATAGCAAATAAATTAATGGTATTAAGACTGGTATATTAAGATGTTTAAGGAAAGAAGAATCTATCTGAGGCTAGCTAGGTATAGCGTATTCTTATATTCCAATAATAGTGGATACCCAACCCCCTTATCCAGTAGAATCAGGTATCTTATCTCTTTCTTCCTTATCGGCGATAAGGGCACCTTATCATCAGTAAGGTCCCTTTATGTCAGTGTCACACAACCATCAAATAATAAATTTTATTTTTTAATTAACTAAAAACTGATAAAATTATATAATAATTTGTATGTAGATTTTATCGCAAACGCGTCGCGTTTTTGAGGTGGCCCCCACTAGGGTGGCCCCCGTAAGGGTGCTTTGACTTATATTGACGGGAGAAGCCACGGACTCCGAACCATGCAGTTCAGTCTTCGAATATACTTGTAAACTTCAACAGGATTATCGTATTGAACGAATAATCCGATCCTACCGGTGCGACTTGCTAAGGAGAACCCCCCCTGTTGGATCTGTCCCAATTAGGAAACAGCTCTCTGATTGGTTCTGCCGTGGCTGGAATCCATAACACCACTCTATGTCCCTATTCTAGGGGGCAATATATCGAATTAATGTATGATAACCGTAGATGTATGGAAGAGGACCGAAATTCTCACTTAATCTTCTCGGGTTTTACGGAAACTAAATAGTCCAAAGTCCGTAGAATAGGAGGATAAAATGGCGTATTTCTCCCGTCTATCTCTACTGATGGTCATAGATGTTACCTACACCACTATTACTTAACAATCTTCCGTTATCATTCTACAACACCACTTAATACTATTCAAGAAATACTACTTCATAATGATGGTATCTCCCCGAGAATATATATCTGAGCAATGGCAAAAGCTCCCTGTCCTCGCTACGACGCAGACTTGTGCTGGAAAAACGTACATTGTTACAGGCTCTAATACCGGCTTAGGGCTCGAGGCCGCGAAACATCTAGTCCGTGTCCGAGCCAATAAAGTGAAAGCTTATATGGGATGAGATAACAAGGGTTCTAGAGGCAGTTGGTCCTGGCTGTTTGAGTAAAGTATTGTAATATGGGTGGCATTTTATGTACGGATTAGGAGTTTTATGGGCATAATTTATAAATACGGAAGACAAATACAGCCCCTTATAGACTATGATGACAAACATTCATACAGAGACTAGAAAATACTAGTTGCATGCTTTAGGTATGCAACCCTATTAAGATAATTTACGTACCTAGGTACACTCTAAACGATCCCATAATAATCGTCCTGGTTTATCATGAAAAGCGTTGATCCAGGGAAATTTAGAGAAAATTTGACATACGTCATCCCAACTTTGGAGACCCAACGATAGAATAACCTGCCTTATCCTCTGCATCAACTTCTCATCCTAAGATCTTTTGAATAGTGTTATTTCTGCCATGAGTAAAACACAGAGGAGGGTCTACTTGTTTTCTGCATCATCGGTAAATTCTTCTTGAACAAGGGCTCCTATTTGCTGGCGGAGAAGTGGTAGATCGGGGAGTCTATGCATAAGGGAAAGTAGGAAGTTGGCCATTATCATTAGTAGCCTCACGTGTATGATATTCTCGAGACTGTTAGCTGGGTCTGCATTCAGGGGTCTGATGTCAACTAGTCGATAGCTGATGAGGATGAGGATGAGGGTGTCATGATACGTGTACCCATCCATCTTAATACTATCATCGACATTCTCGTTAAGAAACCAAGTAAGACTCATAATGTCTGTCCAGACCTCTTTCATACGAGGGTTTAGCTGCACGAAAGACTGCGACGTGAGTAAGCTAGATATTTGAGACGTCCCAAGTCTCTCACGGAGCCAGTTTAGAGTAGCGACACCCGGCACATCGTCGACGCTAAACCGTGTAGACGATCCTAAATAAATAGCAAACTCGAGATCGGCCCTACTGTGACGTTAGGACACAGTCATATATAGTATTTGTGGCGGTGTTTCTTACCTGGATATCTTTTGAGCAAGCTCCGGTTTCTCTTTCATAAGCTGGGAGATTCCACCGCGGAGCTCAACCATCTGCTGAAGCCCTCTGAAATGGATTAGGGCTTGATAATACTGACCACACATCCGCTCGTATTGGAGCATTGAAACTACGGAGGCCAGTGTCATGTCCGACAACGCCTCTCCCTCGGATAGTCTCTGGTTGACTAGGCGGAGGCTGTCTGATAGGTGGCTCAACCCTTCCGTGGAATCCTCGGGGTTTGTCGTTGATAGGTTTTTAGCAGCGATAGACGTCGCTATAAAGCAGTGAAAGTCTTTGAACCGTTAGCTCGTTTTTATACGTGGGTTCGGTAGAGAGACTTGCATGCTTCATCTACAAACCAGAACTGGATCCATATCGACCCAGCTACAGAGAAATCAATGGCATTGCCGAGCCCAGGTTTATGAGGGACGCTGATAAGGAACTCGAAGGCTAGATGGTAGTAAGAAGTATGCTCATATGTATAAGTAGGTGCCCATCTATGAAAGTAGTCGTGGGTTCGGCCGCTACCTTTCTGAACAGGAGTTCTAGATTCTGGAGTTGACTCGACTGGTAGGGGGAAAACGGATAAGCTGTCTTCAAATTGCAGTTCTATCGTAGGTAATACCATGTGATGGTTACGAGAGTCCAAGTGTTCGGTTTTATAATCAGATTTGGCAATATCAGCTTTGATCGTAGCTCTTCTCCCCCGCGATGGGTGCTTTTTCCCGACATTCCGACCCTTCGCTGCTTGACTGCGGATCAACTTTATCGTGTTGCGATCAATTATAGTATTTTCGACGAATCCAAAAGTCATAATTCCTTAAACTAATAAGTTTATTTAATATATCTATAAATTTTGATCTGGATTTATGATGGTATCAGATGAGATAAGTGTAAGAATAATGAGACTCATGAGTCCGGATTAGCAACGGATATATCGGAGTTAAATCACGCTCGTCCAGGTTAATAAAATTAATAGAATTAAGTACCTAAACCAATGTGAAAAATGTTTCTACATTCCTTCTCTACAATCTATGTTTTTTTTTTTTTTTTTAAAAAAAAAAAAAACTTCACGAATAGATGATATCCTCTTGATCGTCCTCATCTTCCTCCACTTGATTTTGTTTCTCGTAATAATTTCGCCTTAGACCCTGGGTCATAGATGCTACCCTGTGAACCCATTCATCACGATCTGCTCCTTGCAATGGGGCATTATCGAGAGTCGCGTCGACTTGGGTCCCGAATGGTGATGGTCTATGATACTGAGATGTTGGCGCGTATGGTTCTTCTGTTGCCCAGTCGCGGCGAGGCGTTCCTCTCCGTGAGAACTCCGATCCAGCTCTGCCACGTGCAGCTGACCGGGCTTGTCTTCGCTGTTCTTCCAACTTCTTCTCTTGTCTCTGTTCATTTATCCTCTCTTCCTCTATTTCCCTGTCCTCGTCCCACATTCTTCGGAAGAGCTCTTGGTACTGGACTAATGTAGTTACCTCCCGGCGAAGGCGGATAAGATGGGCAAGTAGGAAAAGTCCGAGACATATGGACACGAGGGTCGAGGTCCACCAGAAAAGTTGTTTTGTATTGTCTTTGATACCATCTAGCTGAATGCGACCCGTGTAAGATTAGTCCAATCGGCGCATACGCAGATTTCTTTTTTTGACTCACCGAGCTCTGGAGATGGGTTACGTATTTGATAGTACTATGTAGAGCGGCTGATAATTGATCTCCAACATCCCTCCCGTCGTACGAGATGTCAATATTAGATTGTCCACTCATGGCCGCTTTGCTTCATCAAACAGCCCGGCACCAAAGCTCTTGTTGTCTATTGTAGCAGAAACGAACGTAATGTGAGGTTTTTTTTTTTTTGAAAAAAAAGGGCGTGCTCATAAATGACAATATGTAGATTATCTCGGGATTCCATTACAAGTCCTTGTGGTCCGCATTGGAATGCAGTGTAAACAAAGACCCGAATTGTTGAACTTCTCCTAATCGAGCTTTCGGCTCGAATTAGAATCCGTTTTCAAACTAAAGAAGTTTTTACATTATTGACGATAATAATACAACACTGGAAGATAAAGCTAGACATTGAGCTGCAGCGTTTACTATTTAGTATTCACAAGTACTCGATTTTGACGTCTGGTCGTGACCACGTGTTTTTAATATGATAATAAGGAGTTCTTTAGGATTGTAGTGTACATGGACTTACTCATATTGCTATAGTTTAGACACTCCGGTATACGTATATAGGCCGAGGCTTTGTAAAAACCCCAAGTCGCGAACGTGTATTGGAGAGCAACATGAGTTAAGAGTCCTGGCACCTCAAATGTAATTTTTCATTTCAGATTATCTAAGACCTAGCTGGTAAAACTTACTGAGTCACCCCAATCGTGGATGAGAGCTGCGAGTTTAGGACATTGTTCTTGGCCCTTGGCGAGAGAAATGCCTTCACCACCCTTGTAGGAGAATTGTTTCGCTGCCTGACTGTGAGCATATGCAATAAAGTCAGGAGCTGAGATCGAGGGATCAGCCCCATCCTCCCGAAGCTGTCTAAAGACCGTTTGGATTTCCCCAGCTTGGGATTTCAACGTAGTAACTGAGTCCTCGACTTGTTGATCTTCATAGACATGTCCACCCATTTGAGAGCTGGCGGCGGCGCTATCGGCTATTATGGAGTCTAGGAGGAGTTGGGATCCGAGTTCTGCATCTGTAAGCTCAGCCTTGGCGGCTTTCTCGAAGAACTGATGTATATCTTTTGAGAGATCATTGCCCTTCTTCTGTCGTGAAGTGACATAGTGGTCAAGCTTTCTAATTTGCATGTGTGGGGTGAGCGGATTAGCTTTATCAACGTCTATCGGGACGGGGCCGTAGAGTTCCATCTGACGCCGAATACTCTCAAGCAATGTGTGGTCCTTTACTTTGCTGCTTCCTTTTTTTTGGTCTGAAGGGGGATTCTTGGCTAGTCTTTTGGTTACGTCTAGGTCTGGTGTGTTGTTCATATGGGTAAACGTGCTGAGAAGGGATTGGTGATGATAAGCTAACATCTTAATACGATCTGCTAGGAGACGGAGACGTTCATTCATGAAACCAAGAATAGCAGACGTCTATATCGAGTCAGTTATGGGTTAATGTGTTTGAAATTGAAATGCCAACTTACATAGCGAGAAACGGTTGCATCACGTATAGTCTGACGCTCAGAGCACGTTTCGACCTTCTCCAGGATAGGCTTGAGAAATTCTTTTTCTACCACCATATGCGCAAGCGGCACCATCTCATCCCACAGAGATTTTATTTCGGCATATACATCATCGCGCTCATCATTAATGGCTTGCGCATTGTCAGGCGCAAAAGAAACGCGTTTATTAGGAGTAGCAGACGTCTCCAGAAAAACAGTATCTAATGATGCGCGGCATTTTGTAGCTAGTGATAAGACGATCCTATCGTCTAGTTAGTAACAGCGTAGAATGAGAGATATGGAATCTGCTTAACTGATTGGCATGGCGTCTGGCTGTCCGAAGAATCGCATCGTCATCGATAACATCGTCGCCTAACTCACAATATAAGGCATTTAATCTACCAAGGATATGATCATAGGATACAATCGTGGTTTCGAAAACTTGCTTTAGGGCAACGGGTTTTAACCTTTCATTGTCATCTGTCTCTAACAAGGTGGACTTGATTTGACCGATCTCTTCAAGTTGATCAGTATGGTGGCTGATTTTATTTTCTAGGTTGTGGATCTTTCCAATATTAGTATCAGGAACTATTCAACCTTTGGGATGAGTATATACCTTTGATTTGAGTAAATCTTTCCTGTGAGACAGAGCAAAGATCTTCTGCTTTACCATAGACACTTCATCATTGGTTTCTGGAGGTTGCTGTAAGTTAACAATGCTACGGCGAACATAATCTTTGTATTTCACCAGAAGTTTCTCAAGGACATTATTATACTGATTAATGTCATGGAGAGCAGCCTTGACCATGTTATGATCAATAGTCTTCTGACTAAATGGCATCTCAGAAAATATATCCACTTCCGCATGGGATTGAGTTGATCGGTGGCTGCGACTAGCTGATTGAAGAGCGTTTAGACTGCGATGTATGTTAACGATAGATATCTAACGTATATCAGATGAAAGTGGTCTGACGTACTACTTCAACTCGTCCTCTGATAGCACACCCAAGGGACCATTCGATTCAGCCAATGACACCAAGCGGGCCCATTCAGGAGATAACTCGTTACATATAAACGACTTGAGTAGGTCCTTTTGACTTTCGTTCGTGGCATTTACAGCCCCGCAGACTTGATTGAAGAGACGCATCTCGGTCTCCGATAGGGCCGAAAGACTAGTCATCTTGAAATATGGCAAAGCGGACTACCTACGAGATATCAACTGTCAGACATATGCAGCTATAGTACGAGATGCAGGTAGTACAGGAGAGAAAGGGGGCAAAAGGGGCAAAAGGGGTCGAACGCCAAGTGAACGGGCACTGATTCAAAAGATCTAATGCGGTGTAGTTGAATAGTTCAGTCCTCGTATTATTGAAAATGTAAGGCGATGTGGCTAAAAACCCATTGGGTGTTTCCTATGGATAGAATGAGATGATGATGTTGAGATGGCTGTATAGAGTGGTAGACTCCGGCTACAAGATGACATACTGACCTGAGATGTTGGCTTGTTCCCGTGGATGGAATCGGTGCTGCGGACAATCCGGTGACCCCCCGCTCGTAAATCACCGATATTGGAAACTGTAGCCGGTACGCGGTAATGACACGATATCGAATCTAGAACGACCTAGACAACTTCAAAGATTGAGTATGAATCCTTGACTCTGAAAATTGTGATATCCTCATTTGCTAGTATGAAAAGGCGGTCTTGAGTTAGATAAGTATAGCCGTAGGCTAAACAAGTTGTGAGATGAAGCTTAGAGAGTTGATGTATGGCAAGGTTGACCGCTTCCGTTGAGAAGGTTTATCTAGACTAGGAGGCCAGCTTGAGTTGAAGAGATCATGATGAGTATTGTAACTTCTGAAGAATCATTTGGCCGCTTATAGCTTCATGTAAGCTAGGATGTACCTAGGATATAGTAAAGGGGAAGGGATAAGCTTGGTGCATTGGTAGGTAATTGGTGTACACCAATTCAGTCCAATAACTTGCGGCTTGTTTCACGATATCCGAGATAACATGTGCGGTACGAAGTAAACGCGAAAATAATTATTGGGGACTTTTGTTTACACTTGACCTGTACTTCGTAGAATTTGAAATTCTCCATAAATGCATAAGAGGTACCTAATATTATGAATGCATATCTTCATATAAGTGCATTTTAGCTTGGCATCGGTTACGCTAATTGCATTGCAAGTTCTTTAACGATCAACAAATGAAAGATTTCTTATTTCGACTTTCTTTAATGTAGGTATTGCAGCTCTTTTTACCGTATTCTACATTTGCATACTTAAATCAAGCTTGAGCAAAAGCTTATCAGGATTCCTTCATGACATCAAGAGCCAAATTATCAAACAGCAATTGGACATCTTTTAAGACAAGGGTCCTTCTAGACCAGAGCCGCAACCAGCCGCTGGACAACCTGGACTTGCAGCAAGTTGTAGGTGAAAATTCATACCCGCATATGCCCGCATTCACAGTCCAAAGTTCCAACTACAATCACCGACATTTTTGAGATAAGTTATACTTAGGTACATATGGGCAACGTTTTCCAGTTAGCCATGATTCTGAGAAAAAAAAACTTGATATTTGGGATCTTCAGTGAACCCTTATATGCATGACTGTCACTACAAATGACGTCGGCAAGGCTGCTGGTCACAGTTACAATGCGTCGTGTTTCTGTGACAAAATAGAGACGATCCGCCATGTCCGTCTGCTCAGAGATAGACAGACAAGGACGTACAGCAACATGGACTATGATGCTTCAATGGTAGCGCCGTCGGAATGATACGGATTCACTTAGGCTCGAAGATGAACAATTCCAGATTGCCCACAGAGATCTTCTGACTTTATCGCATCAACGTCTAGAACGGTTCGCATTGCTGGGCTTGTCTCATACGCTGTGTTTGCAAGCAAAGGGTCCTGAATGGTCCGCCTCCAAACTGTACCACCTTCAGTCCAGCGGTCAACCATTCATTTCCTAAAACGGGACACGAGCTCTTTTTTATCGTGGCTTTTCCTGAAGACTGGTCCCAAAGTGCACTGTTACTCTTCCTTCAACCTCTTCACAATCTCTTCACGGGTAGTCTAAGACCTGCTTTCGTCTTAGTCCTACTCTCTCCAGATAGTCTCAAGTAATATTGGTGCCAAATCTAGAAAACTGCAAGCTAACATACCTACATAATACAAGATCTAATTCTTTAACAGGATGGGATGTCCCAGCGCTCTGTTTAGACACCGGCCATGCGTTTGCATGTGCATGTGCCAACCCGTCTCCGCTATCCCTCCCCGTCGCCATGTCAAAGTGACAGCGGCCGAATGTACCGACACTCAAGACTTTAAGCAGTGGTAGCAAATGCAGATTAACATTGGGCAATGCTGCTGTGACTGGGCTATCCTTTTTGGCTTGTGCTCATGAGTCTGTATCCCATTCTTGTCGTCGTTGTACCTACTAGGACCCGCCCGGTTGCCCACTTGCCTGGCTAGATACGTGAGACGTCATGGAACCGTATCTCCATGCCATCCTAGCATGGTTGCGATTGACCTCAATTCCTCTGTACTCTCCAGGTACTTCTCAGGAACTTGTGCAATTATGAATCTGCCATGCGTTTCGGCTGTGGAAAAGAAGTAACTTTGATCTAGCTAGTCCATGTTGAATACTCGCTTCCCGAGTCACAGAATCTTCCGTCAAACGAACTGTATCAGGTAGTATATATCCTAGTTGTTCCCAAACAGTCTTTTTAATCCCTTTATTACTTCAAGACATATAATCTTCTAGAACTCATCTCTACCCCGCTGTATGTCTTTCCATCCCGGAGGGCCACAAACTAGACCATGAATTCAGCTATCCAACAGCTATGTAGGGCTCTACATAAACCAGAAACAGCCAAAAGATACCGGGATGCTGGGATAGGGTTGGCGTTTATTGGATTGAGTCAGGTTCTGGTTGTTCCTATCCAGATCACCCTTGATCTCTACTCCATAAACCTCCCAGCTTCTATCCTGGTGATGCTTCTCTTCTCATTCCTCCTCCTCATCGCTAACTGTATTCATGGGGGAACTGAGAAGTTATACTCCAAACATTTACGCGGGCCGACTGACTTCCTTGGCCGTCACATGTCTTTTGGTTTCGTAGCATCCTTTGTAATGCTCAACAGAGACCACATATCCAATGTAATAGACATCCCTAGAATTGCCGGGGCTTTTTGTAAGTTGCCAGATAGCATTGCCCCTTGCGGAACTTAACTAACTAAAACTAGTCATCACAACCTTTGCGGGTTATATTAGCACATACTTGGTTGCGTTCGGGAGTTCTAAGCTAGAACAACGACTAAGAGGTGTACGAGAGAAAGTTTCCGACGTCGAAAGCCGCCCTAAATCCTGGCCTAGTCCCTCCGCAGCATGGCCGGCTCCGCCAACAGATAGGAGTGTCAAGCGAATATCCCAATTGTCTCGGCTAAGTGTCGCTATATCGAACGAGAGGTCTCTTATTTTGACAGAAGCGGTGAAAGGAGGTCCTGCCTCGCAACTTATAGAACAGATCGTACGCACAGGCCCGCTATGGATTTGCATCTTTCTACTTGCCACTGTCGGGGTTCCGGTATATTTCGCGACTAGGTACGAGGCGCCGTTTGAGCTTCTATGCTTCATCCTATTCTGGATTTTATCCGTCCAGTTTCAGAGGTCATTGAAGACTTCATACCGTCTCCTAAGGTTTCCATGCCTCAGATCAGTAATGGTCATATCTGCGAATCCGGTGCTCGTGACTTGGGCAATTGGAACAGGTTATCTCTGGATTAAGACAGGATATCGAGGACAAAGCATCGATGTCACTATCACCGAATTTCACTGGCATCAGACTTTGGCGGAAGGCATAGTTACGATTGTAAAGGGCGGGGGGATATCAAATAACATTGGTGCTGGTGACCTATCTGGACCGGTCTTGGATGCTGGCATCGTCTGTATGGGGTTCAAAATGTTCGAGTACCGAAAAGAGCTATGGGAAAGTATATACACAGTGCTAGCCACATGCGCATTACTTACCATGGCGAACGTCTTCCTCAACGTTATACTCGCCCGCGCATTGGGATTACAGCCCGCTGATGCCCTGTCCTTTGCTGTCCGATCTGTTACTATTGCTCTTGGGGTGCCGGCGATTGAAAGCTTGGGCGGTAGTACTACGCTTATGAGTGCACTTGTTATTTTTGGCGGGATCATCTTCCAGATGGCTGGAGATTGGCTGTTCTCACTGCTGCAGATTAATGACCAGGAGCGCCAGTTGAAATCCAACGACTCGAACAACAGTAGTTGCACGGAAACTATGGGGTCTACGGATATGTGGAACGAGAAAGACATGCAAAAGCAGATTGCTAGGACCGACAATGCGGTAATCGCAGCCGGTGTGACTGTAGGCATCAACGCAGCAGCGATGGGCACAGCGCATCTAATAGAGCGGGATTCGAGAGCTACAGCATATTCCGCATTGTCAATGACGGTGTTTGGGGCTATGACGGTAGCACTCACGGCGGTTCCTAGTGTCTCGGAGACTATAATATCTCTGGCATCGAGATGAGGCAAATCCCATATTTTAGAGACCCTAGTTAGCGATTACGATGAGATATGAGATATGAGATGAAATCACGTTGCATGGAGATTTCGGGCATGGCGAATGATACCACTACATGGGTTTTGATAGATATGGATGGGGAATAGGAGCATGCTCCGAGTCGAAATTTTCTTCTCGGGAGATTTACGAATATAAATTAATATTTCCTCGAGCTTATTCTCACGCAGTGATATCATAGTCGTAATCGTACTCCCAATGGGATCGTGATCGTTCAACCGACTTTCCTACTAGCATTAGAAAATTCGGTTGTCCCTTAGCCGTCTTACGCCGGGTACCGACAAGAGAGATATGGACTCGGACCGTAATTTAGATCGCGATTGAAATTCGGTATCTTACTAGTTCAATCACGATCCGGTGCGAGATGAAATCCTGTAAAACTGCCGCATCGTCGATCCCATAGCGCACACATACCTACCGACGCAGGCGCTATCTTTAGTCCTCGCAACGTCGTACGGCACGGCGCGTCCCATAATTTCTTAGTTTCTACGTTATGGGCATGCGTGTTTTTGCCTTCTAGAAGATATTGAGAGAATGCCATACCCATTTGTCGAACGCATCTCAACCTACATGGGTCCGTCCTGCTGGATCCTAATATGTATCTAGTGTAGATTAGTCTACATCACCATCCAGGGGAACTATAGTAACCGTAGTACTGGAAACCGAAGACATAGATATGCAGGGGAATACGAAGGCCCTTGGTATCGCAATAATACCGAAGCCGTAGAGGAAAATCATACTTGGCTCACCTACATCTTTGCGATATTTGGTCCTTCGAAATGTAAAGTTGCATGTGTAAATACATTATTATGGTTCTTATTGTTTTCAAATGTATCTGGCTTGCTTATCTCCCAGAAATTACCATGAGTTTTATATGGCTTATAGGCCAAAGTGTGCCTTGATTCGGAAGACTTGTACTTCTCACTATGGATCGTGGGCTAACATAATAACTGAATGACCTGCAACTTTAACATATATCTGAATGAGGGCTTAACCTATATATTTACTATTCGATGGAAATAAAAATAATATAGCATGTCTAGGGGCATGTCTAGGTACCTTTCATTAAGTGTAGGTTGACGTTAAGAAATATAAAAGGGGTAAGACGTGTAACTAAACTAGAATAAGATGAATAAAGGGGTATAGCCATGAAATTTACGGTAACCACTAAATGATATAAATATACAAGATCTATGAAACAATTCAGGATATCTACTTAGAATCCGGTTCCTGCTATAGAACTATGTGAGGTTTCGGGGAGAAAGACTCTTTGAGTTGTATAGAAGCGTCACATCACACGCTATTTTTTAGTATATAGAAATTGAGCTGTCCTAGATGTGCCTCCTCGTTCTAGGCTAAAGAATTATGAAATTCTAAGCAGTGGCTTAACATCATGTTCGGTGAACCTCATGTAGAGGCAGCCATGCGCGTAATTAGCATGACTTCTCACCCCTAAAAATACACAAGGGTTTAAACTAATCTTTCGATTAGATGGAGCCCACTTGCGGTTTCTACAACACCACTCATCTGACCAGGTTGTAGTGCGAAAGCAGCCTCTTCAAATTCCTTTTGCATGTCTCCCTTACCGAAGTATCCTAAATCTCCCCTCTTTCTGGCCGAACTGCAGTCGCTTTCAGTCATCGCGATCTCTCCAAGAGACACGGTTCCACTCTTGATCTTCTGCTCATGACCCTTGATAATAGCCATTGCTTCCTCCTTAGTTCGGGTAATTTTGCTCTCGCGCCAGCTCGCAGGTCGTCGGCTGTCGCGGTGTTTAACCAGTAGGTGGGCGGCACGGATTTTGCCCTCGGGGTGGCTGACGGGAGCCATCTGAGAGGAAGTAGAATGGTGGATTGCCATATATTGTTTCAACTTCTCGGTATCGGTTCCAACCGGCGGCTCCCAGCGAGAGACTTTCTCGCTCGCGTTGAAATAGTATGGAAGGTTCTTGGAGTTGCTGTGGCGCACCTCCCAGTTAGGTGGTAATCCCGAGTCATCCTGACCGCAGGAAATATTAGTAACTGCTTTTATATGAAGATGAATGAATGGGTAGAACAGATCTGCGACTCTAATCCCTCTAGCGAGCTCGAGGTTAACTTACCATGCTGGCGGTATGATACGAAGACTACTATTTGACTGATGAACAGCTTTTATAATTTATTCAATAGCTGTTTAAACTAGGCTGGAGCAAGAGTATACTACAGTCCGGAGTATGCGTCGGTCTAGAATAAAGAGTGGACGAATTTTCTGATGTTTACCTCAAGGGAAGCTTTTCAAGCTCAGAATTGAAGCTATAGCTTGTTAATTGAAGCTTCCTTAAAAGTCAATTAAATCTAAGAAGCGACAATATAAGCTTTGCTTTTCTATCCTTCTCAAGATGTATGAAAAAGCGAGTGGCGATGACGATGGCGTTATGGTGTTGTGTGCTGATGATGCAGCGAGTTGCTAGGGAAGAATTGCGTCGAATATCAAGGGTAGGTAGGTAGGTACATACGTAAGTACCTTTCCCTGACCTTAGGTAAGAAAGATCACGAGGATGCTGTCAGTTGAGCGGGGCAACACTGACCTAACGACGGAATGAGTTTGAAACGCGGGGTGGTGAATGGGTGAATCTAAAAGTGATTGGTCTACAGAATCAGCGTGGATCATTGAATTAGTAGGTACCTAGGTACCTAATAAGGTCCACGAGTACCAATCAGGTGGTCCACTGGCTATGGGCTCAAGCCACATCTATGTTAGTCATCTTTAAGAATACTTTCTCCGATGTTCCGAAGCTTCACTGCGCAAAACCAATTAAAAGTTAGCCCCAATATTACTGCTAAATCTAGAATACACTAACCTGATTCTTGAGCGGTCACTTAAAGCTTGACAAAAAGTGACTAAGGTCTTTCCATCTTTGATTAACAACAACCACCAAACGGCATCGGTCTTTCAACATTTCATCTCACATTTTCAACACCGTATTGCGAACAATTTAATATCCAATCTTGGCCACAGGAAACTGCGATAAAATACATAAGCGCAGCTTCATTTCATCAAGGATAAGACTATCCCACTGGAATTATCATCTACCTAGGTATTTGACAACCATCAATTCCCAAGGTCTCGTCGCATCCTACTCTACCATTACATCCAGCTAGTATCCAGTGCCATCAGGAACCTTGCACAGCAACATGTCGTCGCCGGCGCCAAGCAACGACGGGGACGCTCCCAAGAACAGCCAGGAGCAGATCACTTTCCGTTTCTGCGCAGAGTGTTCCAACATGCTGTACCCCAAAGAAGATGAAGATGCCCATAAGCTTCAGTTTACCTGTCGCACGTGCCAATATACCGAAGAGGCTACGTCTTCCTGTGTCTTCCGTAATGTTATCAACAGTGCAGCAGGAGAGACAGCTGGTGTGACCCAGGACGTGGGATCGGACCCGACGGTTCGTAATCATATTTCTTCTTCCACCCAGGCTTCTCCCCATCCCCGCCCCCATCTCCCTACTTCTACCGATTGCAGCCTGGCTGTCTGTCTAAGATGTGGCGTGACGCTCCTCCATTGTGATCGGTGCAAAGACCCTGCATTGGTTGACGAGTACAATCATTTCGTTCGACATAACCCGGATTACGCCGTTACAAGAACCTTAGACTCCATACGATTCGCTAGCTATTGGGCTTTCCAGGATGAAGAAGGGAAGGCTGCTTGGGCCGACGAATTTGCTTCATGTAGCGAACCAGCTATTCCCAATCTCTCACAAGATAAGGACAGTCTTGCCTATTACATTTCTGGCAATAACTTCCTTATGTCACCTGATGCCTTGGATGCTGATCCTCCCGAAGCCCTTGAGGATCCTCCCGAGTATGGCGACGTGTCGATGCCTTACCCTGAGCTCATCTCTGCCCAGTCAACAAAAATTGCTTCGCAATGATCTTGTCCTCTAGATTTGATGATTATATTCTCATATCTACGTCTCGTTTATACCTACTTGTCGCATATTTTGGGCAACAGACAGACCAACAGACAGACAGCCGGGCAATGGCATGCACATAATTCTCTGGATTTCTCTTCAGTACTGGGCACCCAGCTTTGGAGAGCATGCATTGTATGTATTCTCTCTTGGGGAACCTAGTGCTAACGCCTTGTTTTCTTGGCATCTAGCTTCCGCGGTCCAACAAAACTTGCCCCATTTGCAAGCATGAAGAAGCCGTATTCTTTCAATCCCAGCAACGAAGCGCGGAAACCGGCATGGTCAGTGCTCTCCCCAGTCTTAAATAGTGGATTGATGAGAGCTAAATATCTAACTATCTCCCGACAGAAACTTTTCTACGTATGTTGCGAATGTGGTCACATATTTCAGTAAAGAGGATCATGATGGCCTTTGATCATGAAGGATCATGAAGGATCATGAAGGATAGGTTGCAGCATATATGCAGAGACTTTCATCCGACCATTAAGGTCATTTTCAGTACTGCATGACTCGGCGTTTGGAAGCGATTCCGCGGGATTTCTTAAAGAAATTTCCCTGGCATGGAAAACTGCACTTTGATATGGTATCAATATAATTTAATTTCTCGGTACAAAGTTACATTTACATATTGTGGCTGTCTGCTGCACCCCACGCCTGCTGCCAAATGAAGAGCCGGGTACGACTGGGGCAGAGTTTCACTACACGTATAGGCGAGGGTTTCGAGTGATGTAATGAGGTAATATTTGGGGATTTTGTAAACTCGATTGCGAGAATAACGCGCAATTTTTCATATCGTGTACTAGCTATTTAGTACGACGCTGGTATGCCTTGTCAACGTCTGCTATATACGCGTTTAGTATATAATACATGATTTATAGCTTCTGGTGTGTTGACGCTCATTCCCTTGACTCATCCTAAAACGTCAGGGCTCTTGCGGTTGACGTAAATATAGTTTGCCTTTTAACACCGTCTGCATTCTTATAATTCATAGACACAGCCCCTCTCATAATGTCGCCTACGCCTAGGCATGCGCGGGTGCCATACTCAAGATCTTGCTCCATCCCCGTCTCCTTAATTCGGCACCTACTACGCCGTTCACACGAGTGCCGATGGGATCTCCGGCCTTGTTGATAAGGACGCAGGCGTTGTCGTCGAAGCGGACGACGCTGCCATCAGGGCGCTGGACCTGCTTCCTGGTGCGCACAATGATAGCGTGGCGGATATCGCCGCGCTTGACTTTATTTGCTGCCGAGGCTGCACCCATACCAGCATCACTTGCGCCCCGCTGCTTTTGGACGATGGCTACTATTCTGTCACCTGACGTATCTAGTTTAGCGGCTGGTGGTCCTCAAGGGATGATCGATTGAGATATATTGAGATGTATGATGGAGCTATGTATGAGATCTGAACCTACCAATGGTCGCGTGTCTCTTCTGGCCAACTACTAGGGCACATTCGACTATGGCGGCACCCGAGTTGTCGATGCAGTTAAGCATCGTCTATATTTCCCTCGAAGTTAATATAAGACATACCATGGGTTTTGAAATGGTCTTATAATACCTTAAGTTGAATCATCTTGGCCGGCTGATACCCTTGGTATCGGGTTCAAATCCTAGATAATGCGATGCGGTGGCACGCGGAGGTATTAAAGTGCTTAAATATTGGTTTGTTTGAGGTCGAAAATTTGAGGCTCTATCAAAATGATCTAAGGCTGAATTTGTCAAGATGTAATATTATTGGTTACTATCTTAAGGTCCTGACCCTAGATCTAGTTAGTGGCTTTTCATGATGCGTCTAAGTGGCCCCGCCGTCTGTAAATACATAAGTGGCTTAGGTATTTTGGTATATCCAACATCCATACCTAGGTACCTAATCATGCAACCCACTCACCCCACACACGTGACCACCTATTGCCAGGTCCACGGTTCGATTCCCAAACCTCGATCCTTTCTCTTTTAATAGGTTTATGTAGTTAGGGTTAAAGGAAGTATTGGGTATGGCCTTAAGCATGCTCCAACTTCATCGAAATTTATTAAAAATCATGGTAAAAAACGGGAATCAATTGTAATACGTTATACTTGTTCGAAAACACCGCAATAAGAGATTAAAAGGCATAAAAGAACGATCTTCAACTCTCACCATATTAATGGGGTTAGAATGATGTTAATTAACCTAGGTAGGTTAATTAATATGTAATTACTAGGCAAGGCCCAATAATTGTCTGTATAGTGAGTAATTACGTAATCCCATACCACAGTACGTAATATATCAAAGCGGGATCTTGTTGAGCTTTGCAAAGGACATCCCGCATACGAGAATACAGCGTCTCATCTTCCCCTTGCCCATTATCAAACACAGCCTCTCGCAACTTATTAACATAAGGCCCTAATGGCATATAATAAGGCGTAAAGTATTTCTTGATTGTGCGGTTAAAAATACCCCCTCTTGTCACAGTGCCCATCTTTAATTTTGCCAATCCATCCATACTCATGTAATTCCACTCGTTAAGGTCAGGAACAACTTTGCTCTTCCCTGGTCCATCGTAATGTATGCATATCCAGAAAAGCACCCAGAAGAAAGACTCAAGGTCGTGCATGAAAGAATGCTGCTCGCCTAAAAGAACGTTGATAGCCATAAAAGCTCTTGTGCCGGTTTTCTCCTTGGCACCCGAAGCGCTTTCTCGTTCCTCTCTTATAGCAAGATCTAAATCAATTAAAAAAGAGGACCAGGGGTTACTATCATTATTATCCTCATTGATCATGAGGTTGTTAATTGAAATGTCTCTATGCAGGATGCCGGCATTGCGTAAGGACTCGTGTCCCTTGATACAGCCTTCTAATGCGGCAAGAAGAGCTACGCGCGAGCTGGCTTTGTAGATGGGTTGTCCATAATCGCGAACAATAACGCGTCGATGGATGCGATTTGGTAGTGTGTTGCGGTTAGCTTTGATTGAAGACTCTGAGCGGGATCTTTTGTTCGACGGCAGGCACTCGCTAGTTTGGCTAGATGATCTCTTCTGACCGGCGATGCTACCCTGGGATATCTGGGAAATCCTACGGGTATCTAAGTCATGCGGCTGGTAGTTGGAGGCTTCGGTGATATCTATCCCTTTTCGAACGCCGTGTTGAACATCATCAACACTGCCATCGACAAGAACGGTCTCGTGGTAATAGTACCTGGCTACGTTACAGACGTTCTTTTTGGATACCATGCATAACAAATCGCCTTCTACGTCCCGCTCGGGGTACTGCCACGAATCCTTGATCACGAGTGTCGTGGATGGGTCCCTCTCCGGGTGAGCCTTCCAGCATGTGGTTGCCCGACCTACGACACAAGGCACTCGTCCTATTACCTCGTCGATTACGATGCGTTCTAGTGTTCCATCCCGGTTTATTTCAATATACCGCTTGCTATTGAACCGAACAAAAGTTGGGTCGAATCCTATATCCTTATCCTCTAGCCATAAAAAGCCGAGAATTGTTGACACAAACTGAAGCCCGTTTTTATTGATATCAAACTGCGTCGAGGCGATACAGCCAAGGCGGTCAAACTCCCACACGCGCATGAAAGATCCGCAGAGAGTAAAAGCTAAAACGAAGCGTCGGGTATCTTGCATGGCAAATACCTCCCTTACATATCTTCCGATGTCTAACCATGCCCCGTCTTTCCGGTCTTCTTTTGGATTTTTTTTCAGCTCTCCGGGTATAAGAATCCGGGACCAATCTGCTGAGGCCTCGGGGCAGCTCACAATACCAACATCCAGTTTGCGCTTCGCTGTTGAGCCCCCGAGCGGCTTGTTTGGCTCTGCCAATAATCCTCGTGTCGGTGTTCGCTTGTAGTCTTGAGCCCACAGAGCAATTTGTTTGATTATTTTTTGAAGCCAGCTTAGAACAGCTGACTCCTCGGCATCTCTCGGCCATCCAGTCCATCCTTCGCGAAAGAATAGGTCTGGTTCCTTGCAGCATCTTTCAAAAATGGCTCCAGATGCTATTTCTAAATTCAGAATATTACCGAAGAAGGTCTCGTAAAACCGTGGGACGTTAACGCACATGAGGCCAAGCTCCTCTTTGAGTATATTATCTATATTTTTGCGAAGTTCAGAAGAGTTTACGAGACTGACCATGTTAGGAGACGACGCCGTCTGTTGAAAATGAGAGGCGATTGTTCGGGGCGGCAGCGTAGATTCGGTAAAAGTATAATAAACTTGGGCCCAAATATCTTCGTCGGACTTCTTATTAATAACTGCTCGCAAAAGGGGCTTAACGCGGTCGAAGTCGAGGTCGCCGGAAACGAGCGAGAGTTGAAGCCGTAAAAGGTCGGCTTGAAGAGGACCACGCGTCCGAGAAGGTAAAAGTTGAGCAACATCAACTTTTTGGAGCCCCTGCAGGAGCTTAGCTATAAGATCCTTCACATCTATGAGTTAGTTAGTAGAGGTGTGCCGAGAAGGCTAATTCACCTATCTTACCTTTATCGCTAAACTGGCCAAGAGCCTCTCCGGAGGAGCAGATATTTCTGCTCTCGCAGCAAGAACTAAACAACGTGAAGAAATCCTCGAGGCTGTTACCGATGGGATTATTTCTGATAATTTCAGACCGATCTTGATCTTCCATAGTGGGTTAAGATGCGTAAAATAAAGGGATGAATTTATAATGGGATTTAAAGGCTTGAGAGAACAATGCAACGCGACGCGACGTTAAAAAGCTACTACTAGCTAAGGCCTTGTATCTTGAATATGTGGTCTTGGCTGACGTCGCTATGTATAAATATATGGTAAGCTTAGGTACTTAAATTCAGCGTAGGTACGCTAAATTTAAGTAGCTTAGCAGGTAGCCGACACAGTATTAATACCTTGAAAGGATGATGTTCGAATACGGTGTCAGGGACCGCCACATGTATATACAAGACTTTTGGCCCGGACCTTCGTTAGGTACAGTTAGGGTTACTGGTTCCATCAGATGAGGCTTATAAGATGCGGTGGCTAAGCAATCTATACCTATGTTAGATTAGGTAGGTGGTACACCCCTGGTATTGTTAATCTGGCTAGTGACTTCCCTCCCGAATTGATCGACTGATTGCATCAGAGGTCTCCCCGGGGTCCGGACTTGGTTGACCTGCCACCCTCTTTTCCCACTTTTCTTGCACTCTCACTTTTGCGCCGACTCAACAGGGGGCGGCACTTCACCCACGGTTCCTGATAGATTAATTAGAACTACTCTTTGTTTCTTTTTTTGGTTTTTAGACTCGAGCTCACAAATAGATCATTCCAATTGGGTTTCCTCTATTATTCAACGACGACTATCCTTTTAAGAGTTTACCCTCATCGTACTTAACAGCTTTTCTTTGGTCTTTTCTTTGGTATCAATGAGAATTGCCGTGGTCAAAAGCCAATATACCCTCTTCTCCCATCCTCTCATTCCCTTGCCCCGGCTCAACTTTCGCATGACGATATATATCATAAAACTTGCATTTCTTGTCCATACCAACTATCTCGCTCGAAAGGCTTGTGACAAGAACTCTAAAAGGCATTGATTAGCGTATGCGCTGGCGCTCGGAGGCACTTGTCAACTTCAACTCGGCCCCCCTTGACTGCATTTCAGCCCAGAAAAATCATCCCATTGCAACTAGGTGTCACCCTTCCACCTTACTCACATCTTACTTGCATGAAAAAGTCGGACACTCCTTGGGCCGGAGAAAACTTGTAAATATAATTCATCTATCCTAGGATCACGTCCTGCATATCTGCACATTACTTCACAGTAGACCCTTTAGAGCTTTTGTTTTGGCTTCATACATACTATTGTATTGCAATCCCTCCTTGGTCTGGCTGGGTAAAGCTGCGTGTCGCAATGCCTCCCAACTCGTCTACGGCATTGAAGAAGCAGCAGATCACTCTCTCGCAATTATCATCATACGACGATATACTAACAGATGCCCTTGTTGACCATGTGAGTGGAAAGACCTATTCTCCAACAGCGATGGTGCATTGTAAAACGAGGAAGAACTAACCATCTTCTCCAGGCATACTACTGGACCGCAATCCCCAAGAACCGCCCATCCTACCACCCTTCGCGAGGTGTAAAAGAAGAGGAAATCGCTAAGATTATCCAATCTCATCTTATTGTCGACCCTAATATCGAAATTGCTGAGTCTAAATTACTCGCGACAGACGGACTGCGTAAATTTCATGATGCCCTCAGGACTCCGAAAGAAAAGGCCGACTTCCGCGCCCATCTTCGTCGGTACATGCAAATCTACCTGCCCGACTGTCCCTTCGAGGTTAGCTCGACGAATCGATATACCATTGTTACTCACGAAGCAGCAGTGACTGCGCGAAAGTTTGTCAAGAAAGGCCATCCAGTCAAGTACTTGTCGGGTATCCAGGTGTTAATCACAGAGAAGGAGGAGAAGGAACTCTCCAAGAGGAAGAAAGATTTCAGTATCGTAGTTAGTGCAAGGAACAAATGCGCAAGCTTGTTCATGGGACCTGCGCGATTCGCAAACCATGACTGTGAAGCCAATGCGCGTCTAATGATCACTGGTCAAGCTGGAATTGAGATCATCGCTGCAAGGGATATTGAAGTAGGGGACGAGATTACCGTCACATACTCTGAGAACTATTTTGGAGCCGACAATTGCGAGTGCCTATGCCGGACATGTGAAAACAACTTGGTAAACGGATGGGCACCAGCCGACGGTACCATAGCCTTAAAGAAGAGCATTGAAACAACTACTGCGGAGGGATACTCATTACGCCATAGGAGACGAGATGATAGTTGCGCGTCTGCATCCCGAACCCCCTCCGTTACGCCGGATATCCGACCCCGAATTTTAAAGACCCGATCCAGGACGTTGAAAGGAGATTCTGAGATGGGATCTGCATTTGGGTCTCCAGCACCCCAGGGCATCTTACGTCAAAAGCGAAAGAGACAGTTCGAGTCGCTACAATCACCACCGGTTACTCCTGACAAAAAACCGAAGTTGTTGCAGTGTGAAGTTGAGGCTGTACCAGCTCCTCTAAGCTTATCTAGACAAAGTAGCGACGAGGGTTCAACTAGTACTAACTCTTCGGAAGGGGAGAGTATAGATATGGTTCTGACGGATGCCACAACGCCCGAAGAAGATGTTAAAGAGCCCATCCTAAAGTCACCGACCCTGACGCCTGCGAAACTATTAACTGGTTCTCTTAAACAGGAAGACTTGGAAGCATCCCCACTTTCCGAGATCACCTACACACCTTCAAGTCTTGAAGCGCAAGACTCGATAGCTGTCGCACCATTGCCTACCGTTGAGAGCATTGTTCAAATCGATAGAGCTATACTAACCCCCCCAACTAGCCAAGTTGAGGAACCTTCATCAGATATCGTAGTACTTCCAGCCCCTATAGTTGCTATTACACCCATCTCCACCTCGACGCAAGCCATTACCTCTGCTCTTGAGGAGACGGGGTCCTTGATTTCAACCAAACAGCCTAGCCCCAAGCGAGGCCGCCCTAGGGGTAGACCGCCAAAGAGCGAGCTTCCAACTGCCAGCCACGCAACCGAGGAGCCTGCACCTCCATCTCGTACCCGAACTCCAGGAGATTATACTCTTACCCCAGTGCTACTTTCCGAGCCTAACACCGCTTGGATACATTGTACTGTGTGTAGTGAGCCATTTGTGCAGTACAATGCCTATTATACGCGAAGTTCCTGTCCACGATGCGAGCGTCACTCTAAGTTATACGGCTACCAGTGGCCCAAAACTGAGAAAGAGGGTAAACACGATAAAGAAGAGCGTGTCCTAGATCATCGTACAGTTCATCGATTCTTAACAGCGGAGGACGAAGCAAGAATCCGCGGACGAAAGTTACCTTCGATGACTACTACAGCTACGCCTGAGAAGGAGACTCCAGAGAAAAGGGGGAGAGGCCGACCTCGAAAAGTACGCCCTGAACCAGGCCTCGAAGATGAAATGTACAACGAAGAGGACGACGAACTTGGTAACATTAGACGAAGTACAAGAAAACGGCAACCAAGTATAAAAGTTGCATGTTAGCATATCGGCATATAGTGATTTTGGCAGTATGGGGAATGGATTAATTGGTTACTTTCAACAGTCATTGTCCCAATATGGGATATGAGATATGGGACATATTTCCCCTGGGCATATTCCCGGCGTTATTTGCCATAGCGTTTGCATCATCTGTCGAGTTGAATTGTAGAATTGTATATCAGACAGATAGGTACCTTACATATCCTATCTAATACTTACACTGCAGCTTGGCTGCTTAACCCCCTATTTTTCAAGATTCTACATGACCCGTTCGATGGATTTGATTGCCAGCTGAACATACACTAGAATAATTGCCGACTTGTTGTCGATCACGTGTGCAAGAGAGGTGCTACATATGATGTCGATATGTGACCTTGTGTACATATGGAAGATCTCCAGGAAAGTCTCAGCCACATTTGACGTCATATCATATGCTTAGACCCATCTCTTTAGCCGTCTCTCGTGTTTCCAACAGCAGCGATAGGTACACGTACGCAGGTACATGCACATATTAGACGTTTCAGGGGTTTCCCTTGAAACAGCTTTCCATTGATGTAATAACGTAAGCTTAGCTGCTAGGTTAGTTAATTGCTTTCCGTTTCTTCCGCGTGACACCTTACGATGTTGGCTTGACTTTACATTTCGCATCCTCCAAGTGAGCCGATTCATTGAACAAGCCAGCTCTAATTCTGGCTCTAATTCTGGCTCTAATTCTGGTTTATTTAATTCCTACCTAGGTAGCGAGCTTGTTTTAAATTCCCATACTAAAGTTTAGCACCCCGTTTCACCAGTTCAAGTCTATTCTTAACGTTGTTTATCTCCACTTAGAACGTTACAATGAGCCGCTGGTCGCAGTACGATACCGACGAGGAACGCCTCCCGGAGGGCATGCAGCGTATTGGTTACGATTCCGATACCCAAACCTACACATTCCGCGATGCCGAGGGCACTATCTGGGAGAGCGCACCCGGTAACCAATACGGTGAACTCCATCGCGTCAATACAACATACGCACATTACGGTGATGAGGAAGCACATGATGCAACAGAGCCACTGCACACAGCCTCCAAGGGACCACATACTTCTTGGAGACATGAGATGATGCCCTTGCTCAATTGGTTCTTACTGGTCGGTCTGTTCCTGATCCTCATCTTTTGGATCATCGGCGGTACAACTAAACGGATCGAACCGATTACCTGCGGAGAGCACAGCAGTCCGTACAAGATCAAACCTGGCGATACATGCTGGGCCATTGCCGAGGGACATGATGTCCCACTCGATTCTCTCATCCACAAGAATGAAGGTCTTGACTGCGATAAGCTGCCCATCGGTGGTACGGTATGTATCCCAAGGGTCTAGATCGTTGCTACACCAAGGGTTTCAGGGTCTTCTGGTTACTTTGGGGTCCTTGACACGGCAGTATTAGCTTGTGAGCTTTCGTTATCGGGATCAAATCATTTCGCTTCTTTTGCGTCTACAGATATGTACAGGTAGCTGTGCTGGCTTTCCCCATTTAGATTCGTGTCTCGTGCCAGGTTTACATATTTCGGTTTCTATCTTAACTATCTACCAGAAGAACCTATATACAGCTTCCCCGGCTTTGTGTACGGTTCTCTCTGTCTCGGCTCCAGACAGTAATATAACCCGACACTTGCCTACTCCGTTGAACTTATCTACGAGCTGTTGGGTTGTCTTGGGCGAAGTTAGGACGTATGAAAATCAGATGGATCAACGCGAGCCACGACAATACTTCGTTGTAGGTTTCAGTAATCTGCCGGCATGGTCGATAGCTTTCCGCCATCATTGACGAGGATGAATCCATTACAGAAAGAGCCTGCCTTGCTGGCCAGATAGAGGACAGCGCCAGCCATTTCATCATCGCTTCCGAATTTTCTAGCTGGAATAAATTTAGGATCGTCGACCGACTCTGTAGCTGGATCGCGTGACCCTATCAAATTTGCTGCTAGCTCAGAAGGGAACACTGCAGATCAATTAATCTTTGGATCGTTGAAATGGCTGAGAAGAAACTTACGCCCTGGAGCAAGTGCATTGACCCTAATACCGTGCCCACTGAGACCTGTACTTGTGTGCTTAGTTAGATGGACAAGCGCTGACTTGCTTCCCGCATAAGCAGGCGGAGACAGGAATGATCGACTAAATCCCGAGATACTACTGGTGATGATAACCTGGCTCTAGGAGTATTTTAGCAAATGTAATTGAGTATTGAGCGTTTGTCAAGACTTTCATACCTGGATTGAAGGAGCTTCACTACCTTCCTTTATCGGAGCTCCGAACCCCCCTTCCAAGGCCCGTTTGTTACCCGCATCTAAGAGCTCGAGAAATGCAAATATGGAGAACATGGTACCAGTCACGTTTACGTGGAAGGCATTGCTGAACTCCTCCATGGAAGCTTCTTCAAATAGGTTCTTCCGAAGCTCCGAGATGGATGCTCCCTTGTTCCAGGCTGCCCGTGGACCGAGAACACCGGAGTTGGCGATAAACAAGTTCACATAGCCGATGTCTTTTGTGATAAAGTCAACTGCGGATTGGAGGGAATCCTTGGTCGAAATATCACATTGTACAGGAATAATACTGGGATGTGCAGTGGCGGCGGTTTCGAGAGTCTCTCGTCGTCGTCCTAGAATGTAGACCTTCTTTGCTCCAGCCCCTGCAAATGCCCTGGCCATAATATGTCCAATACCTATAAACAGATTAGATGGGATCAGAAAAGATTCGGAAGTGTTAAAACCTTACCACTTCCACCACCGGTGATGACAGCCACCATGCCATCCACGCGAAACAATCCGGACGAGTCCATTTTTAATTCCTTGATAAAGAAATCAACGAAAGTAGTCAAATTAACCTGTAACTGGGTAATTCTGCTGAGGATATCTTGGTAAAAACTATGAACATAGGTGTCTATAAGTACTATCTTCCTATGTATGGTATGCAGCACAGGGGATGTCCATAACTATTGGGACGAGCCAATAATGTAGCCGATTAACCTAGGTAGTTGTGAAAAGCCTCGGGGTTAAATGTAAACGGACCTCCTAATGTCCGTGGGATGATAGGTACCTAGTTTGAAGCAAAATCCAAGACATGTGCTAGTGCAATCTAAGTTAGTTCTTGAGTCTTCAAATTGTTTCTAGCCAATTGTCGAATTCGTAGATTTAACTTTCGAAACCTGAGTGGTTCGCTTAAAATTTTGAGTTGCACAATCCCCGGTGACAGCGTTTGGATTCCGATGTACGATATTGGGAAGATATCATGTCGAATAAAACTCGCTTCTCGTAGATTTCACGACCATTCAATCCCGCCCGGAATTAAACGGCCTATTGCCGCATGTCTAGAGTAATCATCCCGAGATTTAAAATATAATCAAGTGCTACACTAGTATGTTAATCAGTATGGTCAGTATAGTGAAGCGGTCGTGTATTCAACAAATAACATATGACTGGTATTGCAGAGCCTCTAGGGTCACGTTCTCGAGGGCTTCAATAGGATATTATCAGCTGCAAAGTACGGTGGTCTTAAAAATAGTGTATATTCTCGAAGATGGAATAATAGTATCACAAGTGTTTGCAGTACATTGCTAATATCCTAGAGTCTTAATATACCATATACAATAATAAAAAAGGTACACATCGTAGAGGTCTAAGCGGAAGTGACAGTACTCTAGTTAAATTTAAGCAGACGGTCCGGTCCGTACAATCATGAATTTTAACATGTACTTAGCTCCCATCTAAAAATTATAACTAGGCTATTATAATTCCTTTAAGCCAGTTTCATTATTGAAAATTTGTCAGTAATAAGTCTTTGCTGGCCTGGTCAGATAGGTCCTCGGCTTCCTATTCGCTTCTAAGTTGATATCATGCATCTATGTATATTCTAGTAACTCAAAACTAAATATCTGCTATTCCTATTTTGCTACCCTAGGGGCTAAATTAACACGGTGTCAACCCTGCATTAACATTACAAGATATTAACAGAATACGAGTTGGCGGGGATATGGTGGAGTCAACATCATACCTAAACCTCTCCTATCCAGCACACGAGTTCACTAATACCCATGCTTAGGTAGGTAACAATTATTGATATAGTTATGTATTAAGAACCAAAACTTACGTAATACCTATTGACTATAATAGTTAACTACCTGTTAACTAACTATTCCTGACTATCAAACTCGAGTTTGAGTGACATGCATCTTATGCTCCCTATAAATATATCTACCATCTTTGTTCTCTATGTATACTTGCTACCCCACGATATTACAAGTTCCCCTCTCCTTCGCGAAGCCTAAATCCAAATCTACATTGATACCAAGAGGAAATAAATATAATAAAGCTTTGCTATTATTCATGTAAGGAATTGTATGTCGGATTGAGATGTCGCTCAAGAATTACAATATTTCATACTCTATACAATATGCTCTAAGCCCACGAATAATGGAGTGGGGCAATTGAGTAACACAATACGAAGCATTAACCGCCAAATCTATCACTCAGAGTATAGATCTACTCTCATGTTGACATTTTCGTCTAAGAGTCGTCTGATGGGACAAATATGAAACGCAATTCTTAGGCCAGGTTATCTGCCGAACCCACTATATCGTCCAGAGCACGTCGCAGATCCTCAGATCATCAGAGCAACATATGTAGTAGTAATGCGCAAAAAACCCATTAGCTTGGTTAGTCTGGGGTTTGCCGATCTCACGCCAAGCACAATTCCGGCTGAAGTACGGACGTCAGAGCGCATCTTACGAGGTTGAGCCGCGTCGACTTTCACCTAGCGTGTCTCCGGCTCCGGGAGTGTCGCCATCGCTCTTCTCGGACCCTACATGTCAACTCCAAGCGCGTTTGATCGACCTTGGGGGTTTGGTGTAGGAGCTTAATTGACGCTCATCGTCTGTTGGTTACTGGGGAATTGGAATGAAACTAGTGCAATACTCAACTGAAGAAAAACTACAAATAGACACAGGTTCCGGATGAATAGATGCCAGAATTTTAAAATCCATCTCGCACATAAACATATCTTCCATTCTTCACTGTATAAAATATCTCTTACGACCTGGTGTCGCTCATTTTACATCTAAATATTAGTGTATATTCGATTTATTCCAAAATCCTCCTCCGTCAAAATGGTTCGCATCAACATTGCCGCTCTCCTGACTCGTAAGTCCAGTCATAACTAAAGTTCTTTGTCTGGATTACATAGATACTGATTATTTACGCCTCTTAGTCGCCGTCGCAGCTTTGGCCCAAGTTACGCCTAACAATGCCGGCGCCAAAAACGTAGGCCAGGCTAACGGACAACAATTCATCACCGGTGGTTGCACTTCTAATGCTGTCAGTACTAGTTTTATGCATCATTCATGCATTCATGAAGCAACGTTTCGATAGGTCTCTTGGTTACTAACTCAACACCAAATGGTTAGGACTGCTCGTCTGCATGCTGCGCCCAAGTTCAAACCACAGGCCTAGGTGTCTGCTCCGCCGAAGCTGCGTCGCTTCAAAACGGGAAGTTGGGCTGCGGCTTCGTCGACCCCAACTCCGCTCAGACTATCGCTGCTGCTAAGGCTCAAGTCGCAAAGCAGGGTTTCTAGGGTGGGAATTTATAAGGCATTTGTCGTTGGGCTAAAGGATTTTGCCCAGAGCTATGTACTACCTATGTATGGGAACTTAGATCGAGCATGAACTCCGAGAAACATATATCGCATCAATCAATAGACGTTATACACTATTAAAGTCAATGCGTGATAGAGTACCTTGCATAATATCCTTCGTGACGAATCACAGAAACCAAGAGTTAGATAAAGGCCCACGTCCCATCTAGACGCCCGGCTTAAGGCACTGGCTTACCCCTAATATCGAGTGGATGTTTTCGTTGAACCTACCTACCTACCTATCCAATCCAGTTGTGATTTCTGCTCTTCTAGCCCGTCGGCATGTTGCCAGTTGCTCTCTGCAGTTGCGCTTTGTTTTATTACCAGACTTTCCGTCCCGCTCAAGGCAGCTACCACATCTTATTTTAACTACCATAAATATCAGATATTACGAAGTGCTTGAAGTTATTTTTAATGTTCACTATACAGATATAATAGCATATGAAGTACGGAATATTAAGTAATCCGTACCATCAAACTCTGTTGTGTATACTTCTAGATCATTAGATTCCTAAACCACCTTCTTATTACGCCATAGCCCTGTGATTAGTCGCCTGTGATTAGTCGACATCGTCATCTTCCTCTTCCTCTACCTCATCGTCCTCGGCCTCGCTCGCACTCTCCCTATCCATATCATATGTTTCGTGTAAGTAATCTAAGTCATCTCCTGACAATGCGATACCACTGAGGATATTGCACATGTCCTCTGGCTTGAAGAAGAATTTTCCCATCGTAGGCTCCCGAGGCCCTATTGCCCCTTCATCCTGCTCATCATCCGAACCCGACAGCGGCTCAAAGCCATACACGAGGAGTAGCCCATGATCCTCAATATTTTCGTTGACTACCACTATGAAGACGTGAGGCCACCATCCGGCTGCCAGAGCCCCGCCTTCTCGCGGTTCCAGCTCCTTGTCCATGGAAATATGTGCATCGACGATATCCTTCAAGGTCTTGCCGGCAAAATTGGCGGTAGGTACGGCCGGCTTGATACACTTGGTGTTCATGTCAAACTCTTCCCATTCTCCCTGTGGAATGGCGGCGATCTCGTTAATTCGGGCCTCGGAGACGCTGTTTGTCATGCTGTAGATGGCGAAAGATGCGCCTGTGCAATCAGCTTGGCCAAGAACATTGGTGAGCTCCGGCCGAAATGGCGGGAGCTCTAGGTCGAGGCTGGGCACGGCCATGGCGATTAATTCACAGTAAATTATTTGAGGAAAGAAAATGTGTTTTCTCCTCAAGGATGACGATATGAGTGTATTTGTATCGAGAGGGGAAAAGAGGCTTTATCTGTCGTGTAACATTCTATTAATAGGTACTTTTCTATCCACCCCTTTCATTGTTAGGCATGGACCTGCATATATGTGTCTTCGCCTTACCTGAAATGTTAACGTATGACTGTCCAATAAACATGAGGGCACCGAGAGGGTGCCCTCTTGTCAAAACGCTCAGAAAACGCCGTGCGGACGAACTTTCTCTTTCGAAAAAAGGCCCCCAAGACAATATCCCTCGTAAAATTGGGAAAAGGAGGGCACCCCTTAATTCTGCGGCGGGGAGGGGTGCCGCAATAGCCCGAATTTATGAAGGTTTGAGGAATTATATAATATAAAAAACGATACGTATTTCGACAAAAAGATAGAAGTGAGCATCTTCCAAGAACATAGGATGCATCCAATAAAAAGCTCGAAAAGGCCTCGCATAGAGGAACTTCCTATTTCAAAAAAAGGAGCCTGTGACAATAATCCTCATAAATTCGGGCAATCAGAGGCAATACAGTATTTAATATGCCCGCAACACGCACAGTCTTTGCCTAGTTTCTCTTCCACTAAATTGTACTTGGCAGGATAAATGGAAGGTGATACATGCTTACTTCTGCTGATTGTTTCATCCTTCGAATTCTCCGTCTCTCGATGCTCTCCGTATAAGCACAAGTCCTACGCTCAGTACAAGGTGCAGTCTTGTAGTTGACCTATCCAATTAACTGGTAGTAAATTATTGTCGATGTCCTCGTATTCGCGTCATACGGGTGCAGCCTTCTAGCTACAGCTGCCTATATGAATTTAGAAATATGTCTCTTCTGTTGTATTACTCCTTGGCCTTTAGGGGCGAACTAATTTCACCTCATGAGAAGCCACAAAGATCCTGTATGTAAGATAGTCCAATCTATCGCAGAAACTGAGTTATAATTAGGATAATCTGTCTTCTAAATGTAGAAAGCTAAGACAAGGAGACTTGGGGAAACAATCCTCTATTATTGACTCGAGTCGGTATATATTCTGCTCAAGATGTGTTCTAGTTCGAGTGGTTGAACGGAATATCAATGAAACCTTCGAATCAAAGTCTTAAAGCCCTCCATATTGCCATATCTCCTAATTGAAAATTATTTACATCTTTACCTGCTTGGTCCCCTTCTCTCCATAATGAAGCTACTTTCCTTCCCTATTTCTCTTCTCTTATATTCTGCCACGGTAGTCATAGCTTCATCCGAAGTAATCCACCCGCATGGCCTTGAACAGAGAGATATTACGGGCCACTCCGAGCTTGCAGCGAGAGCTCAATTCACCTTTGTAGTCCAGTGCTCACCATACAAGGGAAAGGATGGCACGCCCCGAAAGGGTGCTAGGGGTAAGTAATTCGTATCCTATCTGCTATAATCTACGCTCTAACTAGCTATTATGATTCGACAGAAACTTGTAATACTATGGTTAGCTTTATCACTATATATACCTGTTTGAATAACTTCCTTTTTAGTGTGACCTAACAGTCAGCCTTTATAGTGCTTTGGTACGTGATGAAGTTTATTATTCGGCTATAGTGCTAACGAAAGAGTAGGCACAAAGTGTCACTTTAAGAAAAATACTTATACTTTTGATGGAGCCAACGAGGCCAAAAAGAGGCAGAGACGGCAAAAAGCTGGGTGCAATCCTACTAAACAAAACAGTACGTGGAAGTCTATCAGTCATGGTTATTAAATCTAACTCCAGGCGAATTTTAGTTTGTAAAAAAAACAAAAAGTTCAGAGGAAAGACTGGCTGTGATGAGTTTCCTTTAGCTTCAACACTGGAAGCCGACAAGGGCAATCAGATCTTCCGCTGCGTTCCAGAGATTGATAACAACAGTAAGAAAACTACCTACATATAAAAGACCTTATGCATATCTCCATATCAAGTGCTAATCAGTGTATTGGATGAACCAGGTCAGGGCGGACAGGCGAAAAGTTTCACGGGAAATAAGAGCCTCTGTACCAAATTCCCGTGCAAGTTCAGCTTCAGTTTCGAAGGTGCTAAGCCTTATAAATACGTAAGTAAACCCCTAGTCTAATACTATGAGCTCTGTTCATAGAAGTCAAGAAGAATTTCGATCCTTATAGCACAGTCCTAAGGATTAGGCCCGAATTTTGAAATTTCTGACCGGAAATTATAGTGTGCTAGCAAACCCAATTGCAAGAGCGACGGCAATTTTTTCACTAAAGGCAACAAGCCGGTGAAGCGTGACCTCGAGCTAGAACCAGAGGTTGAGCAGGGTGGATACTATCAACTTCGCAGTGGCGCCACTATCTGTATGTACTCTTCATATTCATTTATTAAACTGTCTCTATATATTTCAAGCATCTAACAATAAGGGTTAGACTCCCCCAGCGACCTCGAGATCGGGAGTTTTGCTGTGCGCAATATTTACGCTAACCAGACCATCGACGAAGCTGAGGCGGCTCATCTCGAGGCTCGCGGGCTATTTGAAGATGGCGATGATGACGATGAAGAGATGATTCAGGACGAGATTATACAGAAGCTGTAAGCTTAAGAAAATATTCATCATCATAGTGTATATAGAACTATCATCATGGATAAAGGCAGGGCCATCAACTAACCCCACATGGCTAGCTATGCTGCCATATACACTCATTAGATAGCTGGCTATAACTTACTCTCCTAGTCATACAATGTACTATTACTGCACTTATACGATACCTTCACTCTTTAGCGACCCTTGATACGGCGCGTAGCGTCGTTGCCCCCGAGACTCTACGAGGCTTATTACTCTAAGGTAAACCATAACAACTATGCTATCCATGTTCTAGGTAGTAGTCACATAGCTTATCTTATGCTACCTATTCAGGACGGAATATGGTTTCTACCCAGGCTTTGATTTAGATGTCATGAGAATTTGTTATCATAAAATAGTTAGCATCGTAATGCATAATAACTGCATTCTCCCCAGGTACTTTTTAATTCATGTTGTTTAAGCGAGAGGTTGAGAACCCCTTTTCCCTGTTCAAGGCTAGTATTCTCCTGGACTTGTGTATGGTACTGCTATAGGATATGAACAAAGGAAGCATAGTTGAACGATACCTTGGGCAGGTATGCCTTACACACTAGAAATACAATAGTCAGTGCCGAGAAATGGGTTCATTGGCAGATGCAGACACTTTGGGCAAAATAAAGAATTATGTTAGGAACAGCTTAACTTACGTCGCTAGATTTTAGAAAGGATTAAAAACTATTCACTGCTTTGCACGGAATATTTTAAATATCGTAGATGATAGTTTATTGGCGTCTTCAGAAGTCTGAGGTTGTGAAAGACAGCAAACTTTGTTCCTAAGGTACTTAAACAAGCGTGGCGGACTTTACGACGCGCTGACGTGGTTGTGTGTGGATGGTTGCTACATCAATTGGTCCATTAATTTAGGTAGTCGATTTATTAGGCGGCTATGATTCTGTATGTTTTTATTGACGGGCGTCATCGTCGCAAACACGACTCAGTATCCCCCCCCGCACCCATTACAACGGGATTGTATTGTGGCCCAAAGAACTGCCTTGGATCTTTGTGCCTAATTGTCTATAAGTCAAAAAAGAAGCTTTGTGTTGTCCGGTATCACATATGAATTCTAACCTCGTTGATTTTATTTTGGCGAGAATACAAATGCAACTCGGCAGGCCGTCCCTGCGCCTGCGCTTCTGTCGAAGTACATCATCTTGCGATATACCAAAAGGATAAAGACCAAAAGGATAAAGACTGTTCAAAATACCATGGCGAAAGTACAAAAAAGCAACTATCTCCCTTACCTTCAACAGCTCCTCGACACTCAAGGCGACACGGAGGGCGTGGCCATAGAAAGCGTATGCGCGATCTGCCAGGAGAGCAAACTGGATATCTCGAAGAGCACTAGGGAATTTACTTCTTCTATCGAACCCCCAAAGGAACATCTCCAATTACATCGAAACTTTGTCGACTATATCAAACATGACATCGAACGGACTGTAGCTCTTGCATGTGGTCATGTCTTTGGCGATCGATGCATCAGGAGCCTCTTAGCGCAAGGATCAGACCTCGTCTGCCCGTCTTGTGGGTTTAGAATGGCATATCAAGGCTGCGGCCACGTCATCCCGCCAGCCCTAATCCCAGTTGAAGGCGACAATCCGATCCGGGACACATTTCCCCTGACGATCCCCGAAGGCGCAAGAGATCCGCAAAACTGTATGGAGTGTAGATGGAGGCATATTCGATCGCATATCCGGTATGCTCTTGCCGACGAGTGTGTCTTATGCCGGCAAAGAACACTCGCTCACGTACCTTTAGACGCAGCTGGGCATCGGGCACATAGAGATCAACATATGAGCATGGGGCTTAGACAAGCTTTAGACGACATCCTAGCGCTTGTTTGGCCTGAGTTCGTGACACGCGAGACCAACGAGTCCCTATCCAAGGCTTCGGCTGAAAGTGAGCGCCACCAAATCCACGTTTCACTGCTAAACGCCATGGTTCGATCGGAAATAGAGGACACAATTTGGTATCGTACCAAAGCCGGCAGGTCGACTCACCTAACTAAGGAACAGTTGAGGAGACATACCCGTGGGATGGCATCGATCGAGCAGACTCTTCTAGGCTGGCTCATGGACTCTACCCGAGAGCAGAGGCGGATGTGGTAGATGATTGTTGTTGTTGTTGTTGTTGTTGTTGTTGTTGTTGTTGTTGTTGTTGTTCTTGTTATTTCACCGATAGGACATCCGGCCTCGACATGGAGTGGGTGACTCAGGTTGCAAGGTTTATAAATAGGCACTTTGTATTCAATAAAGACATCAAAAACACGGTCGATCCCTATCCTACCTAGTTAATACCGTTTGGCCCCCAAGCTGCGCCGCCTTACGACCTTCCTTACTATCAGCCGTTTTCAGTACCACGTATCATGTATTGGGTAAAATTTCATGTTCAATCTAGGACTTTCTGTTATGCCAAGACAAAAATGCGGCAGGCTGCAGCTCTAGCAAATCAGATGCATCCTTACACCCGTTGAAGATATTTCGAGTTGTGGGGTTTGCTAAAGAAGGGGGCTGATGGCCTGCATATCTTCAACCAACCGCTTTTTTATAATCCCCCATAAAACCATACACGTCGCATTATAGATCCGTCCATGGCTCTAATTTAAACCAACAGCGCCGGTACTACCCATAGGTACAAACGCGGATATCATAGCTACCGTATATTTCAAGACAATGAATAAAATGTCATGATGATTTGGCATGGCAGGATGCTATTTTCTTCTGGAACCCAACTCGGTTGACATGCTGTGCAATGCAATGATTTAGATCTGTTTCGACTTGGATTCGTATCTGTAGGAATTGTTTATCAAGTACAAGCCTTAAATTCAAGCTGGAAATAAGATTGCCTTCGCCTCAATCCCCCATGTCCGTCATGAATTTAATGTTGCAGTGATAGCGGCTGGGCAGCTGCACTGAAACCAACATATATCGTTCGGGACTATGTATCACTGCAGCAATGAGTCAATATCCTCTATATGTCCAAGCCCGTATGACTGCAGTATATATATGAACCACTGGTAGGTTAGGACAGTGCCCTTTTTGTTCGGTTCCTGTCTTGTTCTTTCTAGAGTTTCTTCAATCCAATTTCTGTATAGCCTGACTATACTCGTACGGCCAAACTCCCCCGTATACTTCTTTTGTCCATAATATCTCGACGTTCTTCCTACCTACATCATAATGCTCAAGTTAGCAGTACTAGGGGTTCGAGGCTTCTTGGTATGTCCCGCAAATATTTACCCTTACTACACTAGGTATTGTCATACTCATTGAAGCTCAGCTTATCTCCGGTGCAGTAGTACTAGGTCTTTCAGTAACCCTTGCGAAGCACCAAGTCGAAGGCTCCCCCCCTGCAGAAACTTCATTTGGAAGCTTTTGCGGCGCATTCGGTATACTCGTCTCGCTGATAGGCATTGCCGCCCTGTTCATCGATAAGATTCCCAGCATAGTGTCCATGGGAGCAGATGGCCTTGCCACAGCGCTTTACCTTGCTGGCGCCATTGTAAGTGAATCCGCCGGATAAATCTGGAGTTTCAGGCCCGGTGATAGATATAAATATGCTAACATCACGCTGTGCCAGGCATTGACAGTCGCTTTAAAGCCCGTACCTAGCTGCACGAGTGATGATAGCGAGAGCATCTATCAGATGGTTATCAATAAACTTTTGAATGGTGGCTGTGGGACCATTGCCGGTACAACTTACTGTCCGGGTATACCTGATGATAGGAGTGAGATGAATGGCCGATGTCAAAGAGTGCAGGTCAGTACCTATTTATAATCTTTCGATTGCTCTAAGTTTCGCTCAGAATGCCAATATACTTAAGGCATAACACAAATCCATTCCATTCCAAGTAAAACACTTAGAGCATCTAGCTAGGGCACTTACTAACCCTGAATCATCTGCTAGGCCGACTATGTATTCGAATATTTAGGCTTCATTTTCGGAGTCGCCATTGTCGCTTTGACCTTCTTCTATAACAGGAGCAAGGGAAGCAGAAGCGTAGCCTATGTCTAAGAAGGTCACCCGCGGATTCGGAACTATTAATTATCAATTTGGTTGGGTTCGGAGAAGTGCACGCGCAACACGATATGAGACTTTTATGTATATGAGAAGGATAATTATGAAACTCTTCGGATTCTTTGATTTATTTCTGGTGCTTTCTGCTGCGGTTACTCCCTTGGAGATATGGAATCCAAGACAATCGGACTATCTTAAGCCTAGGTACAAGTCCCAATATTCGCATGTTTGGGTACGTGTAATTTGTTGCCGTGTTATAGTGTAGCTCTTCTTTTGAACTGTTTGAGTGGAAGAAGTTTACCAATTACTTTTCTACGGAAGCTATATCTACCTCCTATCAACCCAAATTAAGAACATAGTGCTAGTTATAATGAGTAAGATGTGTTCCGAAATCCAAGCAGGAGCCAGTGTTTACCTTGTTGGAGGCAGAATATAGCAGACCTATATGTATATTTGATGACTATCAATTTTGAATCATGACTTTTATCACCTTGTACTTTCAACACTACTTCAACCGCGCTCCTATTTACAGAAGCTTGGCATCCCCGTCCCACCACCTTGCATTTTGACACCTATAAATTCTATCGCTTAGAGGCTTTAAACCCGTGGCATTTTGACATTGCCATATTCATTTCCCATTCCTTAAGCCTACGAGACTTCGCACTACGTATTTTTTACCAAGATAACATGCGTTCGTTGAACAATACATTTCTGATCCGTCAATCTAGTTCTCAAGGGCGGCTCTGCTTATCGCTATTATCCTAGGAATGGTCTCAAGTGGTCTCGTGCTATTCGAATGAATCAAATCCAAGTAAGGGTCGACTTTCGCCGCTTCAACTTACTCCTTAATACATCCCTTTCTGACTTAATTGGAGGTTGGAAACCTATTGTGGTTTCTCTTATAAAGGTACACATAATTCTCATCACAGAGAGTCCCCGTTAGAGGCGCGTGAAGCGCAAGCCCAATTGCTTCATAATGTCATCATTATTACCATCTACACGCGGGGCTTGACGTACAAGCCTCGTACCAGTCTGTGCGTAGCTTCGAGCTTGACCTCTTCGCGGATCCGGAGGGGGAAAAGTACGCGACGCCCCTTGTGATCGCAATTCAGGAATTGAGCTGCTGCTACAGGGCGTGATGAACCAACCCGGCGTGAAGGCTTTCCACATCTCAGACGCCGATATTTGGCCTAGTTGCCATACCCTTATTTTACGCTTGACTATAGCGAATAAATGGCCTCATGGATACCCTAATCATATGCAGATCCCATTTATGCTGGAGTTTAAACCCGCTGAGACTGGGACCCGAAGTGGGACCCCCCTATTCCATGGAACGATAATGAGCTCTTAGATGATCTCGACGCTGAGATTCGCTACGTATTCCAGAAGCTGAATAACCCACGGAATGAAACTGGTCTAGAAAATATCCAGAGGTAAGTTGGCGCGAGCTACTGGGTACGTACGCGCGCGAATAAGCCGCTGACTACAATTCTAAGTAATGATAGAACGTCCATGCGCGACTCGGCTTTTGCTAGCGGCGCTCAAGTCGTCAGTATTGACTTTAAGACCTACGGGCTAACTAGCCGCTGGCATATTGACTAGGTAGGTACTCTGCGTAGTTTGAAGGTGGAATGGCTGTGCGGTGTAATCCAATTATTGGGAAGGGTGATTGCTTGAATGTGTTACTGGAGCCTAAGGATTATTTACGAAATTAATCGCATAGCAGACTTACAAGTATCGTTTGTTGGGACTGGATATTTGATCAATTGCAAAGATGAGACTTTCAGGGAAAGTAAAAATAAGAATATTAGTTATTCTTCATGTGCCTTAGGTACTATTACACTAAGTACCTAGCTATTAGGAAATTATCGTGATCTGTTTCGTCAGTATATCTGTATCAAAGCGCATTGCTGCCCACTAGACCGCGATGCTACCTCTCAATCTGATATCCCGACTACTAGCACCGACGTATAAGTCATATTGGCCAGCCTGTACGATCCAGCCCTGAGTGACAACATCCCACACACTTAAATCACGTCTTGTCAGTTCGAAAGTGATCTCGGCGGACTCCCCTGGAACGAGAGGAACTTTTTCGAAGCCGCGCAACTGCTTCGGCGGGCTATTCGGGATGCCGAGGTAGAGCTGCGCTACTTCTGCACCGGATACCTTGCCGGAATTGGTAATTGTCACGTTAACCATAGCCACAATATCCCACAAAGCTTCGTCGCTACTCGGAGTAGAGGATCCTTGCGTCTCCGGCGTGATATCCAGGGGCTCGACTGAGAGCGAAGAATAGTTAAATGTCGTGTATGATAGACCGTACCCAAATTCGTATCGTGGTGTTATATTATTCTCGTCAAAGTGGCGATAATCAACGTAGACCTTTTCAGTAAAGTCACATTGCGGATCAGTCGTATTTGACGGGCCGCGACCACATGGGGCGTATACTGCATAATCACTTTCGTTCTTCGCCAACGTGTATGGTAGTTTCCCCGAAAATCCGGCCTCTCCATAAAGGAGCTGGACTAAGGCTTCTCCGCTGTCTTGGCCGGGAAGGTGAGCAATAATTGTTGCAGTGATGTTAGGATGATCGATCCACTGATCTACGAGACGAATGCCTGCGGCATGTATGACGACGATGGTGTTTAAACATTTAGAGGCCACGTTTAGAACAAGTCCGTCGCTAAAGTCATCGTGAAGCCCATCTCGATCCCAACCTTCAGTGGCAATAGCATTAATGAAGACCAAGCAAGCATCCGATGCCGCATTAACATCCGGATTAGGTGAAGTTAAATCCCAGTTGACCCATGTCCCATCAACTCTTGCCCTCTGCTGAATGGCGCTCAACGGCTGCATAAAAGTTAGCAAGAATGAAGAATGAGGAATCGGAACTCCTTACGTCGTCGATATAAGCTGGCGCATTAGCACCGGCTCTTCCACCAGTCACAATAGTACCCCCTCTAGCAGCCTGGTTAAAATGATTATTTGTGCCCAATACTGCCTGGCCCATTTCCGATGAAGAAGTGTAACCTAGTTGGAAAAGAGTATCCGTGTTCTTAGTGTCAGGGATCGTAGCATCATAGCCATAAACGGACAACATAGTCGGGTTCTTCTTAAAAGGCAGGGCATCATTATTCTTCACTAGAACATGCCCTGTTATCGCACCTTCTAATATAATCGGCTTTGATTCAGGAGTACGGGCATCGACTTGCTCGTGAGGTAAAGTGAGATTCTTCATCCCGATTCCAGGGGCCGGAAAGTTGCTGCCGTTTTGGCCCACAAGGTACCATGCTGCAAGAATCCTAAATGTATTGAGCTGACTAGCAATGAACTTGGGCTCAACTTTTCTCTTACCTAGTAGCCATATCGGTGACTCTATCTTCACTGACGGATCCGTCTCGAACCGCTTCGGTTAGGTTGTTGCCCCAAAACCCACCTCCAGGCATAATCACTATGATATCATAAGTTAGTAACCATAGTTCAGGTTAAGGGGCTCGTGAGTATGAGGGCATACTGTCCAGTCCTGCGTTCGCGCTCTCGAGATTGTGTTGAGCGTTCCAGTCAAGGAGTACGAATCCGTCAAAGGCAAGTTCGGTTTTAAGAACACCATTCAAGAGTTTGCTGTTCTCACAGCCGTAGGTGTTGTTGATTCTATTATAGGAACACATAACCGAAGCCACACCAGCTCTCACTCCGTCCATAAACGGCCAGAGGTAGAGTTCGTGAAGCGTCTTATCATCAATATTTGCTGAAATAGCTTCAACCCCAAAGTATGGTCGTCTGTACGTCTCCTGTTCATTGGCGATAAAATGCTAGACGCTAGAATTAGCAACTCGATGATATTCTGATGATTCGCATTGCATTCATACCTTGATATTTGCAATGACGCCAGCGTCTTGGTGGCCAATGATTGTCTCCGCGTTTAACTGCCCAGACAAGTAAGGGTCAACAGAGAAACCCTCCCAATTACGGCCACCTAAAGGAGTCCTTCCCAGGGGCCCTGCATTGGGACCAAGCACAACATTGACTGATAAGATGTAAGCCAGCTGCCCTAACAACTATAAAAGACTTTCTGTATACTTACCACCTTTGGCCTTGAACTCATGGCCAATATAAAAAGCTCTTTGGTACGTCAGATTCTTGTCCCAACTGGCGCCAACATGGATTGCCGACGGATATGAGTTAACGAGGTCTGCAGCTCTAACCCCATTACCTGCGTCGTGCAGGCACATACCCGGCCACTCGAGTCGCGGGACTGTCCCCGTGTTACCGGCGCAGGTATTATCGCCAAGAGCGAAGCCGCGTGTGACGTTGACCTTCTCCTCTAACGTCATCTGGCTTACAAGACTGCTGGCGCTATCGTACGCGTCGGCCCATCTGCCCGCCCCCTTCCCAGGTGCTATGAATACAGATAAGTGAACAAATCGACGCGACTATTAGGGCCTATATAGACTTACGTGAGGGGAAAACCGGTGGTGATTGCGCATAATTGCCTGTAGGACTGGAGGGGGCAGATGCGACAAGCGGCGATACGAAGAGGGCCGTTAACAGCGAAGACAACATAGCGGCCACAATATGAGAGCCGGTCTTAGATAGACCGAATCCTAACTTTAGACAACGCTTTCAACCTACATAGGAGATTGAAGTAAACTTTTCTCCAAAGTGAGGCGGAAGCCCCTGTTTTAAGTATTGCAATAACCCGGGATGCTTGCTTTTATGATGTGCATGGATCCGATGACGCTCCGCTCTACTAACTTGGCAATTCGGCCAGTGCGGCATAAGATTCCAGAAATGTCCACTGCTCTGGGTTCCTTGCTCATCCCCCAGATTATGTAGTGTAATATCTTCGACAAATATATGCAAACAATGCGCAGATCTACCACATGGAGTTGCACCACTTTCGTACCACACCACAATGAAAGAGAATCCAAACCCAGAAGGACTAAACTTGCAGATACGAGTATTAAGCAGATTGATTAGATATGTAATACTCGTTATATTTACCTGTTAACAGTATACTAAATACATTTATTCATAATATTACATCCCAAGAACTCAATCATTAGCTAACATGCGCGTAGGGAAATAGATACAATTTATAACTTCCAATCAACGTCTCGAGACTTTTTAACCAATAGGTACACGAGTATTTCCTTTATAACAAACTTGACGTATGAACAAAGACACGTAGAACAAAGTGCTTAGTTACATTGAATAAAACTCTCATAAACGTATATTAATACTCGTCGGAAAAGGGGAGAAAAGGAACCCCGGGAAGCCAATCCTATTCTAGTATGTTCTATATAGTATATTCACTTAAACTTGCCGCGTCATGACAAAAGAGAACATCATGTATCAGGTAGGTAATATATGTTTGACTATCCACTTCAGAGAAAGATACTGCCTCGTTTTCTACAGTTACTAATATTATTCCAATTGTGAAATAGTTACTATCTGCCGACACATATACAGTACTAACCATTTCAGTCAAGTCATTGGATTTATATTGCAAATACTATTCTGAATACCGCAATTCATAGTCTATCAACTAACAAGATCACATACTCTCGGAAGGTCGCAGTGCAAAGCCCCAGGTTGAATTCCATGTATAACTAATGACGCAGCGAGTCGTCGACACCTTGTTTGATTCATAAGGTTATAAAAGCAATCAACGTGGCTGATGCACAAAGAAGAACATCACTCTCTTTCGGTTTTAGGGAGTTACACGTGCAGTTCTTCAAAGGCTTTATGCCTGTGACTACCTAAAATATACTACAATACAGAACTATTGTATAGTAAAGTGTAGTTAGATTGTTCAGAAACTACGAAATTATTTTCCAAGCTTATATAGACGGTCACTAATCTCGTACATCTTCTAGTGGTGAAGAAAGAAGACGCATTTTAATCAACTACCTCTCAGCATCATTTGTCAGCAGTCATGGCCCCCTTTTTTCTCACACATCGCGCCGAGTGCTCGGAGCAGGACTCTCCTGATCCACAAGGTGTCGCTAATGATTCCCCCTCTCCTTGGTGCCCAGGGACATTCTTAAGGGAAGACTCGCCTCCATCCCTTAATTGGCCACCCAGAGGAGGGAGCCTTGCCCCTTGGATAGCGGTATTTATCTGCGTGCCCGGAGCCGTGATTCTCCTACTATGGTGGATATGGGCATGTATTCATCGGAAACGTCGCGGTTAAGCAGTTGAAAAGCGAGATTGTAAAGACCATCGTCAAGTTTTAGCGACCCCATTCCGAGTGGTACGATGCATAAATTATCAGAACACAAGATTTAATAGACTTCACTTCCCGAATCGCAATTGGAATGAATATAATATCGTGATGTAGATAGGTGATAATTATTTAGCCATCGCCATCATACTCGGGACGATGGGAAGGCATTCCCCAGCTTTACAAGCTAGGGACTAAGCATACGATAGTTATAGTTACGAACGACGTATAGTTCTTTCAATCGCATGCTAACCTGTGGGCGATAGGTTCCAGGAGAGCCGTTTCAATAGATCACTCATCGTAGGAGGGCATGCTCCAAATCAAGCGGGAGGATTGTTCCATAGAATAGCCCTTTATAATTTAAACGAATTCCACATTGCGGTTTCTCAGTCTTGCAGTTATCCCTCGAGTGCCGATCATATGAATCTTTTGTGCGTGTGTGGACTGAGACATACTACAAAATCATGAGTCAATCCAATCCAACTACTGAGAATCAAGGGGCGATAGGTATGCAGTAAAATCAGGGCTATCCATTCCCTTGAAATCATATTGAGAGTCATTCAGATACAAAAGCCATCAGAATCCTCGAATTATTTGGGAATATTCACTCAGCACCATCAACCAACTCGTCACTCATTCACAGTCACTCATTTAGTTTTACACTTGTATTTCAAATTTAAATTCGACTATTCAACTTCTCTATCTTTCGAGATTTCTAACCCTTTCCAAATCAATCATCCAAAATGCAGCAACGCGCAATCATCGCTCTCATCACCCTGCTCGCAGCAGCCGCCAACACCGCACCACTCGGCACGGTGCCCGGTGCCGGAGCTCTCGCAGCCCCCGCTGGCAAGGCCTTTGAGAATACTGCCCGAGCCGTCCCTCATACCGTGTCCGGCGTCACCGCTGGCGCTGCCGGCATGAAGGGAGAATCCAAGAAGGGCCACAAGTCCGCCGAGGGTGCTCAAGGAGCCGTGAAGGGTGGCCAAAAAGCTGGCAGTGCCGGCCAGAAGGCCGGAAAAGCAGGACAGCATGCCGTCGAGGGCAGCCAGGTAGCCGGCGAGCAAGGCCAAAAGGCTCATAAGGAGGGCGAGTTCGCCAACAAGGACGAACAGCAGGCTGGCATGGAGGGCCAGAAAGCTGCCAAGCAGGGGCACAAGGCCGCGGAGGAACAACACCAGGCCTACGAACACGGCAGTGAGGGCAGCCGAGCCGGTAACTACGGCGCCGACAGGAGCGCTTCCAAGAACGGTGTCGCCCACAACAACAAGAACGGCGCCAACAGCGCAGACAGGGCCTCCTTGGACAAGGCCGACGGCTTCCAGGCCGGATTCGAAGGATCCAAGTCCGGATTCGAGGGATCCAAGGCCGGCTATGAAGGCTCCAAGCACGGCAACCAGGGATACAAATCGGGTACCGAAGGCTCCCACTCTGGATTCGAAGGCTCGCAGGGCGCAGCTGAAGGATCCAAGGTTGCAGCCGAGGGCTCAAAGGCTGGTTTCGAGGGATCCAAGGGCGCTGCTGAAGGGTCAAGGGCTAAGAAGGAGGGCGATAAGGAAGAAAGCGGGCTTTCTGGACTCCTCGGTGGTTTCAGCGGCTTCGGTGCTAACTAGAGGTAAAATTACCAGTCTTTTTCTGTTGTAATGTTCTAACCTACATCTTTACTAACGGGTACTCATGTTTAGGCTACGCCACCGATCCTTATCATCATCGTTCGCCCCCATTCCATGATCTCGTACACAATGGAAGGCAGTGTTTGGAAATATAAGAGCAAAAAAAGGGGGAGTTTAGGGTATGCATCATTGGCAGTTTAGTCTTGAAGTAACAATTGGTTTTGTGTTGTCTGGTGTATTAATAGATTCTAATATTCATTGACTTCTGGCCTTAACTAAATCCTATCATCCTCTAGCCCCTCCTTGTGACCATCTTTCCCTTAAGAATATCGTGTCTCCGTTATTTGATTGTTATATAGGTAGCCTCTAATTCCACTATTTAATATGTTCTATCGTACCGCAATGTATCCAACGCCTCTATCATATCAACCCTTTCCGTAGTATTAGCCCCATCGTCGTATATGGGTAACAATATAACAAAGAACCTCGATATGCTCGCAGTAATTATCTCCAATACTATTCCTCTTACTTACGCGATAGACCTTTGCTTGAGATATCAGCAATTAGAGTTTTAAATTGAGGGCTAAGTGCATCAACAACGATCGAAACGTCAGGGGGTTCGGGCCACACCTGCTCCTCCTGCCGAGTAAGAGCATCTGGGTCCCAATTCTCTGTTTTAGCGACAGACTCAGTCTTTCCGAGAGCTTTTACACCCTTAACTTCCTTTCCACTTCTTGGCGGGCCTCTTGGTGTGTTTGGTGTAACAATAGTCTTATCCAACAGGCAGTGCCAACGCGTTATGTACACCCCCGGACCGCCCATGCTTCCACATATCTCTTTATTTTCGTATGAAGCTAGGCCATCTATAATGCTCTGCATCCGTACTATCGATACGTTTTCTGATGTAGAGAGATATTCAACGTGGTCATCGATGATGGCTCTGACACTACTCTGCTGGTCGGGTGGGAGTTTACCAAACAGATCCTGCAAGCTCCTGTTCATTTCTTTGGGATCGCGAGAGTTGCTACCTTGATTGGCCCGCCGGAAAGTCTCGAGGCTTTTCTTGGCCCAATTTAGCCACGTTGTCCGTAGATCCGGACACCCTTCAGCGAAGTCGCGTAGATAGTCGTAGGCTAACTGGCGGTTCCGTTTTAATAAAGCGACATAATCTTCAACGGAAGGCGGTGTAGTACTGTTCTGTGATTTGCTGCTATCTCGCCCCTTCGGCTTGCTTGTCTCTATCAAGTCTGTCAAAAAGCTCTCGACAGAGCTAAGATGCTTGCGTATGTCAACATTCTTGTGAATGTCTCGAATCATAGGTTCGAAAACGGACACAACATCTCTCACGATAGTTGTAGTTAAATCCGGGGTCTGGCGGCAGAGAACTTCGGTAATTTTCTCCCTATCTCGAATCGCGAGTTGAGCTGAATAATATTGCAAACATTGGGCATGTTGCTCTTCTGTTAGCGTTTCTAGCAACGCCTTGTCCTTGACCTCTAGAATAGCTACGATTATGGATTTTTCATTCCTCTTACTCAGTTCACGAAGTGATTCGTGTTGGTCCCTAGAAGCTTGTAGGTGTTCGTCGATTGCGGTTAAGCACGATTCGCCAGGCCTATCTTTGTTTCGCTTAATATTATCGATAGCCTTGCGAAATTCGCTGGTATCCCATTCTAACACTAAAGATATTATCCTAAAGATGATTAGGTTAGTTCATCCCAAATCTGTTAGCAAGTACACACCTTTGTAAGAGGTTCATCCCATCTGAAGCATTTTGCGTCAAGCCAAGCCAGTTCGAAATTGCACCGACGCTGACTTTGGCTAGAAATAACCTAACCATAGCGTTGATCATGGTTCCAGCATTTCCAACGCGCAGTGTTTGTCCGATTACCGTGTATGGGATCAATCCATGAATGTTATTGATCAACTTGAGTAAATAGGGGCCTTCCGCTGAGAGGACAAAAAGATGGTGGAGGAATGTAGCTACATATATTATAGCGAGATTAACAGCAGCATCAACTGCTGGTGAATGATCCTCGAGGTTTGCAGTATTGGTGAAGTGATCGAATAACTCGTCGATTAAGTTCCCGTAGACTAAATGTTGAACCACGTCATCCCAAGCCCTAGAAAGGTCTTCTGCTGTACGGGTGTCATATCGGCCATACAGGTTCGGTAGCTCATCATTTGGTATGCCACTTAACAGGCCCCTAGTGATGCATTCGTGAATGACCGAGGCGGCTGAGGCCAACCGTTTTCTACTCCCTAGTGTCCCTTTATCGTAGCTTTCTGACAGTTCTGCCTCGCCAAATCTTCTCATAATACTTCGGAACTTGGTAGTCCAGAATTCTGGGGGAAGATCTCTGACTCCAGGAATGGGAAGAATTAATCTAGTAAGAAGAAGTTGTAGTAGTGGAGATGACGATTTTCCGTTTGCATTACTACCTCGGTCGCGAGTTGGAGGATCAAATGGATACCCATATTGCTCGATAGCTTCGGGGTTCTTGAAACTCTCAGCTTCCGAGTAAGTCTCGTGGTGAACGAGAATGTCGACCAAAGCCCCTAATTGCTGCGGAGACAAAGTTGTAGAGGACATGGACATGATAGGCGACTAGAGATTATGGGTTAAGAAAATCCAAAAGGGAAGACGGATATTTGTTTAATCCATATAGTATGGTATTAATACATTACGACGTCTTGGAGTCTGTTATGCTTGGGCTTAAAACCAGTAAGACTAAGATACTTGATTAAGGTACCCCAATTGGTTTTGTACGGGAGTAGAAGACCTCCAAAATTGAGTCTTAGGGTAACCTTTTGGGATTAATTGCTGACGTCACATGGAATAAGTGGTTCAAACTTAAATGCCGTACAGTTTCAGAATGGAGTACATGTGCATGCTAGTAGATTGTATGGGCTTTTATGTACCTGTAGTTTCAGTTGTCAAACCCGCCATTTACCGTTATTCACTCTAGCCATCGTATCTTTGCGCCGTTCGTAATGTTATAGCCAGCGTTAATACATTGATTGCAGTTTCCTTATTCAATTCAGTTCAAGGGCAAGATTTACAAGCAGTTACGATGTCGATGCTCCATTTTAATATTGCATAATAATATTTATGTACCTATACTTAATATTACCTAATGTAACTAATTCATTGTTTCGCAACAAACTATTCACCCGACGATTCCCCGCAAACACTCTTCCAAACTCGGTCAAACTTCATCCATCATCATAACCTCAAAATGACTTATGAGGACAATGCCACCAGGCCGCGATGATATTAATGGCTCACCCCGGGATATATATACTGGGGTTCTCCCTGTAATACCATCCGATTTAGGTCCAGATAATCCGTCGCGCAATAATGCCGCAACTGCCGCGTCGGCCGCCGGTGTTCGAGCCTTGAGCGCCCAGGCCATCGCTTTTTACTTCAGGGCTCCCGTCAAGGCCTTCTTCCGGACACGTGTCGACTATCTTGCGTATGCCCGGGGTGTTCACCAGACTCAGACGGAGTTACTAGCCCGTGCTGCTGCTAATAGCCAAACTGCCTCGAGGCTGGGCCTCACCTTCAAACAAGCATGGATGTGGGCACGAGGTACTACCCCGGGCTTACTTGCGTCCGTCATTCAGCAGCACGGATGGAGCGTCGTACCACAGCAGATTCTCCCGCCTCTTATGGCGAATGTTGGAGTTGGCGCTGTGCTGTATACTAGTTATTTACATATCTTAGCTCAGCTCCATGAGGAGACATCGAGAGCGCCGAAGAGGATATTTCCTCCGCCAGACCCGATCCATACCTTTACTGCAGGATTCATAGCCGGAAGCATTCAAAGCGTTGTCGCAGCCCCGCTTGATGCTATACAGGCGAGATATGACCATCGTGATCTCATTTCTGGCAACGAGAATGGGAAACCGAGGAGCATGTGGGCATTCTCGGCAGAAAAGCTTAGGGAAATAGGACTACGAGGGATCTTCGCAGGATGGGGACTATCTTTCTTAAAAGATAGTTTCGGGAGCGCAGTTTTCTTTAGCACTTTTGAGTTTGTGAAGGCCCAAGGGTTCTACCGGTTCATCACGTGGTACTATGGTGGACTGCACCCTGACGTTGTTGATGTGTTGGCCCAAAAGAGACCACCCACTCACAAGAACTCGAAGGGCAATATTAATAAGGATGGTAGCCGTCCGGTCGTCATACGTCCGCACTACGCAATTGAGCCGATGTTCCTGCTGTTCGCTGGCTTCACGGCCTCGCTCACCCAACAGCTAATCCTTCATCCACTAAACCACATTCAAGTTGAACATTGGGACCATCTAGAAGATCTCGACGCTAAAGCAGCGAAGTTAAGAAACTCAGGAGCCGCGAACCCTGATAAGCCCAGACGCAAGTGGCGCATGCTCCGGGCTTATTATCACGCCTACCAAGAAACTTGGACTAAATGCACCACTGAAGCAACCTTGGAAGGGAAAGGTTTGACACGATGGTTATATCGTGGATTTTGGTGGAACACTAGTAAGTCTTTTCCTGCGGTAAATGAGCCAGTGCCTGGGTCATATCAGCTTGGTGGGAGATACATCTAACAAATTACTACAGTACGACAGGTGCCAAGTACCAGTGCTGGTCTAATCATCTTCGAACTTTTCCGACGTAAATATGGAGGCGGGAATGAGCCTGTGCGGGTTGCGAAGGACGATTATGAAATTCTCCTAGAGTAGATTTTTGATAATGCGTTTCGGCGTCTTTGGCTTTAGGTACAGGGTAGGAATTCGCCACTTGGCGAGAGGCTTCCTTTTCAACACAGCGATAGATATGCAGCTTTCCTAGCATTTTGGTGTAGAGATAGATCACGCACACGCGGTCAACCTCATCTCCCCTTATTTCCAGCACTACGAATAAATGGTTCAAGAGGAAAGACTTGTCCTTCTGGTGTAACACCTTCGTAAAGTTGTGCCCAACGGTACTTCCAAGCCTCAGGGGTTGGCCAAGCATTTTCTGGGTCCCGCAGCCATAAACGTAAAAGGTGACGACTGCATGAAGAGGATAGACTTCGTCAGCAATACAGATAAACGCGTTCACAGCTACACGGGGTTTTAAAGCATGCTTACCGCTTCTCTAACGTGTCGGTAAATCCGTCCCTTGCGTGGAAGATGGCGAGGTTGTTTATATACTGGATATCTCCTTTTTGGAAATTGGTATTCACGCAGTACTTCTCACCTAGGAAATGGATTGTATCGAGAGCTTCAGCCTGAGCCTCTGAAATAGGCGGAATGTTAGAGCTGCGTGGGAGAGCACCGAAGCCAACGAAGTATCGTCGGCCATATTGTAGAGCAACCCGCTCGGGGAATGAATCTGTCCCAGGGAAGTGATACAGCAGCGGTCTTTCCACGTACTGCTTATCGGCTTTCTCGAATCTAGGACGCGGATTAGTTATTGTCGAAACTGATGCACCTTCATTGCTTCAATCTCGGGAGAATCTGATAGCAAATGAGACCGCGTCTTGAGAAACAACTCACACTTCCATATCCCAACTTTGAGACAAGGTATGGATAAGATCCGGACGAGTAGCAGCAATTTCGTTATATACCCGCCACGTACTCGCTAATTTGCTAGCACCACCCGCTGCCGACGTCTCGAGGGCAAATAAAGACACGATATCGCCAGAATCCGTGTGGAAGACCTGTTTATCGGTAGTATAGGCCGGACTGCCGATGGAGCCATTATTCTGCGACCAGGTCAAATCTTTGATGTGGCTGAGGACCACATCAGCCTTCTGACCGTTATACTTGTGATCCTGCCGACCGCGCTGAGCAGCAATGTGGGCGGAAATGCCTGCGTAGATGATGACATTTTCCTCCCGAGAGTGGTCGTCGACACGCAGGCCACGAATCACGAAGAACCCGTGCCCGTTGTGCAATTCTGCGGACAGGCGGCGTAGTTCTGCGTGGAGGCTCGGGAGCGGGAACGTCTCTGCCGTGAGATGGCCCAGCAACAAACCCAATCCTTGATGGAGTTGGTTAGTAAGAGATCACGATATATAATTCTTAGGTACCTAGAAGAACCACAACCTACCCTTGAAGTGATCTACAGCTCGGTCTATCTCATCAAGCTGTTCGTCACTGAGAACATAGGTCCAGTCATAAGTGTCTGCTACAGTTTCACCTTCCCATACTAAATCCCCCTTCAATTGCACCGGGAAACCTTCTGGTAGTGTAGTCGGCAAGTTCCCCTCTTTGAGTCGACGAGCCGCTCGGGCCTGCCACTTATCGTAGTCCGGAGCATACGAGATATCGGGCTGACCCGGCGGCGCGGGGGCCTTCGGTGTCACAAACGTAACGGTAGTTGTCGACATGCTTACTGTTCTTGAGGTCAGAGCAACTTTGTTGGACTCGCTTACTCGTGTACTTGCGCAATAAGATTATTATTATTGTTGTTGTATCGCATTGTTTACAATTATGTCCCAATAACTACCTAGTTAGTGTGAAGTAATCAAGTTGGGAGAAATGAGCAATATCACACCAAAATTGCGTCATCTGTTACCCTCTAATACGACTTGAGAGAACTACAACCGGTTATGTTCTATCTGCTTGCAACATAGATAATGGTATAGATAATGGTATTCGAAATTAAGTTCACTTCAGTAAAAGATCTACTGGAATGAAAAACATGAGTCTTTACAATATTGTTCCAGGGGCATTATGCTATAGGTATAATAACATCGACGGCTGTTCCCTGGTGCCCCGCATTTCTCTTTGCACATATATTAAAATATTTTGGTTAACTAGGGGTTAATAGACCATTATGCAACTATCATTTTAAGAGGTATTCGAGACAATAGGTAATCCTTTCCAATAAGTCAAAGCACCCTTACGGGGGCCACCCTAGTGGGGGCCACCTCAAAAACGTAACGCGTTTGCGATAAAGTCTACATATAAATTATTATATAATTTTATTAGTTTTTAATTAATTAAAAAATAAAACTTATTATTTAAATCTTTATTTTTTTACGATTTTAAAATGCTTATTTTTTTTAGCTTAATTACGTTGCGTTGCGGTAATAAACGACGTTTTCGACGGCGTATCCTTACGGTAAGCGTTTAAAAAATATTTTATATTATAATATTATTTTACAGACCAAATATTGAGTTATAAAACACAAAACGATTATTTAAAAAAACGTTAAAAACTATTGAAGTATTAAGAAAAAAAATTAACCAATTAGGCCGTTACGTTAAGTTATATTAACCATACGCTTTTTTTATATTAATTTAAAAATATCGTAAAAAAATTATTAACTTATAATTATCGACCTAATATCTTTAATAAATATTAGTATATACGATTTTTATTTTATTATTTTAATATTAAATTGGTTAGGGTTTATTTAATTAATTATAAATAAATTAATGGGATTATAGTTAATAATATTAATATTTTTTTCGATTAATTTAAGGTTTTTAAGATTAAAAATATCCTGGTTAGGTATATGTATAACATTAACGAAATAAGGATTATGGAAAAGGTTAGAAATAATAGAATAATTATTAGTAAAATTTATAAAAAATGTATTATAATTAAAAATTATAATAATAAAATTTAAACGTTAATTATTAAATATATTAATAGTAATAATTAATTTTTAAATTTCTTTATTATATATGTAAATAAATATATATAATAATAATAATTTTTTAACAATAAAAATATTAAATTTAAGGGTTAAAAATTTATTACATTTTTTAATAGTTAAATTAATAATAATATTATATTTAAATAATTTTATAAAGTTTTTTTAAAAAAAATAAGGTTATTAAATTGTTAATAATAGTAATTATTAATTTTTAATAGCTATAATAATTATATTATAATAGAATTCTTTTAAGAATGTTTTATAAATAAAGTTTACGTTATTTTTATTCCAGTATATTTATTATACGTTTTATAAATTATTAACGTAAATATATTTTTATCAATAAAATAAAATTATTATTATAAATTTACTAAAATATATTAGTTATATTATATTTTTAATTCCAATAAAAGAAAATTTATTACAACTTATTAAATAATACAAAAAAAATATTTAATTAAATATAATATATTAGTTAATTAAAAAGCTATAGGAATTTATCCTAAAAATCGGAATAAGCTATTAAATTATCGGTTTATATTCCAGAAAGTTTCTGGTACTACCCCAACCCTTCCAAGCTTTATTTCTAACCCAAAAAAGCCTAATTTTATCGAAAATATAACCCCAATCTTTTTAACAATACCTTTAAATTTATAAGATATTAATATTTTAGTTAAAAAATTATTTAAAATTAATATAATATTTATTAAACCCGTAATAAAGTTTTTATTTAATAAAATTAATAAAGCCTTTAATAAAGTTATTATAAAATTAACCATAATAAAAACCTGCGTCAAATATTTAAAAAAGATATTAATAAATGCAAAGTTATAAAAACGGCATAAAATATTATTTAACTTAAATTTGACGTTTATAAATATTAAAGCTATTATAAAAAAAAAAATAATTAAAAGCCTAAAAATTAAATGGTATAATTATAATTAACAATTCCAATACCAATTTAGAAAATAAAACCTTATTAATTAAATTAATAGTAAAAGATTATATTATTATTAAAATATAATAAATTATAAATTAATTAAATTTAATTTAATTAAATAACGTTAAATTAAAGTTAAAGTACTTATTTTGAAGGTTTAAAAATTTAAAGTGGCCCTCATTAGGGTGGCCCCTGTAAGGGTGCTTTGACTTAACCATAAACTTGTAGCTATATTGCAGAACAGCTTTGCGGTTATTTACTCTCTTGTATTCTTTGAAAGATGGTCGTTACATGATAGTATTACACAATCGTCAACCAGAATACCCAAGCCATGACTTCTAGAAAACACTGTGACTCAGGTCACAAGTATATCTATAGGTATCTAGGTACGCAGATATGCTCCATTAAATCCCATGAAACGCCTCATTGATACGCCTCCGTGAGCAGTAACTTATGCTTACTCCGTGATCCTATCCCGTAATTACGGTCGATTGACTGCAAGAGCTCATCTCAAGTTCGAATTGGAAGGCGTTATACCCGCCTACACGGGGCTTTTCTCTTTCTGGACTCGTCGCCCAGATTGAAAGGGGATTCCTGGCGAGACAGTTAGGCCGATTAGTGAATTTAGATTGGGTTGAACACTATATCAAAGACCCAACACCCTGTTGAGGCCGACACTCACGTTTAAATTCCACTTTAAATTTTGCCACCTCCTTATATATACCATAGAACGGATGCGATACCAATCCTATGACACCTGTTATTGTTAGACTGGTAGTCACGACTTGAATGTGGGGGATAAGAACCAGCTAAGACTAAACTCACCAGCAGATATCTTGAATGCTATACTACCAAGTCCTTGTATGAACCCCTTAAAAAATCCGAGGAATCCATCTTTTCTGGCGCATATGTAAGGCAACACGAACCAGTCTGTGCAACCATCGAGAAGCCCGTACAAAAGGGCCTATAGTGAAACATGTTAGAGTCTGTGGGTGAGGCGAGGTGATTATAAACTCTTACCTGCACGGCAGCAACGATTCCCGATGGGAAACCGGTGATTTGAAACCACTTCCGAACAGTGGTGTCGTTATATAGTGTCGGGGTGAAATGCAGCGCCTTCGCTATGCCGTGCCCAATAGTAAAAGGAATTTTCAACATGCCAGCCATAATTAACCCTATTCCCCTAATCATATCCCACCATGACGTCCAGAACGGATGACACCCTTCATCGACGTCCTCTTCATCATTTCTAGTATTCCTAAATTCAGTGGGCCTCTCCCAATACGGAGTGCCTCCATATGATTTGACTGATTCGTGAGATCCGCTTACAGGCGGCTGCCCACGCGAACCGACGTTAATAGTGCTGCCGGCGAGGTCGTCCATATCTGCAATAAACTTCATTCCGTAATCTCGTCTTCCAGTGACGGACATCTTAGAGGTGGTAGCAGAGGGTGGACGCTCCATTTTGAATGTTTGGCGCTTCAAAATAAATCAAAGCTGTTATACTGCTGCCTTGGACTACATGCAGGTTAATCCGATTTAAGTCGAGAAGCGGCCTGACGATTAAGAGAAGAAGGGTCCGTAAGTATAAAAGTATAAAAAGAAAATACGACCTAAAAGTAGAAAATGGGCCAAAGCCACACGACTTGGGTTTAGAGGAGAGGCGGCGGAGTGCCGATCGCCCAAGGCACCGAGATTATCGTGTATATGATTGGTTGAATAACAGGCGGAATTGGTGAGAGATACGATGGTCCAATCGGCTGATTGGGCCCTGGGCTGATATGTATGTCTGATGAAACCTATCGTGGCGCAGCGTATCTTCTACGCTCCTTGTTCTTTTTTTGACGACATACGATTGTTTATTTTTCAAGTTCTGACACTTCAAGGATAATTCGTGTAGCCGGGTAGTAACAAGGTGATCATCGAGTTAGTAGAGTTTGTTGGCGGATGAAGGATGAGAATCCCTACTACATAGATCATCATGATTATCACTTTATTCTTTGCCAAGAAAGGGAATTAAAAATGGTTGAATATTATTTTCTTTGCTACCCTACTGCTCGCCCTTTCGATCGGGCCAAGCATCATACAACCCCTCGTGAACAGTCACGTCTCCAAATACCACTTCCCCTTCACCGTCGTGGAAGAATCTAATTTCTCGGGAAGCAGCATACCAAGACCTGCTAATGAGTTAGAATATATGTCAAATATGAAGAACCAAGAGTTGACACTTACCGAGCCCAAGTACTTATCGCGAATCTCCCATTAGCATGCACCTCGACAATGGAATTATCGACCACTATGGTCAAGTTAAGACTTTCTATCTCCTGCTGGCCATCTTGCACCAAGTCAAATAGACGCAGTCGACCTGCTTCGTTACGAGAATCGATGCCATTCGTCGTCTTTGCCGCGGCACTGGAATTGCTGCGGTCGATGATGATGGACTCGTTGGAGAATTGGTAGTAGATGGTCGTGCTCTCGTATTCAGAAGACAGGATCTGGAAGCCAGCTCGTAAACCACTCTCGCGACAAGCCTTCGGGAAGGAAAGCGATGCAGTAATCACATAGAATTTGCTTTCGGGAACGTTTTGGAATGTTATAGCGCCTGGTGAGTTCAAAGTCCGACCTGGTTCAACCGTAGAGCCACCACTAGTTAATGCGGCCAGTGCTTCACGCGCGATCTCCTGCTTTAAGGTCACTAGTTCAACGACACCAGACTCGCTACTGCTAATCCGCCACGATCCAGTTTCATGAACAAGTTCATTGTCGATGACATTGCTGATCTTTCCCACACTCAACTCACGCGGGAGCAGGAGTGCACCGGTCCAATTCTGCTGGTTAGTCGGGAAGTCCAGAGTGCCGTAGAAATCTCCCGTCAACCATAAATAGGAGATGAACCGATCGGGGGCGCCGCTTTTCTGGGAGGCTTTCGAGGTTGCCGGTAACTCCTTGCCAGCAGCAGCATATGCAGAATCTCCCCAGTCAAGCTTTCCGGCCATAGTTGGTTGAAACTTGATCTTTCCATCTTCGCGAGAAACATTGCCAGCTGCCCAAAGCATCTCGCGGAAATCCGAGACTTGTGGCACAATCGGGTCCAACGACCATTCAGCGCCAAAGGTTGTGAAGATTTCGCCTTCAGCATTGTAGCCCTGCTCATCCAAGCTGAATATGTTGGCGACTTCAAAGTTAAACCCCCACCGACCGGCCCAGTCACCATTACCCCAGGTTGTGTTGACGGGTTCATGCCACCATTGGCCCAACTCCTCCCAGTACTGGAACTCTGGGTCGTGCTGGCGGTAGAGGAACAGACTAGGCCCCTCTCCATGGACACCTCCAGAGATAACGGTATACCAAGTTCCAGGAGCACTTTCAAGTTCGGTATCGAGCCGGCTGTTCTGGAAGACGAAAGGGTCGCGAAAGCCTGTCACATTGACTGCGAAAGGCGGTGATGGGATAACAGGCCCTTGTTCAAGTTTCGTGAAGTTACGACCTCCGTCACGAGATACCGCTAAAGATTGCGTCTCACTTCCTCGTGTGTATGGAATAGTCCATTGGATAGGTAGGAAGCTCACAGAAGTATACAGAAGGGTAGGGTTACCATCGATGCCACTAGGGATGACCGACCCATCGAATACTGCGATTGGATCGTTCTTCCCGCCTGCTACTATGAACGGCCGTCCCTCTGGATTGGCATCATGATACGTAACAAGGTCGTCTGTCGTGGCACCAGCAGCACCGTTATGCAACCAACCGACATGGAAGAGCCCAGTTTCGGGATCGGTGTAATGTATACAGGGATCACCTATCTGCCCAGATGGCGGAAGAATATGCGCTTTCGGCCGCCATGTTTCGAAGAGAGTCGAGTTAGGGAGAGTTGACAAGTTTGGCGGTGCCGCATTGTAGTCGATGTCTTGCCTTGCGGTAAGGGTTCCCGCCAAAACCGCTGGTGTGAGCTTCATCGTGTCTTGAGATGTTGAAGATGAGGCACCCTCAAGATGAGCTCCGAATCCTGAGTGGCTAATGAGCACATGATCATGATCATACGAAGTCACCTGTAGTATTTATATAATGGTTCATGGGACTTTCGGTCTAACTTTCGTAATGTTGTTCCGCCGCAAGGTCACGATGTGACTTCAGAATGCTTGGAATTTGGATATTCTGTGGGGTTTGCGGAGAAGTCCGTATAGGGCCAAGGATGAAGCTGGAGATATGCGGAGTATCATACAGACACTAACTACAATAGATATAGCCTCGGCCTTATTAAACAACTACTCATGGCTTTAGTGCTTCGAAATCTTGTCTCTGGAAAACTATTGAAGGCTGGTTTAGCAACAGCTCCGCAGCATCACCTATAGCAATCTCGCCATAAGTTCAATGTTAGATTCTTCTAAAGTAACAGGCATAGTTTCTCATATCACTTCAACATCCATGAATGACACTAGGTAGAATATAAAAGGCTTAGAGAAAATAGTTTCTTTTTTTTAACTGACTACCTACCTAGGTAGGTACCTAGGTAGTCACCGGTGGAAAGTTGTACCACAAATATCCAAGATGCACTTGAACTGAGCCTGAATGGAATTACTCCTGTTTGCTACAGCACGTTAGTAGGATTTACAGAATACTCTTACAAATATATGGCAAGTTGGGACACTAAAGAAAATATATAACTAACCTTAGATAGGTATTTACATGTAATCTCACTGCAGGAGGCGCTATTCAACCAAATGGCTTGATCATTTGGGCCTGAGGAAAGGATGTGCTTCGGTATTGAGCACATAGTCGTCAAGATTAATGACGTCGGGAGTCGAGAAGAGCAGGTAGAAATATTTCAAAGTCTCTGCTAACCAAAAGCTCTGTATTTAAACGTCAGCATTATAAGGTAAATGCCTACCCATGCATATTGATACTCACCTCCATATAGTCATCTTTTGGTAGAACATCCGCTATGCGGGTCACGTCTTTTACGGCCGCGTGAGTCCCCCGATCGGTCTTGGTTCCGTTCGCGATAGCCATGAACATGTCCCATCCTATATCTTGCCAAACTGTGTTCCCGGTGATACGGTACATGATGAACACACTCTCTATCGCCTCGGGTCTTAATATATATCGGGGGTCTTTAGCAGTAGTAAATCCAAGAGGAAGATGATCCTTCCCTATATCATCAGATATCAGTAGGTGTCAGTTACAAGACCAGAAAATGAATCAAGTTGACTACTTCGAAAGCTACGAGGAAACGAATAATTTAGGATATTATGCACCAACTTACACTCGTGTTGCTTCTGTTTCTCTTCGTCAAACCGCTTTTCGTCCCACTCGCAATCTTCAAACGACTTGCAAGCTACCATATTCAGTCGTTCGGGCATCATCCCCGTTGGAAATGACCGATACCCATATACGCAACCAAGCGTCAGCTTGGCGCCAATATTGATGTATCCTGGGTTACCAAATAGCTTCCCACTCAGCGCATAGACTCCGCCAAGATAACAAGCAAGATGCTCAGTTTCCTCGTCCAAGGTCACCTCACCTGTAGCAGATACACTAGCACTGCTAGCAATGAGTATCTGCATGTTGTTAGGTACCATAGGTCTAAAGAGCAGGTTATTTTTAGCGGCCTCCAAGAATCCCTTAGACATCATCTCGTACTTCGGCTCCATGCCCCCAAGAAGAGCATACTCTTTGGGAAGATACTCATATAAGCTGTCAGCACACCCAGCAAGAGTGTACGAGTTCCCCGTTATGACATCTTGGGATTTCATGGAGACGTAGGTAGGCCACAGACCCGGTATCAAAGTTTGGTTTTGGCCTCGGTAGAAGACGTCCATTACTCTTGCAGCTGCATCATAATATTTCGGGTCTCCTGTGAGCTGCGAGAGCCGCGTCAGTTCAAGAGACAGCGTTCCTGGAGAGGCCGAGACCACAGAGGACTCGACAGATAGAAGTTTCCCAGTTTTGGCGGCCTGAAAATCAATAAAGTCGACGGGCATCCGATTCTCCGTGTTGAAAGCTACGTAAATCAAATCTCCAAGCTCGATAGCTTTCAAACGCAAGACATCTCGCTTGCTAAGGTCATACGTTGCAAGCAGACCTCCTAAGTAGCGAATGTTCGTCTCGAATGTGTTGACTCTTGCGGAGCTAGATCGACCGAAGTCTATCTTAGAGACTGCATCGACCGCCTCGTCAAATTCCTCTCTTAAACCCAAAATCCATAAGGTATCGAGGGAGTCTACTAAAGTCGCAGCCCATCCGCTAAATTGGTCCTGAAATTCCCCGGAGATCGGCTTCAGTGCATCCTTCATCCACGCATACTTCTTGTATGCGGCCCAATCATCGAGGAAGGTTTTCTTCACATCGAGGCGCCTTGCTTCTCGAGTCTGTCTATCGACAGACGCCTCGGAATGAAATTGAGCCTGAACAAGTAGGCGACGGGGCTTCCCCGCTGGCAAAGGAATTATTTCCTCTGCCGGAAAATGGAAGGGAACGGTGCTCCAATCGAAGCTACTTCGCTTTAATGCGATCGGAGGAGAGGTTGCATCACTGTTCATATGCCGTTCGAGCCTGGTGAATTCCGAGATCCACAAGCCCGAAAAAGAAGCCGATAACATCCACCATACTACAAGGACGCCGGTAAGAAGGATTAAGGTGCGTCTATGCTTGCGAACTTGGAGATGCATTATAATACACGACCTGCGTAACCAGACGCAGGAAAACTAATTGGAAAGAAATTCAGATAGGTATTGCAACGGACGACAAAATCATTATGTTTGCAAGAACCCATTTTCAAAATCTTACTGTGCAAATCCCCAACGTGTCATTTCCGGTCCTAGCAAAGGGGAAAATATAATTTCATGTAAATTGCCCAGAATAAGGTCCAACATTCTCCAATTAGCGCTGATCCCGGGGCCAATGAGACAAAGCGTAGCGTCCGAGGGGCCAAACGAGATATGAATCGGCCAACCGGGCCGGGGCCTAAAGGGGCACGGAGCTCCGCCAAGAAAACACGGACCATATTACTCATCCGTGCCAGACGGTTGAAGCTCGGATCGGTCCGTACAAGATGCACGATGCACCGCGAATGTTAAATCAAAACAACTAAACGTTCTGTTAGTTATATGAGATATGAAGGTACACTTCACCTATATTAATAATACAATAATATAGAGAGATGAAATCATTTCTATATGTTAGATGAGACAGACCTATATACTCTATAAATTAGCCATCGTCAGGGTTAACACTAGCAAATAAATGTATTGTGTAAGTGCCAACTACTAGATCACAGGAGCGAGCTTCATCCTAATCGTTAGTGTACGCAAATTCATGATAGATGCATATCATAATTCAGAAGAGTTTATCGATAGGTTCATAGTCACGGTAGGTAGTTATATAGTTAAAACAAAGTATTAATAGGAAGAACACACTTAATATCCATGTAAAGAGCGAGCTATGGCAGTAATAGCCAAGATACATAGGAAAGTCGTTAACATCGTTAAAGTCCCTCCTTTTTACCAAGATGAAAATGAGTCTATAGACTCTACATGGTGACCATCCCAAACATTCAGTATCATAGTAGAAAGGTAGATGAAGCATAAGCGCACTCAAAGGTCTTGCTCCTTCGATGACGTCGGATGTTAACGCTTAGTTCGTTAAGAAGAGCCAGTTGTCAACAATAACAATGAGTATGACCGTGGCGGACTATATCTCAGATCAGTTAGGTCTACGACCTTATTAGATCGAGCCGGATCCGATGTTTTGCTGGTCTGGTTGCATAGGGACCTGGTACTGCTGGTCGAAAGCATGCTCTTGAGTGTTGTAGGGATACATCAAAGTTGAAGGATGCATCATAACTACATGTTCATCAAGATCTACATTTCGAAGATAACCGTCATATCCCATTTTAGGGCAACCGAGTACGGGGCAAGGGTAGGGGGGCATCAAAGGCATAGAAGCTTGGGGGCCAGGCGCGACGGTAGCCTTCTTAGACCTCCTGAGCTTGTGCTGGCCAAGTTTGTCCGCTGTGTCGATCCTGTGGTAAACTTTCAAGTGCTGAGTAAGATGGTCTCGACGGGAAAAGGCGTTCTCGCCTTGGTAAGCATAACAATATTCGCACAAGTACTGGGCGGCATTGCGAGACTTGGAGCTAATGTGGCGGTTGAGGGCATCAAGCCGAGTAAATGTGGTGCCACAGATACATCCGTAAGCATTGTGTCCCTCTTTTTCGCCATGCTTCCGGAGTTGCTCATTCGTCCCGAAGGTTTTGTAGCACGTGGAGTCAACGCAGGTCAAGGCTCCTATAGCGGAAGCGTATGGGAAGTGGCTTTGACTACCTACGTACATACCGCATCCACTAAGAAACAATTCATAGGGCACGGACCACACGCCTCAACCATACCATATCTAGCAATGATTTGACCATATCCTGCTGTGGGGTGCTTTAGCGAATATCGCAAGTAACCGGATATAGTTTAGGTCAGTCTAAATATAGTGTAGTTGAAGTCCGTGGTCCGTGCCCTAGAATAGATTGTTTCTCCGTGGATGCAATATCCCGTTATCGAATCAGCATTTCCGTGTTAACAAAAAAAATTACCTTCCATGCTCCTGCAGCTGTACTCCCGAAAGTGGGGCAGCCTGAGGAGCAGGAAGACCGTTCATTGGGTCGTGAAGGTCGTAATATGCAGTGTTATGCTGAAAAGTAGGATTGTTGGCCAAGGCATCGCTGCCCAGTTCGTTCTCATGTACCTGGTTGTAGTCGGTCATAGTGATGAGGCTTTGAGCGTTCAGATAAGGTGAGATAAGACAATATGGCTTACAAAGTAAGGTCGCGCGTGTGTAGTTTTGAGAACAGTCACTGAGGTATTCTTATCTTTTTACTTAGGAGCCTCCTTCAGGCACATTTTGGTTCTTTTGGAGTACATGAGAGGTACATGCCCGCCCGGGTAGGGTGTCGTAGGGTGGAAGCTATGCAGCTTACGATGCAGGTACTCAAATGCAGAGCATTTCAGCGGTCTTATTGGTCAAAGGAGGTTTCAATGCCGCTGAGTGGCTTGTCGGAGGTCACGAAGATCATATTGCCAGCGCTGATACCAGAAAGCTTGACAGAAACGGCTCATCTTACTTAACAATTGTCTCCCAATATATCCTGCATGCAGCCAATATCAGTATCTAGCTCAAAGGGGAAGAGGTGTTGAGACGTTTCTTACTACTTGAGGTGCTTTATTGAGAGGTACCCATGTATAGAAAGGTCTTACAAATATGATAAGAAGCAGAAAGACTCGAGAGTGCCAATCTTGACCATACAAAATGAATTATACACACTTATCCTGTTTCCTAACCTTGATTTAGATTCTAACTGCTACCATTTATCGTGTCAACTCAATGCTAGCAAAACCAATATACCCCTTAAGCTTCGAGTATAACTTATTGCGAACTTCTGTAGCTCCGGAGCCTTACTTTCATATATTATCAATATTCATTCATCTTTTAGCACACTTTGGTTCTTGGTATAATTGGTCACGCCCCACAACACATTCCAACCCGAACAGGTATGTGGTCACATAGGTACGGATTTTATGAACAGGTCTCTCAGCCTTAGATTAGCCACCCTAAACCTCATATATCCCACGCGAAATTCTAGGCTATTGGTCTATCATTTTATTGTATATTTCTGATTTTCGATTGTATGAATTTTCTGATTTAATGTCTACCTCGTCCTTAATTAGGTACTTAGAAGGTAGGTAGTTACCTCTCCTTTTGATCTGACTTCAAGGGAATGATATGGCAGCACTAACTCAATATGCATCTTCCTGCTTCACGCAATTTGTATGTAAATAAGAACTACCTAAGAACTTCCAATCCGGAACCCTTCATACGGCTGCAAGTAGTTAATACGCATGTTATTGGGTCCCATGTGGTTCAGTTGTTTTGGTTGATAGTGCGAGGTTATTTATAGCACCCCTTGAGCCTAAAAGAGTACTTCAGATAGGAAATCTGTTAAATGTGAAGCTATATTAATGAAGTAATCTAAGGTTAGGCAAAATAACTACCCTTGTAATCCAAGAGATCAGCAATCGCACATTGGACTAGACCCCCCGCGCCGAGGATATGAGGGCCAATTTTGCCGGCATATACTTTTGCGGAGAATGTTTGCCATGTTAAAAGGACTTCCCCAGGCGCAATGTAAGGAATATCCTTACCTAACTCTAAAAGACATAATGGCGCGATTTGGAAAATATCAAAGTCGGTAGGAATACAGCGAGAAAGGTGAACGATGATTACTACGATTCGCAAGGCCATCGGGGCCGGCTTGTCGGTGTTGGCGCTCAGCTCTACGACACTGTCTGAACGCTGTGAGAGATCCTGCTTGGAAAGCCTGATCTCAGACTACCTCAATGCCTTAGTAGCCCACGACCCATCGAGTTTGCCGACGACCCCGGACGTAAAATACGTAGAGAACGATCAAATATTACCGTTCGGCACTGGCGAGTGGCATATTGTGGAGTCACTGGGGAAGTACAGCCACACGTTCTCTGATCCCGAAGCGGGCCAGGTCGCGATCATCACTACCATTATAGAGAATGGTGTCGGTGCTATCTATCTTGTCCGCCTCAAGGTGGAAGAGGACGGAAAGATAAGTGAAATCGAATCACAAATCACACGTGATTCGGGCGGCGCGGAGCTCTATGAACAACGAGGTCAGCCGGAAGCCGTTTGGTTCGAAGCTGTACCGCCCGAGGAACGGATTCCCCGAGACGAGCTGATCTCACAAACCAACAAGTATTACACCGGCATGCAGGGAAACGACCCCAAGGGTGACTACAGCTTCTTCGACAAAGAATGTAATCGTCTGGAAGATGGTCTTCAAACGACAAACGTCAAGACCGGTGATCCTTATGGCCACTCTAACGACACGGCATTCGCTTCCCTAACTTGCGAGGAGCAATTCCAGACAGGATTTCTTGGTTTTGTCACAAGAATCCGGGAACGTCACTTTCCCGTAGTGGACGAGGAGCGCCAGGCCGTCTTTGCTATCACTACTCTGGATCATAATGCTACGGTGAAATCGTTGCCTAGCGTGAATGGCACATCCTCGCCAATCCCACGTTATTTCGAAACGCCTCGTTCGTTGCGAGCCATGGAGGGATTTCGCTTGCGTGGCGAGAAGCTTTATCGCATCGAAATGACACTAACCGAAGTTCCTTATAACATGCGAGCGGCATTTCCCGATGTTCCACCCGTAGATCTCAGCGGGCCCGGCACAAACTTTACCACGTATCCGATTCCGTGCGACCAGGTCTGCCTCGAGAATGTAGTGGGAGATGTACTCATGGCGATCCGGGTCCACGACCACACGCGCCTACCCTTAGCGAAGGGTGGACGATACTCAGAAAATGGCCAATTTGTAGCGTTCGGAGATGGTCTATGGGAGACACTAGAAGCAATTACTTGGACGGACGGGTATGGAGCAGTCTTATCCGACTCGGAAAGCGGGACGGCTGGCTACTGGGGATTCAGTACGGAGCATAGTATACCGGGAGTCCTTTCGCTACGTATCAAGGTCGAAAATGGCCAAATAACGGAGATCGAAGCGAACGTTGTGCGTGGAGAAGCTACCGATAGTCGTGGCGGAACAGTAACGCTTATGCGCCCGCCGCTTCCAGTGGAGTGGGAGGGTAATACTACAAGTATCCTCGATCCTGTGTTCCAAGAATATAGCACCAACGGTGAGATTCCGCCAGAATTGTTGAGTGCATATTTCGATGGCCTAGAAAAGCATTCAAGCGAGGGAGTGCCATTTGCAGAAGGGTGCACTAGGCGTGACAACTTTGGCCAGGGGGATCTGACTTGTGCTGATCAGCTAGATGGGAAGGGACCGGCTCCGAATGGCCTCTCTAATACCACGACGACAGTGCGTGATCGGCGAATCTTAGTTGCAGATAATAAGAGAGGAGTCGTGTTAGCCGTGGTTCTGGTGGATGAGCCTGCCAACGGTCCCGGTTCACTGTCGCCGGCAGGTCGTGTTCCGGGGACTTACATGATTCCGCAGTTGATCAAAGTTGAGGGCGGTTTGATTTCTCATATTGAAAGTGTAATCAAATGGGTTCCGTTCGGATACACGTCTGCATGGGTAGAGGCGAGTGAGAAAGTAGACAAATAGGTACCTAGGTAAGCAAGGGATACAGAGTTGTTATTTTGAGAAGATGTTTAGGAATGAAGACTTGGAAATTAAATTAAACATGGTCATAGGAAGGGAGTATGCACTTATCACATATGGTCATACTGTTATAAAACAATTATCAGATGTATGCACACTTATGCAAGTATCCCCCTTCAAGCCCCGCACCCCGCACCACTCACTGTTGCAGCGATGGGCTGATGGAGGGGCATCCTTGCAACTTTTTAGGCCGCGCCAGCCCTAATATCTTTTACTTTACATCCTCAGACCTGCGAGCCGGGTTGTGTTAGGTGGGATCACTAACAACACTACCCAGGCACATAAGTACCTAACATAGTCTGCTATCGTTGATCTATAGAGGTATTTCTATTCGGGTTCTAGAAAGACCTCTTTAATATAAGGAGACTTCAAGGTCTTAACGAAAACCCAGGATGCAGTCCGGAATATCTGGTATTATATCAACCCCTATTCTTGACTTAAAGATAACTTAGCTTACTTTCGCCAACTCCAGCTTCTCAGGAGCTCGTCACTCAGTTCAACAAGTTCTTGGGTGACCCGGCACAATTTGGACTTCTTGTGACTATCACCGGAGAGACCCTCACTGCGTCAACTACACTTCCGCGGTCCTCTCTATCGAGCAGTTTCGATGCCGACCTTCCGAAGCTGTCCTCTTACATAAAACCCGATGAGCCCCTCTTCATCATTCTACGCAGATATGACACCGCTCCGTACCTAATAGCTGTTACTTATGTGCCCGACACGGCCAAGGTGCGGCAGAAGATGCTGTTCGCGTCGACGCGGTTGACGCTGGTGCGTGAGCTGGGATCCGATCACTTTCGGGAAACAATATTCGCTACCATGGCCGAAGAGCTGAGCGTCGAGGGTTTCAAGAAGCACGACCGTCACAATCAACTTGAGGCACCCTTAACCGAAGAGGAGAAGACTTTGGGCGAGGTTAAAAGAGCTGAAGCCGAAGCCGGTGCCGGTACGGGTGTTCGTGAGATTCATCTCAGCAAGACCATGAACATGCCTGTCGCTACTGATGCGTTGGTTGCCCTAAGCGCTTTAGGCCGCGAGGAGGGAACCGGACTAGTAATGCTTGTGAGTTCGAGGAATATAATCGGGGAATATGCGCACTAACAGGAATCAAATAGAAAATCAACCCCGAGACCGAAGTCGTAGAGCTATTACAGGATTCTTCCTCACCTTCCACAATCCCTGAACTCGTGAAAAGCATTTCGGCAACCGAACCTCGCTTCACTTTCTTCCGATACAAAGCCACACCGCCGAGCGGAGGAGACGAGAAGAACGTCATACTCTTCTTCTACACGTGTCCCGCCTCGGCGGGAACTAAAGCTATCAAGTTCCGAATGATGTACCCGCTAATGAAGCGTGCCGTACTCGAGGTGGCCACAAAAGAGGCAGGGCTTCATATTGAGAAGAAATTCGAGCTTGAGGATCCGAGCGAGATCACCGAACAGTCCGTTACGTCCGAGTTATTCCCAGAGGCGGAGGTTAAAACAGCTTTCAGAAGACCCAAGCGACCCGGCAGGTGAAACGTCCCATACGGATTGTTTCTATCACATATATAGCATATTGGCGAGGATGAACTTGGAATTAGCGTGAACCCATAACCCATAGGAGATACGGAAGCAATGCGATTATATTTCGCTATATTTCATAATATGATATGATATATCACCGACGTGATGAAATCGAAAATGCCTAGCCCAAGGGTCCCCATCGCAGTAATACTACAATGCTATAGCTAGTACATAACCCGGCCTCTTAAAATCATACACCCTTTCCTATTCTTCATACCTCTGTCCCGACAACACACTCGGTCCACTCTTCTCCAACTTGTCCTTCAGGTATTCATACACCGTAAACGTTACAGCCTGGCCTGGCGCAACACGCATGATTCTCGGCGTGATGCCTTTGTAGAACGCATGAAACCCCTCTTGCCTATATCATACATACATACAATACCGTATTAGCACTGACACACGAGCAAATAGAAGGTAAAGCAGAAGCAGGAAACAAACTCACCTAAACATATCCCTCGCAATCAAACTGATCCTCTTAAACGCCGAAACCCCCTCCTCGGCCGGCGTCTTCTGCAACCTCGTCTTAATCGTATCGATCGGCGCGTTGCTTAACGGCCCCATCGCGCCGCTCACCAGGCCGATAAGCGTAGTCTGCCAGCTGGGCAGGGTCACCGCGCTCCCTCCCTTGTCGTCCTGCCACCGCAGCAGCACTTCCTTGAAGTACGTGTACGCGGTGAAATTGACGGCCTGGTTGCTGCCCTGCCGCAGCGCCGTCAGGCTCACGCCCCGGTACAGAGCGCCGAAGCCTTCCTCGCGCACTACCGTGTACAGCGCGTGTGCTGCGTTGCGGTACTTGGGTATGTCGAGGGGGTCTGCCATGCTGTGGTGCTGCGCCTGCAGCCGGATCTTGATGACTTCCATGGGCGTGACGACCGCCACGGCTTCCGTTACGCCTGCTGCGAGCCCCGCGACGAACGTCCCGCTCCCGGAGATCGCGCGCGTTTCGGCGTCGGCCAGCATTTGCTTGTAAGCCTCGAAGGACGTGAACCGGATCGCCATCTTAGGCACGATGCCGGTTAGAACTGCGCCCAAGCCCTTGTATAAGCCTAGCGGCGTTTCGCGCTTGACGATTTCGGCTCCTGTGCGGATGAACCCGCGTTTGGGGGCGCCGGGCTGGCGGGCTCGTCGTGAGAGCTGCATTCGTACTTTTATTGTGTCTGCGTGGAAGGACTGCTGTTAGAGAAGATGATGGGACGGTGGATATGGATATGGATATGGAGTACGAACCGAGAGGGTGGCACGCCAGAGCTTCCATCATACCTGCTCCTCCGCCAGCTGTTTCGATGCATGTTAGTATATAGTAAACTGGCTTTTCTGAGAGCAGGTATGGTCCAAGAACACACCGATCAAATTCGTCGCTGCCGTCGGTGGCGCCTTGCCATCTTTTCCTCCTACATTTGTCGCCATTATGTATTATTAGTATAGGGCTTGCGCCCAGGTTATACACTATCGTGCTTCCGTTCGTAGCTATGTTGTTGATATTGGGCGAAGCACTATGAAGAGTTCTAGGAGGGTAACCACATGCAATAGCCGTCACCGACGTGCTGTTAAGTAATACCGAGAAAAAGAAGGAGTCCTCTCAACAAAGAGATGTAGGCAGGTAGGTACTTAGTATATACCGAGTTTAGAAGAGGCACGTGAGAGAAGGGAGCTCGGTACGAGTATAGCAGCACAAAGCACAAAGCATCAAGTCTGACGAGTATGGGTATGTGCGTGTATAGGAGACTTATGACTCATGAGCAATAAGAGAAACAGACGACCAAACACACAAGAGGACCCCGAGCCAGGAACTCGAGCCGGGATATCTAAGTATCTATATAAAAAGCCAGGCCGGCCCAGGTACGAGGATTGCCGAGCTCCAGCAGTCGACATGCACCTGCGTGCCCGCCATACCGGAGAAGTCGAGCAAAGTGACTTAACTCGCCAGCACCAAAGATCCGCGGCTGGGACGCAGACGCGCCCATCATCTCGTGCTCTCCCCCTAGGTCTAGGCCTCGTACGTACTAGGAAAGGCAATTGGCTGTGGGGTCGAGGGGGCCAGATCGACGACGAGTGATGACAGCAGAAACTTTAACCTGGGCGCGCGCGCGCGCGTGTGTGTACACTATACTCCAAGATTTGCTCCCTTTCGTCTTGGTGTGGACGGGCTGCCGGATCAGCCCTCGTTCGGCAAACCGGAGATCTAGTCGCATGTTGTTATGCTAGCCATTGACGGCCGGCGGGAAGTGATCTAAGCCCCTTTAGAGTCTTTCAAGCATGAGGATTCCTATGCTTATTGGTTAGTTAGCTAATACTAAGTATCCCCGTATCTCATAATCTCGATTCCCTTATTCGCATTATCTGCTGCGATAGCTGGAATATTGACAAGTTCTGGCCTGTGATTCTTTAGCTGTGACGTCGAAAAAGGTGTGTTTACCGACTGAGAGCCGAGCTTGTGATTTTGCGGGGGGAGAAGGCCGGGGCATCAGACTCGACAGGGATCTTGAATTGGTACGTACCAACACCTTACGTTAGGTACATAGTTAGACCTTGTGGTTCATATCGGATACTACCGGGTAGAGATGTTCTTTGGGGTCACTTGTAGTCTAGTTCTTTGAGGCTCTAGTAAGAGCATGAGTTTATGAACGTGTTTAATACTTCACTTACCGAGGTTAGAAATGCAGCTGGAATGTTTCTTGGCCGAGCTTCTGAGACAGTCGAGAAATCAGAGCCATCCATCTAATATGGAATGCTTTTCAGCCGCGGGATGCAGAGGGCCATCATTTATAAGAAGCAGTTTAAGCCGGCCTCGCATGCAGCATATACGGGTTAGCAAAATGTGGGGAGATTCAAGGCGCATATCAAAACATTATTCTCATTCTCATACATCACAGTAGATAATTAATTTTCTTTGATATATTGGACAATGTAAAATAGACCGTACCCTATCCTAATTCTAAATAAAACCCACCCCTTCAGCAAGCGATATTACTGTGTTGCTAAGCCTTATCCAGTACGCCTTGGAATTTTATAAATATTGGACGCCGACCTTCCTTAATGCCGTCAAGTTTTCATTAATAAGCTGTCGCCTCCCAGCTTGGCTAGTTTTTCATCCCTTTGTAGCTGGTTTAACAGCTGTGGTATATGTAAACGCCTTCCGTGAAACAAGCCCGCTGTAAAATCAATCCATGAATAATGTTAGTTCGAATAGGGGTAAACCAGATAACCCAGCAATGCGCTCAAAAAGGTTAAGCAGGGGTGCCGAACTCTTCGACTTCTGACGGTTCGCCCTCGAAACTATATAACCGCACCTCTCCGTCCTCGCCTCCGCTCGCCATCCGGCTATCGCTGAGCCCGACGCAGGTTACTGGCCCGGCATGGCCGGTAAATGTTCGTTCGCACTTGCCGGTTCGAGAATCCCACACCTTGACTACATCGATAAAAACATTAGCAAATGCTTCAAAATCTTTGTCAAGTCTAGTTCAAACTCTTACCTGTAGCGTCATTGGCACTAGTAACGTATCGCAGAGAGTCAGCTGCGAGTCCCCAGATACCTTCAACATGACCAAAGAAGGTTCGGGGGCTTTTTCCTGTTGCTGTGTCCCAGAGCCTCATAGTTGCGTCAAGGGAGCCCGTAAGCATATAGCGTGGAGGTAGCGGTCGGTCAGGGTCGTTCTGGAAGATGGGTCCATACATTGCCCGTTCCTCATCCACATCCTGGGTGCTCGAAAACGAAGATGACGAACCGTTTGGAGGCGTGCCGCTACGGTTGCTAGCTACAGAGACGGCATCGCCATCACGGGCCGCCTCATCTTCAAATTCGTAATCGTCTGGAAGCGGAAGAACCTGTTGTACCTGTCCGACATGACCCTCGAATGTCTTGATACAGACTTTGGAGTCGAGATCCCAAAGCTTCACAGTGCAGTCGTCGGAGGCGGAGAGTAGCGTACGCGAAGCCGCGTCAATGCGAACGTGGTTTACCCAATCGCAGTGGCCGCGTAGAGTAAATGACTGTTGGGTTTTGAAATTGAATATTTTGATCGACCTGTCCATGGATCCCGAAGCTAAAAGACCGCCATCCATATGCACGGTTATGACACCGCCTTGGTGATTAAGGGTGTTGATGCAAACACCCGTTCGCCAGTTCCATATTTTGACCGTACCATCTAAACTCGCAGAAACAAGCATCCTATCATCGAATTGGAGGGCTCGAATTCCCATCGTATGACCGTGGAGAGTCCGAATGACCTCGCCCTTCTCGATATCCCAGAGCTTTATTTTCGAATCATAAGAGCCCGTAGCAAGCATGTTGTCGTCGAATTGCAGAGCAGTTATACCGTTCGTGTGCTGCCCCCCAAATGTTTTGATGGTACACCTCCCATACCGCCAGTTTGATCCAACGCGATATCTCTCTCGGTATAGATCTTTCCACGGCCGAAACTTCTGGGTACTTTCTGACGACTTGTTTTGGTTGCTGACACCGTTAACGCATTGACGTTTCGAGGAATCAGTCTCCTTATCCTCCAGGGAGGACGCGGCACGCTTGACGACCGTCATGATAGCAGAATCCTGACCATTCGTCAATAATGCTCGATGGTTGCTCATGTTTGCTTGATGCTGAATTTTCCATTCCTTTAGCCGCTTCTTCTCCAATCTCGGAAGACCCCATTGACACTTCTCACACTTGCGTCCGATGTGCTGCTCACACATACGGTGCCACACGACGTCGTCTCCAGATAGCTGGGTCCACCTTCTGCTAACCTGGGCAGCTTTGCAGAGAGAAGAACAATCAAGGTAACACAGAATCTTCAGAGATAGCTCCGTTGGTAGAGCAGACAGGAAGTCTATCTTTAATTGCTCGTGGACCTCACGGGACACTGTAGATAGTTGAGGAAAGCAACACTGAGTAATGATGCCTTGCAACATAAGCTCGCGGTGCTTTGAAGGTGCAGCGGAAAACAATGACCAAACATTCGTAATAGCCTGTCTATCGGCAGCAGGTAGCGTTTCGAGTTCCTATACATCAATATAAGTATCGGTGAAGAGCTATGTTATACCAGGTGGCGGGCAAGAACATACGCTCTGAATTAACCCCATCTTGGTCTCGTCAGCAGCCCTACGGCACTTGGAGTCTGGCCGGTGTCGGTAGCAATATTTACTGTTAGGGTCCTTCGTCGTAATAGCAGCCATAGACGGAAGATCGGGCTTTCCTATAGGTGCGTACAACCCGGGGATATGTTCCCGTAAAAAGGGAGTAACAGATTGACCCATGAGTTGTTGGGACATATTGGGTAGTCGGGAGGAGTCCTCTGCACCCTCGGGTCTTCGTCTGTCACAGTTGTCCCTTGATGGTTTGGATTGTTCGATCGGTACGGAGGACAAGGACTGTCTCTGCAGACGAGATCGGTTGATGGTGGATATGTTGTTCAAGTTCGTCGGTGTGATATCGTCTGGCAGGAAAATGGGGCCATCGTGTCTCGACATCGACTCGTGGCCGTTGGGTATCGGCATTGGCGGCAGGCTATCCATAATGATAGATGATGAAAGTTGAGGGAAATTGGATTGGTGGCCGGGTGCAAGGACAAAGCCCAGGTAAGATCTTATTCGAATTGCACCATCGAAGAGAGTATGGTGAGGGCTACGGTGAAACACGGTAAGATGGCGTGCTGGGTCGATGATAAACCGTACAAAGTGCGGTACAGATTTGCGCTCGTTTCCGTTCGGTTGTCGTAGACTGAGCGGGATCTCGCAGGCCCCCCCTCAAGTCTCAAATATCCCCAGGATCTAGCAATCCAACTATGTATGCCGCCGGTTGACGGGCTAGACGGCTCGGTATAATAATATGGTGTACCCTGCTTTTTTTTTTAGTTTCCCTCCCTTTTCTTTTCTTTCTTCTTTTTTTCTTAAGTATCGACGGCCTTGATGGCCAAAAAGCCGGGGAAGCAAAAAAAAAGAGGGACGGACTTGAACGGGGTCAATTGCACGTCAAGTAGAACAAGATGGCGAAATCGGCCAAAGCTGCATTTCCTTACTTTCCCTGCTTTCCAATTGTTTGGCGCTGGCTGGTCTTGACTGGTTGGCCCGGTTGGCTCATCGAAGCGGTCAAAAAAGTGGTGATCCTGTCCCCTAAGAGCCGACCAGCCGCCAGACCAGCGCCAAAGCAATTTGCATTTAGGGTCTTAGGGTCTTGCTTTGTTCACCTTTGTGGTGCTTTGGGGCCCGAATGGCGACATACTAGACCGATAACCTTCCGAAGTACCGGGCCCCACTACGGCTGTCGGGGCTTCGACAGCTCAGGGATAGCCTGGTGGGTCTGGGGTAGGTGCACCTTAAAGCACCTAGACACCTTAAAATAGACCCAGTCTGCCAGTCCGGTTGAGGCTTTAAAGCTGATGAGAAACTGGTAACACAGTGTCCGATATACTGTATTATACAGTACTATTAGGTAATCGATTCCTTCCACCAGTCTACCTTACCGGAACTCCGACAGCCGCCAGCCCCCTGTGGCTTGATCTCGCCATTTTCACGAAATCTTCCGTCGTTTGCGTAACAATAGGTATTATATCACCCGTAGGATTCAGCCACTGCCGTTCCGTAATGAAACATTCATCTAATTACATACATGCAGGTTACAGATATCATTTTCTAGATGTCTTAAAACTTACCTAAGCTTAGTACCTAAGATACTAATGTTGGCCTCAGGCTTACCCCTGAGCACGCAATCAGTCGATAGCGTTGTGTACTTCGTATTGTATCTTTAATTAACTAAATCTTAAGTACGAAGTAGTTAAGCTCTCTCAAGAACGTGCGTGCACTTGTTTCAATATTGCACGCCCCTATTACGAGCCCCTATTTCGACATATTGCACCGTCATAGCTCAATCACGCAAAATCACAACTTCTCAACTACTGATTTACTAACATTACAATTCATAAAGGCCAAGTACCTACCTAAGTTATTTCATCAAGTAAACGTATCGTGTAAGTGCCCGTATCGTTTCCCGAGTTCGTCCAGTACAAATCACCTCCTGTAAGGGAAGATACTCAAATACAAGGTAGTCAGCATTCTCCAGTAAAATTGCAAGACGACTTACTACACTATACCAAATGGACATTCCTCACTGATGGACATTACATCAGATCGGTAAATAGGGGTAGCCGCACAAATGCGTTATTCGTAGTCCAGATATCATTAGTTCCTTCACAGAGGTTCTATCTTCATTCGCAACGGATCTCTTAATAAGGATCTTACTAGACTATGAGAAACAACTTCTACTATCAGATTTATCGTCTCAGCTACAATGGTGAAATATACAAACACACGGTTCGGCTTTCTCATGGATAGATCTACTTTCGTCAGACTAGTTCGTAAAAATAAAGATATTTCTCCGCCCAAAATCGCATACTAGCCTTAGAACCATAGTATGCAAATACATTGTCGATTCCATTTTCATTCATTGTGAAATCACTACGTCTACTTCTAGCGAAACTACGGGGTATAATGGTATTGTTGATCTACATACGATGGACATAGAGAAAGCCACTCCTTTGACCTTTAGATTGAGTAGGTACATACAAAGGCATTACTAGGAGCACGTAGTCGAATGAATGTCTTGAGACAATTGAGAAGTTCTCCATAGCCAGCTATAAGGAGAACTACTCACATTGCGAACCGCCTCGCACGTCACGGCTGTCAGCCCGAGTAAGCAATTCCTTCTACAGCTGGTTGATCACTAAGATAAGAACGCAAGTTGTGTTGCCCCGAGCCATTAATTAGGCGAAGAATAATTTCTAACGACGACGGGATGCGCTCTCGAGGCCCACCAGGATGATAATGTATAATAATATATCAAACACGTTACTTATGAACTTCAGGGGTCGCTATCTTCGTATCAAAGACACTCTGGTAGAACTATCTTTTAATTGATACGCTATGCATAATGTATGGGGATAGATACAAACAGCGAAAGCTCAAAACTGAAATGTACGGAAATTCTGATATTATCAGAGCAATCTTGATCTCTTTAGGGATTAGAGATGGCTTTTCGACATATAGTCGCTCTCCCTATCCCAATAGCAGTATATCACCAACTTTACGTTAACTTCCTTCCATCTCGTAAAAATCAAGAACCTCTGGATAGGCAAAGAGGTCTAGTGGTTCGAAGAATGCCTTTTTTTCCCCGGTGGTTTTAAGTAGAGTGGTGAGACGAAAGAGTAAATACCATGCCGGCTCTAGGTAATGGATTTAATACTATTTAACCTTTAGTGGACTGTAGCCAAGTCTAGGCTATCATGAACCATACGACATGCTAATTTGGAGCCGAGTGGCCTATCGTAGACGGACTTACTCCATACTCCCTAACGATATTCTCGGTTGAGTCGATGTAGTCTCTAATAGGACACCTAGACAGCTTGATATCCGTCTCCCTAGGCCTATTGTGCTATCTCACAACTAGGCGCAGGCTTCTTTCACACGTGATGCATCTTAGGAGGACCTAAGCTCTCAGTAGCCCCTTTGTTGTTGCGATGTTGAATTCCAATCGATTAATTTCGTGTGTATACAACCCAACCTTCCTGCTTATAACTTAAAGCAAAGCAGCGGCTATAGGACTGTTCGAGTAATATCTAAGTGAGCTCGGGGGTCAATACTATCCTATGTTCATATCATCTAGGGCTTATTGCCTTGGAGGTGTCCGTGTTTATTAGTTCGTCATTGTTCACGCAGCCCACCTCAACGTGGCTTTTTAATATATGTGTTAGGTAGGGGTTAAGCTATTTAATTATAAAACATGCATCTCCTTTGCATGGCTACCTAATTTACTAACGTTAGGTACTTATGTACACTTTTAACCAACTCTATTATTGGCGGAATGCGTCATATGACCTCTCATGTTCTCACGGTCTACGGAACAATGAGGCGAACCTGGATCTCTAGAAGTCTTGATTGAAACAATATTAACAAAGAATACACAACTCGTTCAGATATAAGCGTAGGTAGGTATACAGCGGAGAGGATGAAAGATGTTTATAGGCTATAAGAATCCTACCATATGTTGGTGCACTTCTCAGTTGTATATTTCCGGAAAGACCAAAATCAGTCCAAGGGCTTATATGATAAATATGTTACATTCGACAATGAGATCGCATGTTAGAACAACTACCAGAATCTTCTTGCTAGTATTCCATCCGTAAACTCACTGCGGATGGATTTCCTATAGTGGCACACTTGTAACATTCGTGCAGTATATTAAAGATATTACAGAACCGCACGAGTATAAACCGATCCATCCTGAAGCCGCTAATTTCCGGGAATTGCTCATCATTTCCTCCTCGACAACTGATACCTAGTTCTTGATGACAACGAGGTCTGATCACATATCGAATTTGACTACTCCAACATCCTGCAGGTGCCTCGGGCTTATAAATCTCTCGGGATTTGAGTAGGTAGGCTATGCACATTAGTGCGAATTGTCTATTTCCAGACAATTACCCCAGTCAAGATACACTAGGGACGGGTACCTGATTATGGTTAAGGGGAATACCACATAGCTTAATTCAACTAGTTTTCTTAGATTTGTAGTGTAACATTATATTCTTTCGAAACTACCTAATGCGTAAAAACAAATATGTTTTTCTTATCTTGTCGAGGATTGGTTCGCGATACTGCTCGGTTGACGATGAGTTATGTTGGTAAATGTACGTTAAAGGGGTTTTGCGCTGTTGACAATACGTTGCGCTCACCCATCTTAGTACCCGCAGCTGAGAGCTTCAGTTACATTGTCCGCAGCTAAATCCGTTGTGGTTATATTGACTTTTAATCAGATGTTTTCTCTGTCGCCGAGCGCAAAAACATGCTCTAGCACCAACTTCATAACATCAAAGCTGGTTGGATCGGCGGCGGGGAGCAGCGGATTTTATCCCCCAACTCATTACTAGGGCACACGTTCGATATGTCACAGTTGGCGAAACTAATGTACCATTCGTTAAACGTAAATGTGTCGCGGGGTTAAAAGGTCATTCTCATTGGTACGTTATCGATTTGCATGCCTTATTATAGAAGATCGTCGCTCTAGATGCCCTTTGCTATTCTTTAGCCCCTTTTCCTTTTCCTGGCCCTAGCGTTTTCCAGCCCTACTTAACCAACCCACTCTTCATAACTACATACATTAATAGCCTATCTCCCGCCTGTCATCTTTTGTATGAGCAGCTGTGATACAACTTACGATTTAACTTAGAACCTGCCTTCGCCCCTTTCTAGTTTAGGTAGGTAGCTATGGAGTTATAGCTAGAGTAAGAATACGGACTAGAGTATTCCTTTTCATGAATGTATTTATATAAGATAGCTTTGATTATCTATCAATGACAAGAGAAACAAGAAAATAGTAGGGTTTTTGAAATGTTAGTTGATCTTGCTTGGAGTTGACTTGGAGTGGAGACATACGGGAGGATCCTTGCGATTTGATAGATCGTATCTTCCTAACCAAATCTAAACCCATCCTTTCCGGGGAATGAATGCCTTTCTTAGTCGATCTTGTTGGGGCGAACAGCCTCATCGGCACCGAGGCTGAATACCCGGCATATGGTACCCCGGTCTGCCTCTGTTTAATAACGGCGTCAGCAAAATCGAATATTTTTAGCTCTTCTCCTAAACCAACAGAACAGAGAAATAAAGGCAAGGAAGGAAACGATTTTCCTAAAGTACAAGGTTGGTTGCATACCTAGGTATTCTTATGGTACAGATGCTGAACCTGTTCTTCCGTACCTTTCAGACGTACCCAGCCTACCCAGTGTAGGAACAATGCGAACCTTTTTCAATGCTATACACGGAGCTACCATCTCCAAGGCCAATAGCATCGATTAAACCGGAACTAGCCACGTTGCGATGCACTATAGTACTCTTTTAGATGTAGCGTTTTATTTATTTATTGATTCCCTTGTGCCTTTTATTATGCAAGTCTCCACTCAAGCTTCGAATCCAGATTCAAGCTTCTACCTATATCCCGAGAGCAGAACACAGCTGAGGACATTTGGGCGAAGAGTCAATAAAGTAGCCTAACAACACCCGATCCGGAAATTTTCACGTTCATCAAGGCAAAAGTTTTAATGTTGGAGTAAACTCTCATTGACTTGGCGCGAGGTTGAGCCTCACCGCCATAGCATGGTTTTGGAGACGAATTGAGATACATAGCTTCTAGATCTATACAGGGGTAGCTTCGGATAATGAACCCAAAGTTTTATATATAAAAGTTACCAGCCCCTCTTGTCAAGCTGATATCGTTCTACATCACAGACAAGTTCCCGATACCTTCTACAACTATATCTACCTTTCAATCACCACATAACTCTACCCTCAACTCGCCAACATGTTCACTTCATTTCTTGCAGTTATCTCTACCCTCGCTGCCTCCGTGGTGGCCGTTCCTAACCTTGCTGCCCGCGAGGTCTTAGCTACTTGGCCCGCCGATGGCTTCGAGCAGAAGTGCTTCCACCCAGTAGGTAAACCGAAGAGATCCCTATTAACCTCTGCTGATAAACCTATAGGGTGGCTGCACAGCCGTTTTCAACATTAAAGCCCCCGCGGAATACGTACAAGGTGCTCCGGCATTCAGTGCCGTCTGCCACCCTCTCTCTGCTGTATGTTTTATCCAAATAATTACTTCCTATCTATCCGGGATCCTTTACACGAGGCACTTCTTAGAGTTGTTAAGCCATACAGCTGTAAGTTACAAGTACTAACTCACATTACAGGAGCAAAATGGCACTCCTAACTGCGAGGCCGTAACTGATCCGGCTGCTGGCTCGTATGTGGAGTCGGTGTGGGAAGTCCCCTCGGCGGACGATCTCGTTAAGCTCTCGATCTTCCACATCTGGAATGAGGGCGATGCCCGATACAATGCCTCCGGCTCCGTCGAGTTCCCCGCCAGCGCCACCTCGTTTGAGGTGCCAGTGACCTCGGTCACGGCCGTCTTGTAAGAGGGTTCATGTTGCGATATCGAAAAGAGACGGGGTGTCTTAGGAGCTCGCGGCTGCTCATCCTGTAAACTATCACCGGATAACCTCGGGCTCGGAAATACTCTCTAGGGATTTACCTTCTTATTTATGTTACCTAATTTGCATCATAGACTTGTTAGATAGACTTAATATATGACGGTTTGTCATACTTATTGGATATATTAGAATATTGTGTAGTGAATTTAGAAGGCATGTAAACAACTTCTAATTGAATATCATTTACTCTAGGTTTCTGATTTATCATCCTTACGAGATATTAGCTATTGATAAGATCCGCGGAGACTTTGACTATAGGCTGAGCAAGATATCGCTTTGGCTGGAACCCCTTTTCACGTAATGAAGTCTTGTTATAATTTAGAATTGCGTGCAATTTGAAAATATGCTTGCTAGAAAGGGTGACGTGGAATGACTGGTATGATTTCTTGATCTGTGATTTGAATCTCTAAAAGAGGTGTAACCTGGATTCTATTGAATATGACAACAAAGTCAGCAGTTTGGAAAATATTAATATTTCATGGCCCCTGAATGTGTCTAAAAATTAAGTCACTCTTAGTCCGTGCACGATAACTAACAGCCAAGTTAGGAGGTACATATTGCATTAGATCCGCTGATAATCTACTAACCTAGTCTTCACGCTGTCATGTGCCCGATGTCGCAGTTTTAGCACTAGCTGAATGTTTATCAATCTGATAAGATCTTGCTGCGTCGAAATCCCCTGTTAATTAAATCTTACACTAAACACCACTTAGTATCGAGGAACGATGTCCGTCAACCAAGTTGATAAGGACTGGGTTCTCGACATCTTCAGGGAAAGCCTGAGGACATCGCGTCTTCCTCCCGGTCTAGATGCCATTTCTGCTTCATTCAACGATACCCCTCCGGTGAGAGAAATTCCGATCGATCCCGAAAGGCTCGAGTATTTACGAGACCTAATTGCCTACATCCTCGACGGTCGCACTATCGTCTATACCTACAACATTATTTTATTAGTAGTGCTTTTGCTATTTACTTTACTTCACATAAACGAGAGAATACGAGAGAAGTCTAGATGGTGCATACTCGAGCAAGGCTCTACCAGAAACACGGCCGACGATTCCGAGGCTGCGAACGAGGCTGCAAACGAGGCTGCGAACGAGGCTGTGAACGAGGCTGCGAACGAGGCTGCGAACGAGGCTGCGAACGAGGCTGCGAACGAGGCCGAATCGTCTTCCAGTAGTACTCTAGAGGGCTCGTTATCATCCCAAATTACACTGAAAGCTGTCGACACCGACGTCGAGAGGCAACCTCTCCTTGGATCTAGACGGCGCCAGCCTCCGTCGGTTGGATGGGGAAATCGTGTCGTTAAGCGTTTGCATTCCCTGTTGATGTATCAACCTCGGCCAATCCCATTGATTAATCGAACCTTGCCGTCAAATGAGACGTCTCTTTTCGTTTTGGCCTTTCTGGGTCTTAATGCTTTCTACCAATTCTACCAGGTCCCCTTAGATTCAAAGTATTTTTTTGCTTTCGCCGATCGAGCTGGTATAATATTCATCGTCAATTTACCTCTTCTCTACCTCCTCGCTGCCAAGAACCAACCGCTTAGACTCCTTACAGGCCACTCCTATGAAGCTCTCAACATTTACCATCGCCGCGTTGGCGAGCTGATGTGCTTCGAAGCAGTAGTCCACTTCTTTGGAATGCTTCTTTGGCGGCTTGTTCTTGAGCCTCCTTGGCTGAGGAGTGGCAGCTTCTACGCCTTTATTACCCACCCTTTATGTCTTTGGGGTATTGGGGCGTGGGTGTCATATGAGTTGCTCTACTTTACATCTCTCGGAAGTTTTCGGCAAAGGTGGTATGAGCTCTTCCTAGCTTCGCATGTAGTCTTACAAGTCGCGGCCCTCGCATTTGTATATATGCATTTCTTTACGACTCGGCCATATGTGCTCGCATCGCTGGCAATTTTCCTCCTCGATAGACTTGTTTGGCGTTTGTGGATGAAGTCTACAAGATTTACAGCAGACCTTACGGTATTAGAGGATGACCAGACATTCCTTCTCTCCATGGACTGGGACATACCTAGATCTAAACCACGAGGGTGTCTTAGTTCCTTGGGACAAAGTATCCGGTATGGTTGGCGCCCTGCTGATCATGTGTTTATTTCAGTCCCAGTACTCGGCCGTAGCCATTCTCTCCAGGCTCACCCATTTACGATCGCGTCCGCTGCACCCGCGACGGACCCTACAGACTCGCCTAGCCATGCTTGGTTGAGTTTATTGATCAGAGTACAATCCGGCTTCACTTCTGACCTTCTAAACCATGCACGTTTAAACTCGAGGGTCGCTGTTCGTCTGGACGGCCCATATGGGTCCCAGGACCCCCTTAATATGCTGAGGTCATGCGAGAATGCTGTCCTCGTCGCTGGTGGATCCGGAATTGCAGTCGTCTTCCCCATGGCATGGGATTTAATAACAAGCCATTGCGGGAAGAGGCAGGTCCATTTAATCTGGGTAATACACTCTCGAGCCCAACGTTCCTGGGTACCAGAGGAGAGAATTACTGAATTACAGAAGCTTGGAGTCCATGTCACTATCCCCGAACCGACGATTCAAGCAGGCAGACCGGATATCCCTGGCTACGTTGCCGACTTAACTGCCGCCTCGGAGGGTAAGATTGGATTTGTAGTCTCCGGACCCGATGGCCTGAACAGGACTGCAAGGAATGCTTGTGCTGATGCTGTTAGATTAGGGGCTGATATTCAACTTCGTGTGGAGAAATTTGGCTGATAAGGAGCGGGGTCAAATATTTGGTTTCTTGGGACTAATGAGAGGCGTTTTATGATTACATGTGATATCAGTTGCATAGAGTGATACACTTGATAACGATTATGTTGTTGTTATATTTTGGATGGTCCAGATATTTAGACCAGGTAGAGGCTGGCGAACGTATGCATTGTATCTTTTTGTAGAATCCTGTTTTTATTTTTTCGAATATTTCTTGGTATGTTATTGAGGCACATAAACGATTGCCCTTGAGGGTTTAACTAGAACCATTACCACGCCACTGCTTCGAACTGTATTCATGAGTGTCCCCCAATTTTTTCAAACTTATTACATCAATGATTTGATGGCCGTGATAGAACCACCTTTTTTGGCATATTATTCTGGAAATTATTGGCGGTTTGGTTAGCCAAGCATCAAAAACTTTATGTCCTCAAGTGCCAACGAGACACGGTGGAGTAAACCTACAGGTAGGGCATATCCAATCAGGATTGATGGCGAACTTTCTGAACAAACTGCCATAGGCAACTTAGATTTTAAGAGATGCCCTACCGTGTCTCGCTGGCACGATGAGAGGTGCGAGCTTAACTGCGATCTGTGCACCATCAAGAACAACAAGGATAAACGTGGAATTGTGGTATAGCTGACATCATAATGAGGATAGTTGAAAAAGCCTCCTAGGCCTCTCTGTTCTGTTCGGTCTTAACTTCTTCTATCTTGTGGTAAAAGAAACTGTACGGAAACAATGTCGCCAAATAGCAAAGTAGAGGTCAAAAAATCGTCCATCAACGGAGCCGGGCGCGGCCTCTTCGCCTGCCAAGACTTTGGGCCGGGTGACCTAGTTGTGTTTCTTGACCAGCCGCTCCTCGCTGAGCTTGATACGGATCGCATGGAAGATACTTGCGGCTGGTGCTTCCAGCGCGGCGCGACTGATCCTATGGAGCGCATGCAGGCAGCATCCATGGGGCTTCCGAATGGGCTCATTGAGATCAAGAAATGTACCCGCTGCCGCCGAGTAGGATACTGTTCCAAGAAATGCCAGAGTAAGGCTTGGAGACGCGAGCATAAATACGAATGTCATATCCTAGCTCCAAGTACCCGTCCCGCTTGTATGTATCCGGGTTTTTTCTCTCTTCATATCTGGCCTAAGAGCTAGAACCTTACCGCCCGGTTGGTCGAGAAGCACCTAAAATCATATACTGACTATTGCTATTGAGTGCCTATGGGTGTACGTGCTGTGATCAAGCTCCTTGGTCGCCTCAGAGGTAGCACCGGCGATGAGAGGGAACAGATATTAGATATCTTGAATTTCTGGCCAGTCGCTGGTGATAGCAACCATCTTGAAGACATTCGTCGGCTAGATAGAGAGAAGTTCGATGACTTCAATATGTTTGCTAACGCAGCTTGGACATATGCGGGAAAACCTTCCATTGACGGTCACGATGCTGAAGCTGTTGCTAGAGACCTTATTTTTAACGTGTGTCCCTAAGACTAGTGTGAGATGATGTGATTCTAAGCTGACATCTATTTGCAGGTTATGTATAACAGTTTCCAGATAGGCTCTCCGCTCGACGCCGGACACTATGGCCGCGGGTTTGACCTCTTGATTTGCAGTGCGAACCATTCCTGCGACCCGAACGTGGTCCGCGTTTGCAACCAGCCAAGCACGATACTACGTGCGTTGAAACCTATTAAGAAAGATGAGGAGATATTCATGGCATATACCGAGACGACGAACCCATTTTGGGTGCGGCAAGCGCATGTTAAAAAGGCTTATTACTTCACTTGCCAATGTGCCAAGTGCATAAGGTGTCCTGTTTCCCCCGAGGATACGTTCGCGAAACCGCCGCAGAAATTGTCCAAGGAGTACTGTAAGGTAGCAGATGGTCTAGTGAAGCGTCACAGGGCAGACCTGGGGAAATTCTTAGCTGGAACCGATGAATCCAGGGCGCAACTTAGACTCGCTGCTATGCAAGCATCGGTTTTCGATGTTTCTGAGAGCGGCTACTCCTTGGAAAATGATCTTAAGGAGGCCCTTCATCTGTGCATCGACTCAGGAATGTGGACTTGGGCTCGGCAGCCTGTGCCCGAGCTTTGTCGTCGACTGTTTAGCGTATACATGGAATCCAGCAGTCTTTACAAGGCGCTCAAGCTAGGGCTCAAGCTCCTCGTCGAGATAATGCCGAATATTTCCCCCCAACCCTTCTGCCCAGAACGGTTAATTCTCACAGAGACCTTAGCATTGATGTCCAGCATGATCGCGGGCCCGACGCACCCACAGGCGGAAAGAGAACTTGCTGAGTATGGCCTAGAACCACGCGTTATCTTCTGGGGCTTGATGCTTGAGCTGCGCAAGCATATTCCTCAGATGTACGGCTGGGATTCGCCGTTTGGCAAGTTCGTAAATAATTACTGCGAACAAGCCAAAGCTCACGAGATCTTCAGCCAAGTCGAAGTTAAGAAGGAAGTCGTAGAGGCCTGGCCGAAACTGCAGGAATTCTTAAAGAACATAGATATCTTGAAGCTTTGCGACGAGAGAGAAGACGGAGATTGTACTCTGATGTAAGGTAATGGGTTCTATCAACATAAAATTAGATATGTGACTTTTGATATAGGATCATGTCTTCTTATTTAAATCCGTAGGTTATCTTCAAAAATGGGCGAGATACACTGGCAAACCTGAACCCAGGGCACCTAAATCACGTCTCCAAGTTGTAGATTCCATGGACGAGGCATTCAAGATATGGTGAAGATTGTAGCTTATTAACTGCATAAGAAACCCCGAGGATATCTCAAGAAGATGCATAGGTCCGTTTAAACTTGAGACTGGAACAAAAACCGGGTTCCAGACTGCATGATTTGGTATACCTGAATATGAAATATACACAAAAGGTTCCACCAACTTCCATGAGATGATCCTATCCGTGCCGCCGGAATATGCACTGATCAATATACATCGTTACAGTCTCGCGTGGACATCATGCAGCTCATGCTGATGTCAACGTGTCGATCGTGATCAACGCCTCTAAACTCTGGAGGCGACGAGACTCATGTAAATCCCCCACAAGAGTCCCACAAAATTAAGGAAGACGATCCGTCGTTCCACCGGCACGCAGCTGAAGCTAATGATGGAGGCGAACGGCCAGATCTTATATCCGGCAACGATGACGGGGATCGTCTCTGTCCTGATGTTCTGCGCGATTTCGGCTACGGGCTGGCTCTTCAAAATACCCATGAGTATGAAGAATGCGACCGTGTTAAAAATGGCTCCGAGGGTGATACAGTCGATGAACCACTTGGCGAACGTGTTTCGCAAGTTTAGCTTAGGCTTTTGTTCTTCTACATTTCCTCGCGCTCGCACATCTTCTCCGTTTATGCCCTGCTTTTCAATATCACCGATGGATGTCGTTCGTTCATATGCAGGAAAGCTGCGTTCTAGCAGTTGTTGCCACATGTAATTCGGGGGAGCAGTAATGAAGGTGACGGCAACGAAGCGGAGGAAATTGGCGAAATCGAAAACAAAGGGGTGTCCGTCTCGATACGCTTCAAGGAATTGCGCCAGGATGTTGGATGCGCTGGATAGACCGGCCGCGGCCAGCGTGGCTTTAGTCATCGGAGAAGGCATTTTGATCCGTTTGATGTTTGTAGTCTTTCAATCAGGACGAAGAATATATGAGATGAAAGACGAAGATGGAGAGCTAGAGAAAGACGTAAACGAATTATGTCTTTTCATTGACGAACCGGATGAATTCGACATTAAATTCGACATTAGTTAAAATTCACGTAGATCTAGGGGCAGCAATCCAGAGACGGCAATGTAGTGTGTGGATGTTGTCGTAAGGGAATTTATGGATTTCTTATTAAAATGTGACAAGTCGGTCGGGATCGTCGCTCTCATATGTACAAATTAATTACATGCATTTGATATCTCTCGATCTTCGGAGTAGCAAGTAAGTACTATTTAATACGGTAAGCTCGTACAGATTTGAGGATTCAGTGCCTTGAGAGTTGACAAAACGTCGTCTGATCTTCTGTTGACTGATTTGGTTGTTTTTATTCGGATGAAAAATGATTTTATAGAAGAAGCATAAAAAAAGAAGGGTCATGTACGATGTCGTAACTCCTGAACCTAATGTAATTAATGGGTGGATCTTACTTCAGATGACGCGACTGCTGGCCCTAGATTGATTTTTCTGGGGTTTATCTTAGGTACCGCTAACACGGTATGCAATTATAAAGACATATTCTTTTAAAAGACAGACTAAAGTGATTCGTAATCAGTGGTTCGTTGCACCAAAGACTTATCCTGTTGCCTACGAAACTCAGCTACTTTAAACCGTAACCTAAGGTACCTAACCTAGAAACTCGTCATATTATCGCCCCTAACCTCGTTACGTTAGAGTCAGTATGATGCTATGTATAGGTACCTATGCACTACTGTCCATGAGTTGAAACCAAAAGTCGCCTAAATATCTGACACCATACACCTAACATGTTGCTCATCTGACATGTTTCGACACCTTCCCTGCCTGGTTCTAGGCCCCAGTGCCATTTACTCTACAGTAACCTACCAAGACGAGGCGGTTCTGCCTTGCTACTAGTAGGCTGTGCCATCCATTATCGTCTCTCTATTTGAGCTAAAGTGATAATGAGATCCGGTGACTCACCTTAACTCGTCCATCTAGCCAATCGTCTTACACGCCTCGAAGCTGGGGGGGCAGGGGAACCGGGGAACCGGGGGTATGGTATCAAAAACGACATGGCTTTCGATGACTCTCTCATAAGTAGGCTAAAACTAGACATCCTTATGATTCATACGCCCAAAGGTAGACTTTATAAATATGCATCTATTCTCTTAGCTTCCGCCTCCCTCTATCTCTGTTAATCCTCACCGAGATACCTACGCTATCAGCGCCCTGCACGTGGCATCCATTACGTCCTTCACCCCATGACATTGCTTTTGCTTTACGTGTTCCTAAATTTTACAATATTACAATAACAGATAAAATAAAAAGTCTTATAAATATCCTAATAAATCGCCCCTCATGACGACCGTTGCATCATCACTTCTCCCTGACGACCAACCCTTTCGGCGCCGCGTGCCTCGACTGAGTCCTGCACTCATTAGATGGCGAAGTCGACAAGAACCACAAATTTTCAAACGGGCCTTCAAGTACGACCAAGTCAATCGGTCTATTAGGGCTAGTAGAGTTCACGATAACCGTGTCATCCGCCAGCGAAGACCTCGGCCTTCATATCCAGCATGGGGGTTCGACGACGAGGACAGCCGCCGTTTGGCAGCCGACCCTAACTTTGCATTACCCTCCGACTGCAGTCGTAGCAAGCCCCGGCTTGAACGCCAGGAAGCCTTCCGAGAACCCAAGACGCAAGGATTCTACTCCGACGTAGTGGAAGATGATTCTGACTTATATAAGTTGGGGCTTCTATATGACGATGAACTCTCACGCGGCTCCTACTTCAGCTTGGACGCTATCGTCCACGATGAGCCTGTCTACTCAATCCGTCTAGCGAAGCGAGCAAGGAAACAGCGCAAGGAGCAGTCTTATTTGCACCTAGACCTTTCGTACGCTTTCTTGGGTTCGGACATAGACGCCGGTCCTTTTTTTGTTCCCGAAGTTCACGAAATCCTTACTCCTGTGGAAGATGCCTCCGTAACTCAAGACAGTCATGAAGACAACCATGCTTCGACGCGATCATACCAGGATACAACACTCTCAGTTATCCACGAGCTCCCGGAGAGCTCAGCACCTTCATTTGAAAAGGCTGCCCCGGAGGCCGCTGATTTCTCCGATTTAGTTTCCGATTCAGAGGGGGAGGACGAAGAATCACACGAGTGGGCGTTATTGGAGGATGTCGATATTCTGAGTAATGCGGATGTTGATACTGGCGCGGAAGATATCGTAGACGCAGTCTCCGTCACTGGAGAAGCCTGGGTCGTGCTGGGTGACGGCTCGTAGCAGGTCCGCATATGAGATTCCCGAATGCCCTCGGATCTCGACCTGATCGCAGCGTCGCTGCGCGGATTGGTCCTCTTTATACCCAGCACCCCAGGCACCAGTGTATTCGAGGTGAGACAGTTGTGTGCTCGTAGTCTTTGGACTACTCGAGCTCACTGTTTGCGTTGAGGTGTATCAATACGTGTACGCTTTTGTATCCCCCGCAAGACGTTGCATCATATGGCTTTCTACAATGGTTTCCTACACTGGTTTTCTCTGGCATTATTCGGCGCATTGGCAGCATACCGATATCCTGGGCTATAGTTGGTGTTGAAGCTTTTAGCATGATTTGATGATTTCATTTATTCAACTGTACTTTAAAAGATTATTGTTGACGAAGTATACGGGCTAGCCTTCGAACTGCCCCCTTTACGACGTCATAATTCAAGCTTATCAATCTAAAAATCTATCTTCGTCATGTTGACATCTGCCAAATCTCGCATTGCTATCTACTAATGTCTATTACTAAATGTACCTAATTATATCCTAACCCAATAGATACCTACTTATGCAATCTAATTATAGTAACTCTAGGAAGAAAGACGATAGATTATAGTATTCGACTTGCACTTTGAGCCGTGGGTCTGACAGCACGCATATGTGCAAATCAGCTTAGATTCTTACCCAACAGTCAAGTAGTTGAAGAAGATGGGTAGCCCGAAATATATAGAAGAGGCGCATAGGAAGACAAAAGATGCATCTTAGCTATAAATTCAAGACTAAAAATTCAGTATTGACCTTGGCTACTTTAGGTACCTAGGCACTTAGTCTACCATCCCTATAACCTGGCGATCTTCAAAAAGGAGATGAAATTACGCCGAACGCCATCCAAGTAACCTACAGGACTTATGTCCTACCATACGAATCTAAACCCTAGCCAATGACCTATTTAAACGCCCCCGAAAAATACCTGATTTGCCTATCTTACGCCTAGATATTATAGGTCTGATGTTGGACCATATCTTGTCTCTGTAGCTTCGACGACGCTTCCCTCAAGATTCAGTGGATTTGCGATCTCATCTTGCCTAATAGATCTGCCATCGCGGACGGGCATAATTTCCCATCTGACCATGTCATCGTCCATACCAGGCCAGAGGTCGTGTGGTAGATATTCTGCAACTTCGTGCCGGAATAGTTCCCGCTCCCTGCGGTCGTTTTCGTAAAGTTTGTCAACACTTTCTTTCGCCTTCTTCCATATGCTTACTACTTTCTCCTGCAACGCTCTGCGCCTTTCGACCTCTAGGATTAGCCCATCATATGAATTAGAATAACTCTCGTAGAAAATTCGCAACTCGTCCATCTCGTGCAACTTGTCCTGTATCGCCAGTTGTTCCTCGTTCCACCTGTCGCGAAACTCCGTCTCGGCCAAAATATAATTTGAGAGTCGTGCTCCAATATCCTCCAAGACTCTAAACGCGTCGATGGTTGAGCGGTAGACTGCCTTAACTCGGTTTCTTTGGCTGTCAATGGTTGCGAAATCGGATTCCATGGATTGTAAACGTATATTAAGTTCTCGAACTACGTCGTCAACTTCTGAGGCATCTTGCATGACTACTTCAAGCATCTGAGCACGATCCTCGGGGGAAATTGGATCGTCCTCGGGCATATGTGACTCTTGCTCTGCGATTACACCAGATATCGACACGTTCACACCACTTTGGGAGTCTATTGCTTCGGCAGCTTTGATCCTAGCTAAGGCTGCCCCGCCTTCCGTAGTCCTAACAGCAGTTACGCATAGGTCGAAGTGTTTCGTCAATGACGAAAGGAGCTCGGCCATGGCGTGGGAGTTATCAATCATCGAGGAGAAGAGCTGAGGTAACGAACGCTCCGAAGACGAAGCGGATGGGGATGGGGAAGATGGAGCGCCGGATAAGGTCTTACTAAGTAAGCGCATGTCGGTGTCGAACCGGAGTAAATCACCGTCGAACGACGTCTGGATGGCCTAGCAAAGGGTTAGGACTGGCTGAATATAGAATAAGAGCTTATGAGTAACGTGGTACGAACCTGCAAGGACTGGATGTTTTCTTTTAGAGCATTACTTATTCCTTCTACTCGCGACTCATCTATGAAATCCAACAGATTCTTTTTGCCCTCACCAGGCGGTCTAAATGTACTATCTACGATCCTATCCCGTAGTATTTTCATGGTATCCTCGAGTCGACCGTGAGCGGCATCTAAGGTTTTGATGACCTGCTTGAACTCGCGTTTTCCATTGTCGTATGTTCGATTTATGCTTCGTCGCAGATGCTGTAGCAGTCGGATCTGTTCATTTATACCTTGGCGGATGAACCCCGACTGCGCGGCGAGAACTACGGATTCTTCATGGGCTTCTTTTGCCAAGTGAACGAGTCCATCAGCGCGCACGACCAGGCCCATAGAATTAAGCGAGCGTTTGGCATCAAGTAGATGTTGTACGAGGATTTCGACAGGTATCGAACCGACGGGATTGGGGACGCCATGTTGGGATGTAGGGCGAGAGACGGACGCCGACGAATGTGGACTGGTGATAGATGCCATGTTGAATGATATCGGAATTATGGTATCGGGACCAAGATGTAAAGTAGGTACCAAGCCAGAGGCCAAGCCAATGCCTCTACATCCTCAGGTAGCAAACGAAAGGGTACGATAAAAGGGTATGGGTAATGAATGATGACGCTGTAGAGAGATGAAGCTATAAAGAAGTTGGAGAAGCTAAGGTTGAGCTTAGGCAGTCGATAGGCGGGTACCTCTGTAATGCTACGGGGGAACCACAATGCTGGATCATGTGGGTGGGCAAATCACGGCTTGACAAACTCCAAAGTGCCGATGTATCGCCCCACCAGCCCACATGAATTACATGTACCTAGTGGAGTGATTTTATATACAGTTGCATGCATTATGTACATATGTACCTAACCTAGCCTTAGGTACTTACCTCCTGGGCACCAAGCCGAGCTGTCGCGGTCGCCAAGCAGCTTCCAATGGCAAAGCATCGATAAAAACCCCCTAATTCCAATTCCATTTGTCTCTCATCCGACATTGCCGTACATTCTTCAACTTGTTACGCTATTTTTCTATTCAAGACGTAATATATTTATTATGTGAAACTAACTACCTATTTAATAATTACCTCTTTGTTTGACGGGATACAGTATAGTTAGGTATCCATTTCAGAAAAGACAACGTCTATCATATTATTAGTATTCCCTCTTTAGCAACCTTCTCATAATGTCGAATTATCTCCCAGCTCGCTAATAATAATATAATATAATCTCAACGAACAAATGGATAAGTCGTCTACAACAACTATCAGAAGGAAGCCGGTCCCATCGGCTAATCCGCAACCACCTCCCCCGTATGCGGATGATATCCTTGACGATCTTCTTGATGATTATCTAGAACCAACTAAACTGCCAAATCCTCACCAGCAACCCGTAATACCAATTGAAACCAAGGAATTGAAATTGGATATCAGCCCTGCCGTCCCCCCAACCCTCCCTCCAAGGGAACTATCCATTCCCCTTGTTTCTAGCCCTTCAGAAGTCTCACTTAATTCCGGCGTCTCAACACCAGATACTTCTAATCTCGGTCATTCGATATGGAAGGCGGCTGTCAATGAGACCATCTACTTTGCCGGTGGGCTTATATCACACCCGTTCGAATCAACTAAGCATTATAGTATTCTCCGCCATTCGGCCGGGGTGATCCTTTACCGAGGACCGTCTACGAGTATCGCCATTACCATTTTTGCAGATCAGCCTTTGCCAGCTGACCGTTCGTTCTGGTTGCAGAGGAAGGGTTTCTCTGGAAATATGGGTATGGCTGCTAGTGCTCTTCTACGCGCACAGGGAAGCTGGATTGAAGTGACCCCGTCATTCGCAGCTCTTCCTTCTCAAGTCCCCGAAACGGATGAGCGAGCATGGCAAAGGGATATTAAGAAATTTGTGAAGAAGGCAACATCCCATAGGCATTTATCTAAACAAACAGCCCGCGAAACGTGTGTTATTCGAATTCCCGCTTCGGCAGAAGATGGCTATTTGCGTATTGTCATGTGCACCGGTGAAGGATCAAAGAAGACGCTTTGTCCCTCACCCGTCTTTCGCGTAGCTAGTACGTCATCAGATGTGAGCGTATTGCGTGGTGCAAGCTTGACAACTATGCCTATCGAACTCGGATTGAAAGTAGCATCAGTAATAGGCCAAATTACCGTGGAAAAGTACATCGGACCTGCGAGGGAAGTCATAGAGGCCCAGATTGAAAAATATGGCCCGGGGTTAATAGCTCAAGAAGCTGCGATTGTGGCATACGAGAACTCCAGGGCGAATGAACGGCTTACCGCTGCAGAAGAGGCCTTTGACGCAGAAAGGGATAGCGCCTACGGGTCTTTGCAGACAGAGGGGGTGCTGGAGGCACCTCCTCGGATTGTCGGTGCTGACAGTGGACCAGAGAAGCCGTATCCAATCCGGTTCATTAGCAAGGTAGTTCAAGGAACTGGTAGAGGCCGAACCGAAACCGGGATACCAACAGCGAACCTATCCGGCATACCGAATGATTTACTACTACGTCCCAATGGTGTTTATATCGGTTGGGCTGCTATTCAACCATTTCAGGGGAGCGAAGACATTTCATACGGTTGGCATGAAGCCCTTATCACTATTGGGCCTTCACCATACGCACCGCCTCGAGTAGTTCCTAAGAACATAGTCGCAGTTCACATTATCCACGACTTTGGCGAAGCTAGGTTTTTGAACGCTAATATCGAGGTCGTAGTTATGTCATACTTAAGACCCATACCAAAGCCTGATAACTCCCAGCCACCTGCAGAAAGGACAGCCGCTGCTACACGAGATATAGCCACAGCAGTAGCAAGTCTGAGCCGCGAGAATTGGCAGTGCGATATGACTCTTCGTAGAGTCAAATCGGAAATGAGCACCAGGACTATCGAAGATAAATATATTGATATAATATCACAAGTGCAGAAGCGGGTTGATAGCGTTCCACTGCATCTAGCCGGAGTCCGCACTACTGGAAGCGAACTTAAAGATCAGGCCTTTGGTAGGGGTGGCCTATACATACGACGATGATGGAAATTGGGATATCATGCGGAGAGCACGTCACAGGTTTGATGAGCGAGGTGTAGGATGTTATTCAACCCTATGACAAAGTAGGAAAAGAAATTTTGGAATTTTTTTTTTCCAATCTGGGAAATCTTTAATCTTAGGATATTTTAATATCCTGCGATGCTATACTAAAGGCTATCGCAGGGAAATGTTATTTTGGGAGGTTCATTTTGAACTCGGCGACACTTATCGAGCTGATACGCTGATAGGTACTCTTGGGAGATTAGAAGGCTCTCGAGATCCAAATAATCGGGATGAGATGATATACCTATCCAATCTTTCCGACAAAGATTTGGCATTCTATGTCTTACTTGGTGTATATTAAGTGTCTCATCTAAGTCTGCGGTGCAACTTCATTAACAGCTGTGGCTAACTTGTCTAAGACTATCACAATAACTGGGCGAATCAATTGGAACTAGTTATATTTCAGCCTCTTTCTACATGAGGTTCAAAATCCGTACCACAGAAATGTTTAAGAATTTCTATCATCCAGCAACCCTATCGGATACTTGAATGTTGAATATGAATGTTGAATATCTTTCCAGCTGCTCTTCGTTATCTTGTTCCTCAATTGATTGCTATTGAATGCTACAATATAAATGGGTCCGTGGAATGTGCTCGATTCGTTGAGTCTAGATTCTAGACCCGGCCTCCGTTTAATACGGAAATGATTCACCAGCACCGGATAAGCTCTTATTTCATCATATGTAAGAGCAGAAACGTAACGGTAGAGTGGCTAAATACGCTAAATATTATAAAGAATAGTCCCTTGATTGGTAAGATATTACCGGTATCTCCACTTTTGCTTAATATACATTGGAAATACTTTTCTACATAGAATCTCTTATTGTATGGTACCTGACCTACAACTATATGATAAAGACATCGAGTCAAGGGCCTCTCCGTTGGCCGGCGGTTTTGAGACTTACTCGCTTGTGCACCGGCGTTCCTTATCCACGGCCTAGGCAATGACTTCGTCTCTAACTCCTCCTTCCGAGGATCAACGGAAGAGCAATTTCTCTCCGTCTAAAATTATTAACGACGGAGATGTCGCTTCTGAGCGCAACTTCACCGGGGGGGAAGAGGAGGAGGAAGATGTTATAGATAGTGTCGCAACTCGCCGAGCTTTAGAACGACGGCTTAGGCTCAAGGTCGACTTGCGACTTTGCACTATCGCCGGCATACTCTGTTCGCTCAATTTACTCGATTCGGGCGTTATCAGCTCTGCATCAGTGACATCCATGCCGACGGACTTGGACCTCACGGGTAACCGGTTCAGCGTTAGCATCTTCATCTTCACCATATCGAGCATTGCCTTCCAACTACCCTCGACGCTCGCCGTTCGTACATTCGGGCCCCGTCTATGGTTTTCCTTCATTACTTTCTGCTTTGGCCTCATTACCATGTGCACCGCCTTCATTCAGACCTGGCGACAGATGATTGCGCTACGCGTGCTCCTCGGTATGTGTATGAGCGGTATTTATCCGGGCCTGACGTATCTGATTTCGACGTGGTATCCGAGGAGAGAGCAGCAGACACGCTTTGCCTTCTTGCAGACTGGCGAAGTCGTCATCTTAGCTACGGGCGGCATCGTCAATTTCGGCCTTAACCAGCTGGATGGCAAAGGTGGCATCGCAGGTTGGCGTTATATGTTTCTGGTGCAGGGCCTGATCTCCATTATCATCGGGTTCATGACGTACTTCTGGATCGTGGATTTCCCCGAGCAGGCGCACCGATCTTTTTGGTTCCTCACGCCCGAGGAGCAAGAACTCGCCGTCGCGCGCATCAATGCGGACCGTAAAGATGTCGAGCCGGATGCGTTCTCGTGGGGAAAGGTCTTCGTACACGCACGCGACCCAAAGGTCTACGGCTTCGCGTGCATGTTCTTCCTACTGAACCTAGTATCGACTGCGCTATCTTACTTTTTGCCTATCATCTTGCAGAATGGCATGGGATTCGACGAGAACCAATCTATCCTTTTATCTGCGCCGCCTTACTATTATGCAGCCATCCCTGTTCTGCTGTCATCTATCATCGGCGACAGATTTCGCCTCCGCGGCCCCGTTATCATCTTTAATTGCATCACTCTGATCGTCGGGTTCTGCATGCTTGGCTTCTCTGAACAGGTCACCGTGCGCTACGTCGGGACTTACCTCGCAACTGGCGCGTACGTGAGCAATTGGGCGGCTCTCAGTGCCTACCAAGCCAATAACATCGCCGGTCAGTGGAAACGCGCATTCACTGCCGCCGCTGTGACGGCTCTAAATGGTGCGGGTGGTATCGCGGGAAGTTTCATCGTCCGGTCTCAGGAGGCACCGCACTATATGACTGCCGTGTGGGTTTCCATTGGGTCGCACATCCTGATTATTGCCATAGTGGGCGCTTTCTCGGCCTACTTCTTCTTTGCGAATAAGCTCGCTTCGCAAGGAAAGATACTCATTGAGGGCGTGGAGGGCTTCAAGTATACGTACTAATTCCCACGCTGCAGATGCCGCATGAGCGAAGCGCTGTCATTGGATAGGTACCTACCTATATATGTCTGTTATCGCGATGAGCTCTTGTCCCACCGACGCACGATTATATAAACGACGACGTAACGTTTAACGAATAATGTCAATATCTAAGTTAGGTCTAAAAATAGAGTTATATAGAGGAATGATAGGTAGATTATCTGTCTTATCCCTTACTTCGTGAATATGTATGCCTTCAGATTATAGGTGATTATTAGGTAAGGTGATAGCTTCAGTTATAACCAATTCAAAGCGTTCATGTCTCATTTGAATCATATGCCCACGCCCCTTTACCCCGAATTTATCTGAATAAAATGTCGTTAAGTTTTCCAAGCCAGCTCGAACAGCATAAGAGGAATGCTGAGTCCCTAAAGTAGCAGATCCATTGAATAGCTTATTTCTAAATAAACTCTTTCCCTTCGAATTCCCTCTCGCCGAACCCTTCCCCATCCCGAAGCCGTTCCTCCTTAGTTTGCTCACGGGCGCGGCGCTCTCGCCTCCGTTCTTCACGGCTTAGCCTGCGATCCGCACCCGGTCCTCTCCGCGCTACAATGATTCGAGCGAGCCTACCAACAGCCACGAAGGAGTTAAGCAAAGCCTTTAAATTCGGAGTGCTCGACGGCCGCGGGCCGCTTTTTTCAACTTCCTCAGTCGGGATGTATATCGATTCATCCTTACTATCGTTACTAAAGCTCACAACTTAGTCTAGCCTCGATATACATTTCGTGAAGCCGTTGTATCCCCCAACCCAGATGCTGCCGTCCGAGGTATCGAAAAATGTGTACTCCTGGTCGTCGGCGTCGTACCCGATGCGCTTGACGCCGTGCGGGAGGCGCTCTTCGTCTGTGTCGAGGTGTGACCAGCGGCCCATTTTGACTTTGGTATGCAGATGACTCTGTTCGGAAGTTACTTGAAGGTATCGTCCTGTGGGCTGGTTTATTTGATAAGGAGGTAGATGATGTGGCAATTGGTACCATTTATAAGGGGCGGGAGGATTGCGTTGGCCCGCTATGCAGGGCTGGGCAAATAGCCAATAAAGAGATGCGTTTTTATACCCTACATTACACAATATTTTGTCGTAATTTGTTACTCTTTTAGGCTTGCGAGTGTTTGCATGAGATATTGAAGCTTCAGGACTATCATCAGCATATAGGACTCTAGTTCGAATAAAGTGTCTACGAAATCATTGTGATGCTATGCGACGTTCAGAGCATGACTTGTTCTGCTATGCTATCATTTAGATCCAATTATCCTCTTGTGAACTTGCTTTCATAAACCTGTGATATCTCGTCACGAAATAAGATCGGAGATATCTGTATTGAAAAAATATTATATTAAAAACTCATGCGGTGTAACTACATTGTTCACATTATTTCATCATAAGTCTTGTTGACGAACCCATTTCTAGTCATATGGAGATATGATCCGCAATAGTTCTTTGGATCCTGGTCCCCTTTCAGCGGAACAATCTGGAGATCATCCCCGCATTCTTCCCCAAGCTGCAATACCCCATGCATCGGTTAATGACCTAACGAGGTATAGCTACGGCACCCTTCCCCGCATTCTCAACAATTATCGTAGCACTTTGGGCGGGTCTAGACTGCCTAGACACCTACTACTATCAATACAAGTGCTCCCGGCAAAGTAGACTGGTAGTTCATTGTTGTTAACTTAGCTACCTACGTACCTAGGTTAGGTACTTACCTGAGCTGAATCGGCGAGGTTTACTACAAGTTAGTTAGTATTCTAGGTTAGGTTACTAGGTACACCAAGTTTTACCTTGGCATTGTGATATACCTATTATAGCTTCTTGGCGGATTTCTCTATTTCTGGTATAAACAAAGAGTACTTAGGTAGGTAGGTAGTAGGTAAATTACATCTGTCGATACGATGGGTTGTTTCCCGTGTAACACCAAGAGCTACGTTGAAGATACCGCTCTCGCGTCTATTAGTGATGTGTAACGCTCGTTGAAGAATTCTGCCGATCATCTTTTAAGAATTGACGCGAGCGAGTCTAATGTCATGCTCACGCGTTCGACTTCAGTTCCCGAACAACCAAAATCTAGATTTAACAGATATCTACCGCCCCGTCTTGGTAGTTAACTCCGCTAGTTGAGTAGCAACCGGGCATTCTCTTCCCCACACACTACAACAGCCAATGGCCAGCAACGTATTTCTTAAACAAGTTACTTGGTCCAACTACCTAGTTTGGAGCTATCTACAAGCGAAACATCGGTATAGTCTCCATTCCTATGCGCAGGGGATCGCTGCCAAGTTACCCCGGTTAACCCCTCGTTCCCCAGTCTCTTCTCTCCACGGGGTCTGTCCCCGTGCTAATCCGTACCCCAGACCAGTCCGCCAGGACTATAAAACAACACCCTTGGTACCAACCTGCCTGTTTCCCTAGTTGAGCAAGTTATACGCAAGCTTTAATTATGGACCGCGATCAAGAGAAGGCGGAAATTGAAGTCGGACAGTTTGAAGGGGAGAAGACCCAATCTTCAAATGTCGTCGACGATGTTGACGAACAGGAGGGGAAGAGGATTATATGGAGAATCGACCGTCGACTTGTCACCTTAGTCGGCGTCTTGTACTGCGTCAGTCTTATGGACCGAACCAATTTGTCTGCGGCCGCCGTTGCTGGAATGAACGAGGAGTTGAAACTTGTTGGTGAACGATATGTAAGAATTTTCTGCCCTCACCATTTCCCTTGATCTTGTTTCGCTAACCAGCCTTTGCTTCTAGTCAATCGTTACCCTCGTCTTCTTCGTTACGTACATTTTATTCCAGCCGCCCTCGACCATCCTGATCCGTAAGGTTGGCCCACGCATCTTCCTGTCCACCATTACGTTGGCATGGGGTGCCGTTATGATCGGATTCGGATTCAGTCCGTCATTCGAAGTCCTCATGGCCCTTCGACTAATCCTTGGTGCCTTCGAGGCTGGTTACTTCCCCGGCTGCGTATACTTACTGTATGTCCTAACATTCATTTATCACATCTTCCACCGGGGCTTGACATCCTAGGGAACTAACATCAACTTATCTGCAGGTCGACATGGTACACTCGATGTAAGATTATTTTCTAATAGGTTACTTACAAATGTGATGAAGACAAGCATCTGACGAAATATTCAGATGAGATGGGCAGAAGATACTCGGTCTTCTACCTTCTTGGCTGCGTTGCTTCGGCCTGCTCGTAAGGACACTCCCAAGATGTAAATATATTGATAGTCGTTAACTGAAGGGGCTTAGGGGAATTCTCGCATTCGGCTTGATGCAACTCGACGGCACCGCAGGACTTAGTGGTTGGCGATGGATCTTTATCATTGAAGGTATCTCAGAGATGTCGGTCCTATGGAGTGTATCTTGAATGCTAACTAACATCCATCCAGGTGTCATCACCTGCCTCTTAGCCTCTCTTGGCTACTGGCTCCTGGTCGACTTCCCCGATTCCAATCGTATATCTTGGCAGTTCTTAAGCGATAGAGAACGTTCGTGGATTGTTCGGCGCGTTAATGCCGACCGTGGTGATGTCGAAGCCCCCAAGTTTAAGATCAGTCTATTTTTGAAGGGCGGTTTAGATTTGAGAGTCTGGTAAGCATCCTAGGCCGAAAAAGAACATTCCTTGCATGGAAAAGGTATGCTGAATGGGTTTTCCTTCGACTAACACCCTATTAGGGGGTACGCTCTAATCGCTTTTTGTACCAACACCATGACCTATTCGTTGGCCTATTTCTTACCTCTTATTCTAAACACGAATTTGGGGTTTGATCGCGGTATTTCGCTTACCCTTATCGCACCCCCATATGCGTTCGCGGGTATTTACATGTACATCATGGGCTGGCTTGGAGATCGTTACCATTCGCGTGGCCCTATTGTGGTCGCCAACATGGTTGTAGCACTTATCGGCCTACCTATCCTTGGATGGCATCCCAACAACGGTGTTCGATACTTTGGCTCGTTTCTCGTTGCCGCCGGAGCAACAGCAAATGTCCCGGCATCGCTAGCGTACCAAGCCAACAACATCCGCGGACAATGGAAGCGAGCCTTTGCAAGTGCGTCTTGGGTCAGCTTTGCTAGTATTGGAGGAATTGCTGCCAGTCTTGTCTTTAGGTAAGGTCTATTTGATACGAAGTGCATTTTCAGTCGATACTGACGAGTGATTAGATCCCAAGATGCTCCTGGTGGATACCGACCTGGATTATATGCGTGCATAGCATGCTGTCTATTATCAATCGTTATCGTAGGCCTATTAGACATCTCCTATTATTTAGACAACAAGAAAGCCGACCGAGGAGAGAAGTATCTTGAATCAACCGATGTAAGACATTCGTTTTCGCCACAGCTGGATTCAAAACTAACATATGATATAGGGGGAATCTCAACCCGACTTCCGTTACACCTATTAGAAGCGAGAAGAATTAGGAATATAGTCAAGTAATTTTCCGCGTCGCCTCACTTGAGTAGGTAATGTCAAGGTGTAATAGTTTGGATCGGCTAGGAAGAGACTGGTCCAAATTACATTACGATGCGGGAAATATTCAACCCCTGGAGCTTTAGGTACCTATCCTAACTTAGGTTATTCTATAGGCAAAGCAAGAGAAATGGTACCTTAATAGAGCCATGGTTACCTAAGTATATTACAAGGTAGCCTTGTCATAATATTTCCATGTTCCGGTCGTGTCAACATTCTAGAGATTCGGCAATAATCGTTGTAACTTTGACATTCCGGGATTCAGTAAGAGAGATTGCCAAACCAGACCTCTCTTAGATCTATGACATATTGATTATTTTGCTACAGTATTGTCAGACTCACCAGATCCATATACCATAGTACACCTCTGTTTTGACGACTTTTAAAAATGAGTCACGGAAGATGATACGTATGCGTACGCGTATGCTCTCGTTCTCGTTCTCGCTCTTAAAGCTACTGACTATAAAAATAATATTGAATAAACATGACTCATAGATGATATAGGAAATAATAGTCGAGAATACTACAATCCTATATTATGCGCTGAACGACCGGAGTCCGTGGAATATACCGAAATAAATAGGGGCAGGTCGGTTAGTTTCGGCATATTCATTCGGATTCGGGGATAACAATAACATCAACCATAAGAGGAGCCTTATTATGACTTGAACAACTATTTAAAGTCTTCTGCTTGAATTAATAATTAAATTTAGATATAAAGACATTGATAAGTTGTCTTCATATTCCTTAGACTTCAAACTACCTCAAGTACCTAGGTTAGTTACTAGTATTTTGACTTATTTTCTCTCACTTCTCTACTCAACAGAGCTCCCCCTAACGACACTATGGCACCCCTGAGATCCGTTTCTGAACTTTCATTCATTGTTGAACGCAATACGCGGACATTGGAAGATGGGTTGAAAGGATCTCCTGGGGCTGAGTTCTCGCTTGCATTCGGAGCACCGCCACAAATCGAGTTGTCTCCTCCTCTTGAGGGAACCCTCGACGAGCTTCTTGAAACCATCGAAGAACTACGTATTCGCCTGATGGGCCCGATGGGCTATCTCTTATCTTTTCTATTACCAACGGTATGTAGCTACCGCCTGTCGAGCCTTATTTGAGAATCCATGGTAGTTGTGCTTATTGACTTACACATCCAAGTCCGCTGTAGTAGCTGTTTTCAAAACTCTATATGAATTTGACATCGCCTCTCATGTTCCTCTTGCGCCTAATGCTGAGATATCATACAAAGAGCTCGCAAAAAGTTGTGGCCTCCCGGAAGAGGATACGCGTCGTATTGTCCAGGCCGCTATCACATTTCACATGTTCGAAGAAGTTACTCCTGATATGTCTGTTAGACACAACGCCATATCGTCGGTGTTTACTGTGCCTGAAATGAAAGATATCATAGGTCTAATTATCGACGAGCAGTTGTCCGGCGTTACAAAGCTCGCCGAAAGCATGCGGCGGTTCCCAGATAGCGGGGAACCAGGACACTCTGCTTCGGTGTTAGCAATTAGAGAGGAAAAAGCGATTAAAGAAATAGGTATTGACAAAGAGGAGATCGTTGATCCAAGCAAGAATTTCTTCGATTACATCGCCGAAGACGAGACACGAGTTGCCCGCTTTCGATCTGCCATGGGTGTTTCGACCAAAGCTCCGGCTCTTAAGTCGTCGTATTTCGTCGAAACCTTGCCGTGGGCAAATAAATACCAGTGCCCGGAGACTGTTGTCGATATCGGTGGGGCTGGTGGTGAAGTAATCCAGCTAAGTATGATCATTTCCAGACTCAGCTTCAATCTTTCGAGCACTTTCGTTGTCTCTTTGCTTTTTCTTTGGTTAGGACAACATGTACTGCATATTGCTAACTCTTGAGTTTGTAGTTCTCCGCACGTATCCTAAGGTCAAGAAAGGTGTAGTGTTAGATCTCCCAGAAGTTGTCGCCGATGCCAAAGTTCCCGAGGACCTTAACAACAGACTGGAATACAAGAGCTACAACTTCCTCACCGAGAAAGTAACTTATCATGCGGATGTATATGTATTTCGCCATATCTTCCATGACTGGAGCGATCAGTACGCAGCCAAAATTTTGAAAAACCTGGTCCCAGCTCTTAAAAAAGGGAGCAAGATTTGGCTTTCTGAGGTTGTTCTTCCCAACTTGAGTGACGAAAATCGGTTGAAAGATCGAATGCAGAGGTAAGTCATAATTAATAGCTTATGCTCCTTTACTCTTTTGAGTATCCATTCTTAGTCTTAACGCCTTTCTAACTCTGATCTTAGGAGCGCGGACATCTTCATGAAATCCGGATTTAACGGCAAAGAGCGTAGCAAAAGAAACTGGGAGACTCTCCTGGCTGCGTCCGACGAGAGACTTCGTATCGTGAATATCACGAAGCCTCGTGGTGCTCATGACTCAGTCATTGAGATTGTATTTGATGTTTAAAGACCACGGGAGTTTAGAAATTAGAGAACGTTTGCTGGATTGTATTCAAGGAGTACGAAGTATATTGTAACAATGGAAAGTTGGAAATTGGAATTTTAAACTACATAGCACCAGAAAGGAACTCTCCAAAGAATCTAAGATTAATATGATATTCTCTCCCCTGAACCGTGGAAGTTGAAGGTAAGATTCCAAGTCAAGACGCTGAATCGGTTAAATGAATTACGGATAGGAGGTATGTACCTACATAGGTGCCTTAAGTAGCTTAAGTACCTTATCGAGCGCCCCTCATTCATCCTTATCGATAATGGAGCTGCTTCCCCCAAAAGTTTACTGCGCAAACTGCCGCCGGAACTTTTCTCAACCCGCAAATAATTTATTTCACTTGTACTGATAATGCGAATTCACCATCGCATTTCAAGATGGTGGCCGAGACTGATACGCGCAACGCGCCAACCGCAAGTTCCGAAGGCAATGGGCCCAAACTTACATCTAGTCTATCCGCGAACCCAGAGTTACAGGTCGATTCAGACACTACAAAGTCAAACCGCCGCGATGATGGAAACAGACACGCCAACAGAAAGCTCAACTCTAACGGGCGCCGCCGAGGTCAGGACTCGAAGGGTAGAGGCAATGGGCGCGGTGGGGATAGGTAAGTCTTACTTTTAACTAATTGGTTCTATGAACCCAAGCCAATGCTTGCTAACTAGCCCGTAGTCGTGGACCCAAGGATAAGCGCGAGCGTAACGAGAAAGGTTGGCAAGAAAGAAAGCGTAGGAGAGTTGACGAGAATGGAAATTCCGCCGTGAATAGCGACTCCAGCTATATGAACATTCAGTTCCCGGAAGAAGAGATCGCGGCCGAAGAACGCAGACCAAAGCGCAAAGTCTCCGTCATGATCGGATATGCTGGCACGGGATACCACGGTCTACAAATCAACCACAAGGAAAAGACGATCGAGGGAGATATTTTCGCTGCGCTAGTTGCGGCCAAGGCCATATCAAAGGCTAATGCCGATGATCCTAGGAAGTCTAGCTTTGTACGATGTGCGAGAACTGATAAAGGTGTCCATGCTGCTGGCAATATGATCTCTCTCAAGTTGATCATTGAGGACCCAGACGTTGTAAAGAATATCAACGACAACCTGCCGCCTCAGATTCGAGTATGGGGTATTCAACGTACGAACAATGCTTTCAGCTGCTACCAATCTTGCGATTCTAGGTGGTATGAATACTTAATGCCGAGTTATTGTTTATTACCTCCTCATCCTGAGAGCTTCCTTGGCAAAAAGGTTCTCGAGTCCATCAAAGAGAAGGGTCTCGAGGAAGAATATGCGAAACGCCTAGGCGAAGTCAAAGACTACTGGGAAGAAGTGCAGAAGAACGATATCCAACCTATTTTGGATAGTTTAGACTCTAGTATCCGGGAAACTGTCATACGACGCATGCACACTTCTGAAGAAACATACAGCGCCAAGAATTCAGGCGAGGTAGCAGGGCCCAAGTCTTCGAAGAAGCCTACAGACAACTCGCTTGAGACGAAGGGTGAAATTACTGGAACCAAATTGGATGACAAGCCCACGGATGCATCCAATTTAGTACAGGATACTCCAGTAGAGAGCTCGACCGTAGCAGCAGAGTTAGCCTCAGAATCGGCAGATATCTTGATGACTGAGGCTGAAGACATTGATGAGTCAGAAACTACTAAACCTAAGGAGATTCATCCTGTAGATCTCGCCCTGAAGCAGATCAAAGCCGCATACGTAGCCGCAAAGAGACGATACCGCGTTACTCCCGAGCGGTTATCCCAACTTCAAGAAGCGCTCGATCGATATCTAGGCACGAGAAATTTCCACAATTACACCATCCAGAAGAGCCACTCAGACCCCTCGGCAAAGCGCACCATCAAGTCCTTCATCGCAAACCCAGAACCCGTCCAGATTAACGACACGCAATGGCTATCACTCAAGGTCCACGGGCAATCTTTCATGATGCACCAGATACGCAAGATGGTCGGCATGGCCGTCCTCGTCACACGCTGCGCCACACCCCTGTCCCGCATCGACGAAAGCTACGGGACCGCCCGCATTAGCATCCCCAAGGCTCCTAGTCTGGGGCTGCTGCTAGAACGGCCCGTGTTCGAGAATTATAACAAGCGTGCCCGGGAACAGTACTACTTGGCGGAGCTCGACTTCGGCAAATACGAAAAGGAGATCCAGGAGTTTAAGGATTCGCAGATTTATCGTCGCATCTTTGAGCTGGAGGAGAAGGAGAATTCGTAAGTCGAACTTCTTGTTTTGCTAAGTGTTAGGATACGTGCGGATTTACTAATTCTAGCCGTTAGGTTCCACACGTTCTTCCATCAAATCGACAATTACAAAGAGGCTTACTTCCTTTGGCTCACTGCAGGAGGCATAGAAGCGGCGGAGCAAAGGGTGGGGCAGATGGAATCGATACCCAAGGAGCTCGAGGAGGAGTTGGGAGATGATGGGGAGGAGAATCCTGATGAGGGCGAAGGTTGATCATATTGTAAAGCATAATGTCGCGCATATGCGACTTAAGCTATTCGAGGGCTAGTTCATTAGCTGGGAGTCACGGATAATTTGATAGTAGACTCATAAATAATGCCGGGAAGTGGAATACCGCTATTGCCTGGAGGATAAGCTGTCAATGTTTTCATACTACACCCAGATGGATCTATGTAGCCCACTGAGGTGAAGTAAATTAACCTTTGTGGTATCGAGCCTCAGGCGCTCAACATCTTAGCTACACCGATCTATTGCGGCCTGTTATGATCGATAAGCCGCTGAAGGATATATTGGGTGTGCATAGTCGCGTAAGATTTCGCTAACTCCCCGTCTCCATGGCAAATCACTCTAGCTATCAGTAGACGACGGGCCAAGGCGGGTTCTCTCGCCAGCATCATCGCCATCCCCAATATCATTCTTATCACTCTTCCCCTTCGCAGCGCTATCCGTAGTCTCGGCGCCGGCCTTCTTCTCACAACCCGCCTTGTCCTCCTAGGAACTCACGGAGAGATCACCTCCGGCCTTAGCAGCATTCTGCTGGCGGATAGCGGCTTCCCGCATCTCGATGGCGCGGTCGTACAGGCGCGCGACGTCGGCGGCCTGCTTGTCGAGATCAGCCTCGCGGGTGTCACTCTCGCCGGGCTGTCGGAGCGGCCCGCGGATCCATAGGGCTTTGATCTCCCGGTTGATGGCTAGGAGGCCTTGGACTTCGGAGATCTGGAGGGTGTTAGTGGGGGCGGGTTTGTATGGGGAGGTGGGGGTAAGTAGGAATAGGAAAGGGGAAAGGGAAAGGCGGATATGGTGGGAAGGCGAGGTCAAAGGCAGAGGTACACACCAAAGCAGCGGATTCGGTCTCCATGGTCATGCGGTTGAGCGCAGCGAGCTCAAGGACGTTGCCGCCTTGCGAGATGGGTGCGGTGGCAGCCATGACCATGTTGCGGAAGTGCGACAGGATCTGCGCGATGGCGCGGTTGTGACGGTCTAGTAATGTGCTACTGTTAGCCTTCTTCCGCTGTAGCTTTCGGCATGGCTTTTCAAGCCTGGGGGATTATTTTCCAGATCCGTGGGCTCGACTGATGCGTCCGGTTCTTTGGGGTCATCTTGGGACTTCTCGGACGAGTTGATATCCAACTTTCCAAAACCCGAGGCCATAGCGTCTACATCTTCGTCTAGGTTGAGATCCAGGTTGTCGACGCGCGAGATTAGGTCAGCGAAGGTGTTCGTGGAAGCCATGCTGCATTACTGATGGAGCAGGATAAGGCGACTTGTAGTCTATAGACACCAAGATGTTGCTTATGATGTATATAGAATAAGAGTATATAATAGGCCGAACTTGGTTCAAATATATCCATCTTGTAGCGAAAGGATGCCTCCTCAGGCAATGACTGCTTCCTAGGTAACGGTGGTGTCCGCTGTGACCAAGAGGTTGTTGGGCAATAATGAGCACAAGGCGCAAGGCGCATCTTATTAAATCAATCCCACGAGTCCTTACTAGAGATTACTTGACGCTTCGTTGTTACAGGGATTGCAACCGACCAGTCCATTTGTGGATCCAGAATAAAGATACCGAGGAAATAGATCAGATAACATACCTAGAATACTAGAATGATCCTTTCGATTCATCTTGTCGACGAACTTCACCGAAACTTTGAAGTGGCAGTTGTAAAGGGCGCAAGTCGGCGACAACTTAGAGGACTCGAATTGATGAGAGCTTTCTGTTGTGGATGCTTTTGTGTGAAATCAAAAGACATATAGGGGTTTTTGATTTGAAATAGATAGAAATAAAAATTACATGGACCTTTGTCGATATCTGTAGATTAAAAAAGAATATGTATCTACCTTAGTAATGTTTGTTCTGAAGTTGAGCTTGTACCTTGAAATATCACATCCAAGGTCGACCTAGACCAGGTGAGTGTACGGATTATGTTTCTCCACAAATTAAAGTTGAAGTAGTTGTAAGCATCACGTGACACACTCTCTAAAATACCTACCTCCTAGTAAAGTATAAAAGTACCTAATACATATAGAAAATGCATAGGCAATTTTGCCGTATCGGCATTTAGGTATAATTCGAGGCCAGGAAATACCCAAGATACCGTTCTTTGACTTGTTAATTGGACTTGTTAATTGGTGTATCACTGTGTCATTGTAGCCACGCATGCTAGCAATATTACTAGTTTTAAATACCAAATCGATCCCCGTTGCCGCCTTGGATCGTTTTCAGATGCCGCCCATTGTAAAAGTAGTCCGCCAAATTTATACGCCGACCCAAATGCTAAGAAAATAGCAAATAGAAGTACATCCATTGACAGTATGCCTCTCGTTCAAAGTGGTACTCTTCCAGCACAATATTAGATTGCTACACGTAGCAAATTTGGCTCTCCTCTCATATGTCCTCAATACTACTATTATAGCCGCTAACAGCTCCGCCGGCAGTCGCTGCTGAACTCCCAGTAGTGACGGATCTTTGTGAAATCCTTATACTACGTCCTCGTAGAAGCTGGCTGACGTCAGGGCGCTCGTCCATATTCTCGGGCGATATGCTCCCGCTAGCGTCGTAGTCTTGACCGTCATCGGAGTGTTCGTCTTCCTCATCATTTCCAGACAAGTCAACATCCGAGCTTGGGCCATCTTCAACGATAGCCTGCCTACTTATAAGGCTCTCCGAAGAGTCGTCCATAGTTTCATCCTCGTCTTCGTCGAGGTCAGATTGGTCGGCTGGAAAATAAAAGGTGGGTGGTGGGAGAGGTACGGGATTTAGTCTACGAATCTTCCCAGGCAGGTATTCGATTTGGACGGCATGTGCTCCGACACTCGAGATCTGGCGTGGCGCTGGCGAATTAGTCGTCATGCTAGCTAACTTGTTAATGATAGACTCTGTTGTCTCCTGACCCGAGCGCCCAACGAGGCTTGGTCGAATTGATGGGGTTTCATCTTCGTCTTCGGAAGCGCTGTTTTCATCGTAGTAGGCGTGCTTCGGCCGTCGTGTTGGCACAATAACTACAAAATGATCTTCGGGGTAAGTCCCTCCTAAACCACTAGCCTCGAGATTCAACAATGGAGCATGTTGTTTGCTATCAGACCAAGAAAAATCAGCTTCAATGTCTTCGTCATCTGTCTCAGCCGAGGTTAACTCTGGTGGATCGGAATAGTCAACCTCCATCAACGTGCTGCGAGACTGCAAGGTACTAAGCGGCCTGAAAGGAAGCGACGATCCTGACGTGGAGCGGCTGAATTGTGGGCGGGTGTTGCCAAGGCTGTGGGGCTGCATGGGCTGCATGGGTCCCTTGTTGCCATGGTCCCCTGATGATGTCATATCATAAGTAGCCGGGGAGATTTCTCCCTCTCCAAAATCACCCGAGAGGTCTGTGCAGAACGGTGCCCCGCTATAGTAAATAATTGCACCGTCGCGACGGCGCTTACGCTGCGAGATACCTGATACGCCACTTTGACCCCAACGAGAATCCATACCCCCCATGTTGCTTTCCTCGGGCGGCCCAAAAGACGAGCCGGTCTCGTCACCCCCCGATGGTTGTTCGTCTGACGAAGATGTCTGATGGTGTACAAATAACGGTTTATAGTGGAAACTTTCGGATGAATTAGATTGCTGTACGCCCAAACCGAATTTTGAGGGTTTGTGCGCGTTGACGTCATTTCCAGATCCCTGCGTTTTCTGTTTTTTTCTTTGCTCCTGATCGTTCGATCCGTCCGTGTCATCGCTTGATTGGTTATGTTGCGAATAGCTACCGCTGTCACTGCTAAATTTGGTACCCTCGATTCCACCCCGCCAGCGGATTTTTCTTCCATCAGGCGACAGTTGGAACATGGTGCTCTTCTCCGATACCGCATTACGAATGAAAGCTGGGGTCACGTTGAGAATGTGCAGCTGCGCTAAATTGCACAGCAGATTGAGATATACCCATCCTTCCGCATCTGGCGACACATCCCTTGCAGAGAATTGCTTCTGCGACTCGGGCGCTACCAATCCCAGATGACGTATGTAATCCATGTTTTCTGATGGTACCTGTCTGCGATCAGGGTCCAAGTCGCGTGGTCGTGTAGGGCGCTGTTCCGGTAGTAACGTTGATATGTGCGGGGATGTATTGTTACCGCTCTCATTCGCGCGACTATTGCTAGTTGCGTTGCCGTTGCCATTATCCCTTGTGTCTGTTTGGTCACCATTTGAGTGTGAATGCGCGTTAGATGCAGATCCATTGTCGCGTGAGCTGCTCTCCTTCCGACTTGAATCTCGCGGTTGGATTTGCGCTTCTCGCATCGTATCGCTTGGAGCTGCCGCTCTATTGATAGTTCCTCCCATTTCCACGTCTTCGACGATATGTTCCGGGACTTGAGGTAACAAGATATGCTCTGCTGGGTCGGCCATTTTGCCCGTGAAAAGATGTTCGAGTCGCTTAACTACAAGCTTTTTCTTATCCTTCTCGGTCATGATGGTAGGTCGCGGCCATAAACCTTCGGGGATATCTCGTAGATAATTCTCGATCTTCTGTTCAGATCGTTCTCGCGCAGCCTTGGCCTGACCGGGAAGGAACGGGACAGAAGAGCTTGGTCCAGCCGACATAGATGCATACGCGGAGTCAACGGGTCTTGAGTTAGACCCGGACGACGACGACGCATGTTTGGATGTCGACGAATGGACATTCTTTAACTTGCCTGACGCCTTCTTCCGGCTTGGGGAGGGTCCGACACTCGAATCCTCGAGACTTGTTGTAAAATCCCGTAGTGCAGCCTCTAGCTCCCGCTTCTTTCTACTAGATAGGCCATGGACCTTAACCTCGAACAGCTTGTCCCTTCGCAACGAGTCGGGCCCCATCTGTTTATATTTCCTCAGCTCCTCCTTCAAGCGTTTGTTTTCAACTGTTAGGTCATCGATTACGGAACGGAATTCATCAGCGCTTTGGTTGCTATGTGCCAGTCCAACCGGGCGGATTCGGTATGCTGGACTCTGCAACGGTAACCCATACTTTGCAACTTCCTCATTGGAAGAATCTGTCTCTTTTTGATAGAATGGAGCTTCGTCGATGTCGGTTGTGTGCATTGCTTTCTGGTTTGAGGTATCAAACCATTTCTTCGGGTCGCTTATACCTGTTTCATTGCTGTCTCCAGAAGAATTCCTCCGCGGTTTAGAAAAGGTCGGATGGGTGGGCGGGTTAGCTATCTGGGGGTCCCGTTTGGAAGCATTTCTCGCTTGTCGGTGATACTGCAGCGTTATAGAGGCATCGGGCGATTTTCGTCTCGGATTGTTATATGTAACACTCGGTGCGATGGGCGCATCTTTACAGTCGGCCATACTGCTCGCGCTAATACCTTCGTATACTAGTATATTGAGAGGCGAGAGATAAATGAACTTTCAATAGGTCATCTGAGAATGTAGCAGGAATTTGGTAGCGACATAGTCGTCAACAGGGAATATGTTCTAGCTTCCCATGATATGTTAGTACGGCAAGCAAAAGCAGGATGGTTTTGCATGGGTGCGTCTTAGAAGAATGAGGGAATGATTATCTAGGTGAGGAGGGTGGACAGCGCATCGCAGCCATTCACGCGAGACTGCAGGCGCATATTGGCTATAATGAATGGGTCGATGATAAGTAGCTGAAGAGTGTGCGAGAATTCGATGGAAACGCTTCTGCAAGATATCGCTGCGATGCATTTAGGGTGCGGTAACCCAAAGGGGGTTGGGATTCGTGAAAAGTCGACGATGCAACGTCATACCTACATGCAGAGTTTCTCCCTTAGCTTAAGATTTAGTTCGTATTGAGAAGGCTTAGATTGTATTGGACCGGATGCAGATTGAGCAAAACGCAGCCGAGCTGGAAGAGCATATGTATAATAATAGTATAATAGATGGTGGATGCATACAATTATTGAGCGGGATCAGTCGAATGGCTTCAACTCGTTTATTTTGGTAGGTTAGGTAGGTACTTTACTTAAGCAGTTAAGATGTAGGTAGGTAGGTAGGTATGTACCTAGGATGGCAAGAGCATACATTTAGGGAATGGTTAGGTAGTATGTGGATTAGTAGAAAATAAAAAAGAGACCTTTACTTCCCCTGCTGTTATGTATAACAAACAAACAATATGTAGGGACTATGTATTGAAGAAATAGCATGCGCATCGAGATCTATGAGGGTTACGAAAACAGTAACTACCCACCGTAGGGCCTGGCGAGGCCCCTTCGGTGCTCGGACTGGCCTTCCTCGCAGATTCAAAAGCGATTTAGCAATCATTACGACCGATACACTTGGGGGTGCAGCTTCCTCACGATCGAGCGTAACCTGCTGGAATCGTACAGAGCGACGTACCTTTTCCCGCCGATCAAGGGTCCTGTGGGGCCAGCCATGCACCCGCGGTGTGTGAGCAGAAGTCTATTCAGAGCATTTAGAGTCTAGCCGAACTTTAACGAACCAATCGCATACGGACGGTAGCCGTTCTGCCGTTCTGGCCGTTAAGGAGGGCGTAGATCGAAGAAGACCCTGCCATCTAAAATAAGGTAACAGAGCCTGCGCGTTCGGGTGGTATGTGGTGACCTATACCTATCTGACACTCACCTCGACATCGAAGAATGCCGGACAAAAAGGACTCATGGCAGTTATGGCTCTGTGTATGGCTCTAACTTCTAAGAGGTAAGCTACTTGTTTCCACGAATTGTAACCTCATTAGGCCTTATTAGGTCAGAAGTCATACGATAGGCGACCCAAAGAGGATAAGGGCATTTGTAAAATCTCGATCTGCTATTTCTTAGAAGATCTTAGATGCTTACCCGGGGGTATACCCTGGTCGTTAGTTGTCTTTAGTGGATTGGATGGTCCCGACTTTTCACTTTGTGCAGCCACACCGAGCCATAGTGGCCATTTTCTGGTCCCAAATTACCTATACAGAGTGCTAAGCTTATCTACATGTAGGATGCATATATGCGGTATGCGTCCAGTCAAGCCGTCAGGTGACTATCAGGTAGGTACCGAATCGGATGTTCCGTCATTAGGACCAATTTGCTTCCTTTCTTCTGATTTAGCAGCCTTACTCCAGCCCTTCAGCGACAACTGAACTATGTACCTAACTATCAACATTATCGTTTATAGATAGAGCAAAGCGGGCTACCATTTTCACATGAGATTTGTAAATTCATACTTGACACTTCGTGCCGTCAATTGATACATATACGAAATTTACATGTTAACGGTAGTGCCAGGATTCGAACACGCGGCTATCAGCCGACTACATGTTCGCAACTCAGAATAAAAGGACGCGGGGGCAATCGAGATCGCCGAACTGTTATGATTATTTTGATTTGATAAATTCATCTTATCCACGATCCAGATCGCCTTACCTACCTACCTGGGTGGTCTCTTCCGGTTGCGATGTTATGCTAACATTATCTCAAGACGAGGATTGCTCATTTAAACCAATACGTTAGGTATGCTTATACGTAATAGCTCTCCCGGAAGTCGAAGATCGCTGTCGATGATATACATAACCGGTTGTTCTCGATTAGTTTGACATTGGCAGACGTTAGAGTACTGTTCTCGCGACACGAATCTGTCTGCTGCCTGTATATTAGACCGGTCTACATATTTGTGCAGCTAGTGTCGATCCCCCTTAGAATCCCATGAATATCCATCGCGTGGTCTAGAGTCACCTCCCCCAAACTTTGCCACCAAAGCGAGTAGCTTCCTTGTCGATACGACTATCACGCGGGGCCGTCTCCCCATAAATCCCGACGTAGCTGATCCATAACCATCATAAACATCCGGCCTCTTACGGTTATCGACAAGACCTTTTATGGGTCTTACATATGTTAATCTAAGCTGCTTGATTGGTCCTACCCTAGTACATATAAGGTACTCCACCGTGTCTCCCTTGCATTTGAGGACATAAGAGCACATCGCTCTAATACCAGTGCAAGTGCTCTACCTAATGACGAGGGATTGGATGATAATAATAGGTGACAAGCAATCAATGGGAATATATATCACCAATAAGGATGCCGCAAGTTAAGGCCGGTCTCCACGAGATCCGAAAAGGAAAACTCATATCAACGTCATCGAATAATAAGAGCATAACCACAACTCGTCTATAGAAAAATATCGATCTTAGGTAATTTTAAAGCCAGTGTCATCGCAGCGCTTCGCGTGTCTCCCAATAAAATCCTGTTCAATAAAGTCGTATAAAGCAAGTTGGTAAACGCTTTGTATGGGATAGACTTATAATTGAAGATGGTGATAATGATGAATTCGTTTGCGTCCAATAAGTACCTAAAGTATTTAAGCACAACATAGGATAATGATATAACTACTGGGTTTCGGTCGTTATACCTGATTGTTATCCACAGCAGTTATAATGTACCCTTTTAGCTGCGGGATATTCATGCAGATCTACCGGCGCAGAATAGTAATAGAAATGGTCGGTGTGGCAAACTACTCGGGCCGTCACAGAGCTTGCAGTGGATCTTGTTCCGGCCCGCATGGTTTCCGGAGCATCTGGGCACTGGGCCGTACGTAAGTCTTCGATAGCTCCTCATTTACTAATATACCTAATAGACCCAGTAGAAAAAAACGGAAGCTTTCAGTTGGGCTCTCGGTGAGGAAAGGCGAGGCACTAGGCCGATGGTACTAGTACTATGCTGAAAGATGCGGTATATGAGCTGTACTTGTATATTGACTTAGTCTATCAACTGTATGAGTGAGTAGGGAGGTCCTTCTTATATATATGACATAGTCCCTTGGCCATTCATTTCAACATACTCCTCATTTCTCAAAGTCCCCTCTATTCGCCTTGATAATCTAACTAAGATCTATCCTCACTTCTTAGCTGCGTCCTCGGCCGCTTTCTTCAGCTTCGGTATTTGGTCGCTAGTATATAAACTATCCGCGAATTCCAAAATATCGTCCACGAGTTTACCATCCTTGCTCAATGTTAAGATCCAAACATACTCGTTTTCATATGGCCCAATGGCCGTCTCGGACCTCGACTTCAAATGCAATACGACCTTACGAGTGACTTCGTCTACCACTGGTTCTCCTCCATCAACGATCCGGAGATGAAACGTTGGCATAATGGCATTTAGCGCTGCTATGAAGCCTGCGAACTCGGCGTTGCTTTGTGGCGGCGAGTTTAGGGATGCCGGAAGCAGTCGATGCTTACACGTAGGACTGCGGTATCGCACGACTGATTCGGGTGTGAACTCGTTGAACGCCTCTATGAAGAGCTTGGCAGTCTCTAAGAGTTGTTCTCTCGAAGGTGATGACATTTTGTAGAGATTTACCAAAATGTGAGTCGCAAATTGTTCGCCTCTCGGTCCTCAGCTCTTGTTAAATGAGGTATATTTTCTCAGGTGGTAACACTTTTTGTAAGTACAATCTCCTGTATTATACTTGACTGGATTGATGAAGTTCCCGCTTATATAGACAGTTTTCTCCACTAAGATAGCTTCTTCGCTAGTATTCCATGGCTACATATGTTAGTAGTCCTAAGCTAATGCCTGTTATAATAAGACGGAATACGTCAGCTGCTTTATAATCTAGTAGATGAACGACGATGTAATTGGTTAGTTTATGAATATTCTTAGCCATGTGCTGGATTGGCATTCTTCTTACACCGCTCTTACATTCTCTTACCTGGATGTATTGTATCAAATTACAGTATCAGAAATATATTAGGTTGTTCTCTTATGAATGTTGTGTTATGAGTGTTAATCCGTAGATATATACATTAGTATATAATATTCGGCAAATGGAATTAATCCCACAATATAGTTACCTAGGTACCTAGGTACCTAAATATATTAGCATGGCTGACACCAATTTATAATCATAAGGTGGGTGGAATCGTTAAAGCCAGCGTCTCGTAGTAGTCTGACTAACTCGGGAACTATTTATATCGTATGGTACCTGGAGCAATATATCCGTTTGGGCAATGTAGCTAAGCCTAGAAACCCGTTTTAACTTATTTTTATATTCTCACATAGGCTTGTAGATTGATATTTACCGAAACTCCCATTATAAACAGGGACAATTCTCGAATTGTATAACTCAATTTATCCATAAAATTTTCGGTTTTAACAAGTTCATAGGCATTTTTATTTTCGCAGTGTTTAATATTCAGCACCAGAACAAGTTCTATATAACATACAAGCTTGACTTTAATACCAACAACACGCCTAACCATATCTCACCCTCGGCTCATCATTGCCTTTACATGTGTCCCATCTCAGCACTACAGAGCATCAAAATCATAATCTATAATAGTTACTAGAACCACAACTTCTTATAACTGGAAATGAGATCAATAAGTCAATAGATACTTACTAAGCTTAGGTCAAACCCCGAAGCTGCTCTCCATTCCCAGACACTTCTGTCTTGAGTTCCTAGAGAAGTCATGCCATTATCCTCAACCTCGTGGATGCTAGTAATAGAGGTGCCATCAACGCTGATAGTTATAGTCGGCGCCGCATGATTACTAGAACTTCTTCGCCTGCTTGGGTGCGTACGGCGGCGGCGTCAATAGTTGAGTGGCTATGGGTGATCTGAGACTTGTGCACTAGCAAGCAGAGCTTATCACCATTGGGATTTTCGATGATCCAGCCGTTCTTAATGTCGACGCTTTTATGGCTGAAGTCGGATAAGTGAATATTGGAGCCGTCTAAGACCTTACGCCCCTAGCTCCACAATGTACCAAAACTTGTACCCTCGACTCGGAATACAGGCTGGCCGGTACTATCCGTAACTGCGACCTTTTTAAATATTCTGTCGTGGCAGTAAACGTTTAAAGTAGTCTGCCGGGGTGAGACGTAACTGTTGGAAATGTTTACTAGTAAGGGTTTCTAGTGGTGTTTCCATTTTGCCGGACTCAATAGTACGGGATAGGAGATTTGCGTGAACGATTTATGGAATATTTAAGTTATCCCTCAACTCGCAGCCTTCGAAGTAAATTTTGTATATAATATATATCATCACCCAATCGATAAAGAAAAATATGTATTGTAAAGTAGTTGACCGTTAGTGAAGAGATATTTTACTTGTTATGATTATATAATGACTGTAAGTGCTCACAACTTAATCAGCCTATAATAAACCCTATAGATGTTGATGTCCCGCATCTTTCGACCCCCTTTTATCTGCCAATCCGCCAGTCCGCCTGCAGCACTGGCGTATCCATATTAGAGCCGTGTCTAACTCTTGACCGTAGCCTAAATTCTAGAATTCATAGCTATGATCCGTCGACCCTGAAGTCCTATTGTTATCGAATATGGCGCCGACAGCAGCATCCCAATTGTATGTGCCGTTAGCTAATGTTGCTTCGCTCTCATTCAATCCAAAGAGCTGGTGTTCATCACAGGGATATAACGTAAAATTGGATGGTAAATCTAGAGATCCATAATGTGTAAATTTCTGAGAGCTTCCTTCGAGGCTTATTTGAACAGTAGGTAAATCTTGAGATTGGGCTGTATCTGCTGTCACTTGACTTTTCGTTAATGAGGCCTGTATCTGAACACCATCAATTGATGTCCAGTCGAAACCAATGTGGTCGACCCCATTCGTTATAGCGTGATCCTGCTTTTTGTGTGTGTCCAGTTTCTTATTCTGGGTACTTATATCTTGGCTTACTTGGGATAATGTACCATATCCGGAGTCGCAATCGTTTCCATTTAACGAAGATAACCCAGATCTTTTGAGTATCTCAGGACCGCTGTTAATAGGTCTAGTGGCGTCGTATCTTTGGAGTATCTCTGGTATTGCTTGCTGAAATAAGGTCTGTGAGTAGGCTAGCACCTCATCCTCGTGTGGCATTAAATCTAGCGGTATATGTTCCCGAGCTTTACGTTCCACAATTTCTAGCCCATCCGTTGCTATGAACTTCTGTAATAACAATAGCTCGGAAGATAAGTCGCTCTCTAAGTACGGACTGTCTGGATGCGGTTGACCTGGAAATAATATCGTATAAATCGCGTACCACTGTTCCGGCTTTGAGAGTTGCTTATCGGAGCGACGTTCGAGTTGCTTTTGTTGAGTTGTAGTTATACCTTCTAGGTCTGGTTTTGGTCGTGGGGAGCAAGTACGATCTTGAATATGACTTTCAAACCCGTCTTCGTCTCGGAATACTTCCCAGCATACAGGGCAGTAGTGTGGTCTCTCGTGATATCGACGAAGGTGCTGCTTCACTCTGGATATATCCTTTAGGATATACTGACGACATTTGCAATATGATAAGGGCTTCCATTTAGAGAACGGACACGCCCAAAATGTAGGTTGAACTTCAACAGGACGGTCTAAGTGAAGCCTCTTGTGTGGGTATCTGTCTTCGTCTCCCTCATCCCCTGATTGATGCTGGCCACTGTCTTTGCGCCTTCTTTTACCCCGTGATAAACTGACTGAGTCCTTACTAGGAGAGTCGCACTGCTTTTGGGTTGCTATGCGACTTTGAGGGCATGATGTCGTATTTCCGGAAGCGGCTTCGCTTGGCCGACCTCCCGATAGATTGAGTTGCCTATAGAAGATAGATAACAACTCTTTTAGTATGGATGGTGAACTGGTGCTGGTGTATCAGGTGACCTTGACCCTGATCATGTGATCATATTCTTAGTATAAGTACCATTTATGGTCGCATACACCCATTTTACATAGTATCATCCACTTTTAATACAAGTCATTCCTTTCCTTCATCAGCGTCATCATTTAAAAGTCCTTGATATCAGGTCTAATATGGCTTGATCCAAGGCCAAGACGTCTAAGTCTTGTTCAATGGTGTAAGGGATTGGAGAATGCCGTGGTCCATCCCATTGATTTCTTCTTCAAAGTCGCTTGAGTTCGTTGAGTCATATTCGGTTACGTTACTTGAGTTGCCTAGACTTGATGGATATGAGTTGTTGAATGTACTTGGCAAGGGACTCGGCATTGAAGGGTCGATATGATTTCCGATAGTTTTGGAAAGTTCTATTGAAGGACTTCTTTGTTTAGTAGTATTTTGCTGTTTGGAGTATGACCCCTCAATTGCCTTATCGGCCACATCAGGATCCCATACTGTTAGGCGTTGAAATTGAATCAGCTGGTATCTATTTGGAATCTATCGCTAAGGAAAAGACACTATACATACTTGGGCTCAAGTTCCTGGGCGACGTGGAAACATACGCCACCTGCTCCTTGACACTCGTCGAGCTCAAATCGGGGAGAGATGGATCCCGATTCCCAGACTCACTGAGCTTAGTATCTGTCTCACTTAATGATGTAAATGGAACGAGCCCGTTAATTGTTTCCGGTGTATTTGGATATGAATAATTGACCCTTTTGGGGATTGACATGGTGAGTGACAGATCCATATCTGCATCATAAGATGAAATCCTATAGTGCTGGGCGGAATTTTGATAGAGTTGGAACCTAGGGTCACCGGGGAATGAAGGCTCTTGAGGCAGCTCTGGCGTATCAATCGGAGTAGCATCTCGATACATGCTTGATACGCTGTCTTGAGTATCTGCGCCAAGTGACGACGGAACGCTGAGATCATATAGCGAAGAAAATGAATCGTCCCTTTTGGATGATAATGCTGAATCGTCTGACGGAGAACCATGTTCCTCTGATTCCACAAGAACTCCATTTTGTTTCCGACAAACCTCTGCATCAAACCCAGTTGCGCCGGATGCATCGCGCAAGTCCAGACATCGAAACTTGTGTTGGCTGCTTGACGAGCTCATTTTCAAGAGATCCTGATTTAAGGACAATGGCCGCTCCGTAGACAATGTAGATCTCACTAATAAAGGGTCATAGAATCTCGCATGGAGACATTCATGGCACCGTGATGTCCTTTACTCGTGTTTGGCGGTGCCACATTCGTCTCGGGATCCTGCTTTGCCTCCAGTTTTAGGAATGAACCTTGGAAATAATAAAGCCGTATGTTGGGATGAGATGGTAATGTATTAAAATATTTGACGGCTTGTCATATATCTTGCTACTTCAAGGATAGATGAGAGGGGTTCCTGTGGAATATAATTGCACTACAACGGTAACGCACAGTTGTGTGGAAGAGCCCTATGTGCTGCAATATGGGGGCGCTTTTGTGCTTCATACTTAGGTACCTGGGCATGCATGTCCACACTCGCCAATCAAACGACGTAGGTTAATAGTACTCGGCTTATGACGGAAGGATCTGTATCAGACAGAGAACTGCATATCCTATCATGAGTGTTGAGTGAACCCGACGTATCTGGCCAGTTTTAGGAGGTACTCATACACTCAGGCATATACGTCGAAATTAATAAATCGTCTTTAAGGTGAAGATACCTGTGATGATATTTTAAGAAGTTTAAAGAGACGATACCTATTGATTGAATATGGGGGCCTTAAAAAGTCCCTATGCCAATACCACTTCAAACTCAAAGTCCTCTGTCAATAACGAGTATTCATCCCTGGTACTAGGTCCACAGGAGCCGCTTCCTAATCCATGGTGTGCTGCATCTAGTCTAAGGACTACGTTATCCGTCTTCTTCCTCTGTAATTCATAGGGATGCTTCGCCGCCTCTACGTCTGCGACTCGGTAATGCGACGCGTTGAAATCAAACAGCTTCCGCTTACTTCCAGCATCACCCTGATCCGAGAAGGAAGCCGTGATAGATTCGCCGCCAGCATGCGTAAACTTTACCCACCGCGTGTCCGTCCTATTGCTGCCTTCTTGCGGGTACTCGTAGTCGGTCCAGAGCTCGGATACTGCGGCGACTTGATACACGCCTACACGCTGTGACAGCTTCTTGTCCCTGTAACTCTCGCCTGGGCCGCGTCCGTACCAAGTTACCGCTGCCGCATCTTTATTTCCTCTGGCCCATTCTCTCGGTAGCTCTATGGTGAGTCCTATGCGCGGTAACGTACGAGGCAAATTCAACCCTTTCGGTTTGCCCTTCACACGTATGACGAGCGCACCCGATGCGTAAAACGTGTACGCGATGTCTAAATCAATGGACCACGAAAGGACAGGTGGAGCGAATCGCTGCTGTACTCGAACCACGACGGCGTGCCCATTGGCTTCAATATCCCACGTGCAGCTGCGCGCCTGGCACTTAGCGAGGTGTAAAAGCCTATTCTTCCAGTCGCGCCCATCTTGTGGCGCATCATTATCCGTAGGTGCCCGGTAAGCGGTAAACTCCGGGCTCACGGCTAGGAGCTCGGTGTGATTCTTTGCGAAGGATCGTAGTTTTCCATGAACCGGCGAGAAATTCCATGATGCAGCCGGGCTAGAAATTATCCAAAGAGTCGATGTTTCTGTAATAGTCACTTTGTCTGTAGACTGAAGCTGAGGAGCGAGAGGAAGTGAGGGGCTATTGAGTGGGATCTCTTCGAAGGCGATTTCGAATCCGGCTGGGAGGGATGGAGTTGCAGCGCGCTGATAAAAGAATAGTTGCAATATCCCTTCTCCAATTAAATCAGTGGGTAGAGATGGGAGTGCCAGTTCAGCAGTTTGACCAGGTTCTATACCAGATGGAAGTTCGATACTCCCGGTGTAAGAGGTTGGTCTGCCCTCATCCAAGATCACGTAAATACATCCGAGATGATCAAGAGTAATGAAGTCGTATCGATTTACGACCGTGGCTGTCTGCGACGCGTAGCCAACAACTTTTATAGGTTCTATCGCCTTTTTATATTCAATTAATCCAGGGGTTGGTGTGTGGTCAGAGTGTAACACCCCGTCCATGATGAAGTTGCTATCATTAGGCTCGTCACCGAAATCCCCACCGTAAGCATAGAATTCATCACTGGATTCCTTATCTCTGGTAAGGAGACCATGGTTCGCCCATTCCCATACAAAGCCGCCCTGAAGCTTTGGATGTTCGTAAAAAGCGTCGATGTACTCCTTAATGTTACCTGGTCCATTACCCATTGCGTGAATGAACTCGCATAGGACAAGGGGCTTGCTCTTAGATTCATCCTTGGCAAACTCAATGATGGTTTCTATCGGCGGGTACATTGTTGAATACATGTCCATAGTCTCGGCGTAGATATCGGCCTCATAATGGATGGGTCGGCTGTCATCATATGATTTGATCCAATTATACATAGACTTAAAGTTTCGGCCAAAGAAGGCTTCGTTTCCTAGAGACCAAATGATAACAGAGGGGTGAAGTTGGTCGCGATAAACTAACTGTTTCGCGCGATCTACATAGGCATGTTCCCAAGCGGGATTATCCGTTGTCCATTTAGCTGCGTCTGTCCGGGTGAGAAGCTGTCGCTCGCGGAACGGAAGTGATCTATTAGTAGGAGATAGTGCGGCATCGCCTATATGGATCTATATTAATATCGTCTATAATTTAGAAAGTGGGTATTAACGTACATATTGACTCGAATCCGTGACATTCAAGATCAGCTTCGTCCATAACCCAGAACTGTTCTTGTTAGAGATAGTAGGGACATGAAGACATTATGAGGTAGATAACCTACTCCCAGTTCGTCAGCTAAGTCATATAGACGAACATCGCTTGGTTGGTGACAGGTCCGAATGGCATTGATATTATGAGTTTTCATGAGGATAAGGTCCTTCTTCATGAATTCAAATGGAACAGCACGCCCAAGTCTAGGATGATGTTCATGTCGATTAGCGCCTTTGAGGACAATTCGGCGGCCATTGACTTTGATTAGGCCATCTTTCATTTCTACCTGTCGGAACCCCACGCGATGAGCAACGAAGCTGGTATCATTCAAAGAGACAATAAGGTAATAAAGTATCGGTGTTTCTGCCGTCCATTTCGAAGGATTTTGTATTGGGAGAGAGAACTCGGCGCGTCCCTGAGATACAATTCTTGTCTCCGTAGCAATGACTTTGCTCTTAGATGGGTCCCAAAGATCGACTTGAAGCTTACCAGACCCGGTGATATCTACCCGGACTTTTAGATCGGCATTGATGTACTGGTTGTCTAACTTTGTCTGTATGAACAGGTTCTCAACACGCGACTCTGATGGAAAGCCAAGAAGGTGAACATCGCGATAGCTTATTACCAGTTAGTTTATCACAGCGCCTAGGGAGTTTTTTGAACTTACATTCCGCTCATCCTCCATTGATCCTATCAAGCAAGGCGTGTCAGAAATGTAGGACTCAATTTCTTATACATGAAAAGAAAAAAGAAATACTTGATTTGAGACGGAACTAAATGAGAGGACATTTTCATTATCCTTGGTTGACTGGACTAAGAGACTTCGTAATGATATATCTTACCTGATCCTCAATGTAAGTACCATCGCAATATTGATAAACTCGAACTGCGATAGTATTTTCACCTTCCTGATGAATTACATCCGTGACATCGAACTCGGTTGGGTTCCGCGACCCCTGATGGTATCCCACTTCTTTTCCGTTCACCCAGACGTGGAAGGCAGAATCTACTCCCTCGAACCTTAGTCTCAGCTGTAAGCCAGTGAGATTCTCAGGGACTGTGAATTTCCTGACGTAGAATCCAGTCTCATTTTCGTCGAGTGGAACATTAGGCGGGTCTACAGGGATAGGGAAATTAACATTGGTGTAGTGAGGTCCTTTTCCGTAGCCGTTTAACTGCCACATGCTAGGCACTGTTATGTTGTCCCATTCTGCTGTGTTGAAGGTCGGATCCTCGAATCCCCCGGGGCCCTCGAATGGGTTTTCGGCGAGCTTGAATTTCCAAGTCCCCGAGAGGGAGTAAGTGTTGGATTTAGTGCTGTCATAATCTAATGCATCCTGTATCGTGTTATATATGTGGAAATTGGCCCGAGGAGGAAGGGTATTCTTATGAATAACGGTGAGATTGTTCCAATCTGGCTGCGATGCTGGGTGAATCTTTCCAGGCATGGCCATCGAAAGGTGGTATCTCAGTCTTATTCCTGGGTAAGAGGACTACCATAACAACAATTGAGAATATCAAAGGATTATAGTCCAGTTGGCCTTATATAGCAACTCATCGGATAACCATCTACAACGTCGATAACTAGGTACCTAAGACGCTCAGCGTGGCTTCTAGTTGATGTTTTAATCTCCTCGACGAGTGGTGAGGGGAAACTGGCGGGGATTTCGGGACAAGAGCCGATCTCGTGACTTACTGACAGGAAGCCATTAAACTGCAATGCAAGATTATTGAATAATGGACAATATCTAAATTAAATAGGGGCCGATCAAGGTACAATACCGCCCCGGAGTTGACAGATTCGGTGCGGGGAACCTTCAACACGACACGAATCATAAAAACAATCTATTACCTAGCGTGACATTCGTTTAGCAAAAGCATTGAAACGTATCTACATATATAACGACTCGGTCGATAACATATCTGTGTGAGCCCTGTGAACTAATCGCGCGCTCGGTTGGAGTTCGACCCGAGCTGACATTTGAGAGACCATTTAAAGAAGGGCCAAATGCGAGAAACCCAAGCAGGGATATTGTAAAATGAATGTTATGTATAACTACATGTGTGAATAGATTGAGAAGGGGGTATCAATATAGATCCAGAATGATCAAAGGACCTCGTGCTCATGCCAAGCATCTCTAATCCAAGTCCATGATTCCAGCCAACCGCCTATCCCATTTGACAATGATTTAATATACACCAAGGGGTAAATCCATAGAAGTCCCTATAAACGACTTTTATGCTCCGGAATATACAGCTGTCACGAAACGTCCACACTCTACCCGCTGCTCAATGCTGACTTTTCTTCCCGAGCCGCCCTCGCCGATCTTAACTGTTGTTCGAGGTGTGATCTGAAATCTGTGTTGTTCGCCCTGTCGTCCTTTCTCTGCGTCACCCTCCCCACCATCTAGGGGTCCGATGTAAGTTGGCAAGGCGGCGTTGTTCCGCTTTCCTGTCCCTAGCTGGTAATGCTCGTTGCCACCCCAAAACATTACATCTGCACCCCAGTTTGTATCATTATACGAGCTGATATCAGATGCATCAACTGAAGTAACATTGTCCATCACTGCTGCTACGTGAGTACTACCAGCGCTTAATCGGGCTAGGCGGATTGGGACAACTGAATCCGTCTTTTCATCCCACTCAAAAATTCCAGAGAGCGATTTGATCTTGGAAGGGCCGAGTGAAACATGTGTCCATTTACCCGTACCTAAGCTGCCCCAAATACCAGAGCCACAAGCCCAAGTATCGGCGGTAACTCGGCCTATGTCCTTGATAGAATTGGCGTCCTCTCTTTGCCCGGCAACTCGCTTCGCATCCACCGTAAAGAATGAATTTGCACCGCCGGCTGCAATTGACGTCACACGCGGTTGTTGTCCCGAACCGCTGTAAATTTTGGTAAATGGTAAAGGAATCGGAGCATCAATAAAAGGGAACTGGGGTTCCACTTCGAAACCTAACTGACCAGAAGTATTGTCACCGAAGACGAAGACATGTCCGTCGTCGTTGAGTGCTAAGGAATGGTAGTCACCAGCGGCAACTTTTCCAATTTTAAACCCCTTTAAACTAAGAATTTCATGTGGCTCGTCGTAAGGCCCTTTTGGTCGAGTTGCCCAAGTTAAGCCCGGTATACCCATCTGTCCTTTAGAGGGAAAATCAGACGTGCTGGAAGCAGCAGAGAAGACGCGCCCCTTAGATGTTAAGAGTAGAGTATGCTCTAGACCACTGGCAATGTCGACAATGCTTTCACCCCAACTGAGATTCTTAGGCTTAAGCTGTCGATAATTAACAGTTTCCGGGCTGGACCAAAAGGAGAACCAGGACGTCTGATGTGACTTCTCGCCAGAAGTCTGATCGGCTCTCGCTACAGGCACTGAGTAGACAGTTCCGTTCTTTCCCAAGGCAATTATACGGTCACGCGATATTTCGATCTTGACAAGATCTTTGCCTCTCAGCGTTTCCGCAGGAGTTGGGTTGGCTTTTGAGAAAGCCACACCCCACTGCACAAGGTCGCCTTTCTCGGTAATCGCCGCCCCAAAGTCGCGATCTAGCTTCATATCTCGTAGGAGCATCCCGTCGAAATATGGTATCCTTCGTGGCGTCTTTATAACGCTGTCAGCTGAATCGGGTGCAGCTACTCGACCTGAGTTGGAACCCCATGCATAAACGCCCGGGTGTTCCCAACTCTTCTTGACTTGGAGATGTTGACTACTTATTATATCCCGGTTTTCTTCTTTAGACTCACTAGGCGGTCGGGACTTCTCGTACTCAATGACGGCTTGTTGTGGCTTTGGGGGTTCTTTGGTGAAAGACGGATATAGAACAACTGCACTTCCAGCCGCAAGGACTACCAACATTCCACCCAGAAACTTTCCTGCACTCCCACGCTTGCGCCCTGCATCATTATCTCCTCTTTCGGTGCTAACTAATCTAGTCCATTGACGAGTGAGATGGTTTGTGGAATTCGGGTGGCGGTATAAAAGGAATCTCTGGCGCAATGCGATTCGTCGGACGATAGCCATGGTCAGCGGCAGTCGACGTGCGGAATGTGTATAATAGGTCTCTGGTAATAATTCAGATCGATATCAGCTAGGTCTGGTAAACCATCGTCAATTGACTGCTAGCTAAAGCATGTGCAGGAGGCGAGTTGGCGGCGTTGACGGTGTTGAGAGACTCGAGACTCAATCACAAAGCGGAGGGAATAGAGAGAAATGATGAGGTCATCCAATCAAAGCCCACGTAAAATAATACATCATGCGCGAACCGGGGACGAGGTCGCCCCACTTCATGTCGGCAGCTAATGTGGCAGCTAATATTTGCATAATGCGAGTTAGATCATAATGCAAGTTAGATTTATGAAAGGTTGCAGCTATATGTACCTAACGCTAGTTGATGCATGAGTGTATACCCTTATAACCAGTATTATGATTCTATGCCCTCCAAGTCTAATATCATATCTTCGCCTTTTCTCCGTGAGCTAACTTCTTCTAATATTCAACTTCCAATCTAACCACTTCTCCAATATTCATATTCTTAACGGTCCGTATTTGCATTATAGGAGGTGCCAATCAACCCCCTTAGTTGTCCGTAGTGTCCAATACATCCTCGTCGCGACCTGGATACATGATATCCTGAATGATAACAGCTCGGACCAGATTGTAAAGCACAACGCAATATGTAACGAGTAGGCAGATAGACATTCCTGTCGCAAACCAGCGGATGCCTTCATGCTGGAGCTCATTTCCGATAGAAATCGTAGCCAATGTGAAGCCTGTATTTGGAAAGGCCATCGCCCACCAATTAAGGTGGAAATATTGAGGCGGCGACATGATGACCGACACTACCGCAATACCAAACCACCATAGGGAGAGCGCCCATAGAAATATGGCACCCACGACTGCTATAGGCCTAATAATTTTCATATCAAGCACCATGCCCACGTTGATATCCAGGTTATCAGGCAGACCGTTCGCCATACCGATAATTGCCAGGGCTGTAAATGCCGGTGGGCCAACGTTCATAAACAAACCCGCTCGGTGTTCGCGGTTTGGCATGCCTAAAGTGCTTTAGCTAATAGTCTCTTGGATTAATCGATATAGCAAGCTTACCTCGTGACATTAAACGTCCTACCATATGAGCATACATCATAAATGCCACGGACAATCCTAAGCCCTGACACGTCAACCCAACCACGATAATTGGAATTGCGTTCATCTGGGGTTGAGTTTCCGCAATAACTGATGCGATTGTGCCTGAGAGCATGATGGGAAATATTGGTAAGATCCAAGTTGGCATCATAGTCTGGAGACCGAGCTGGTGAGTTCTGAATATGTAGGAATATTGTGCTATCGCGACAAATAGCGAACCTGCCACGTATCCCCAAAACAGAACGGAGATAAACCATACTGCAGATGTGGTTTCTTCGGGAATAGCGTAGCGTTGAGTACCTGTGATAATAGTTGCTATAGCGAGAAAAACCGTCGGCACGAAGAATGCCTCTCGAGAATGGGTAATAGACGTCTTGAAGGTGCCTTTATGTAGAACAAATCTCATGATCATAGCGGCGACTATACCAAAAAATATCACGATGTTCGTGATATATACAACGAATCCGATTTGTCGAAGTCCGGGGAATTGGTGAGGTTGAGCGTAAATCAAGAGTGCTAGGCCTCCGGTGCTCATAGATAAAGTAAACCAGGCCCAAGTGAAGTGAGCTCTAATTTACTCAATGATTAGTAAACTATGTCAATTTTGATCCGGGCTAACGATTGTTTCTTACAGCCTTTGAGAAAACTTGATCCTCGGGCGATTCGGATCGTATATATCGATGCCGCCAAGGCCAACCTCGGTCTTCTCGATATCATGACTTTCCTTGCCATCATGTATGGAAGCGTCTGGGGAGTTTGCCCGAGTCCCGCTCGCGCTGAAACTTATGTCTTTCTCGTCGATCTCATATTTGGCGCTTGGTCCAGATGTGGGCTTCTCAAGTGATTTGGCAAACAATGGCGAATTAACTGTAAGAAAAGGGGTATTTTTATCTGAGGCTAGAGCGATATTTTTGTCCATAGTTCAGAGTAACGCCCGTGATACAACGCAATACGGCTCCAAAATTAAATCGAACACAAGGATAAGCTTAGAATAGAGAAGAATGAAATAGCGATGGCTTGGTGATTATATAGATTCTAGGAGTAGTCCTTTCAATATATCTTACACTATCATAAAATAATATTCGTCTTTGTGAGGTAGCAATAATTCTAGATTATGGGGCTAATCATCTACCTAAGGAAATGAAGCAGCTCCGAACTGAAACTGTTGGATGCCAAGAACCCCAGATCCAAGACCGAGACCCAGAACTTGAAGATCAAAGGAGGCGATGATACATCACATTGCAATGACGCGCCTCTAGCGTGTATACCTTCCTTAAAACAGTAGGATCCATCTCGATACCAAGGCTAAAAAGTGACCTAAATGCGTAAGGGATCCACGATGGCCAAGATACACTGCCGTCCAAGACACGTACGACGTGACAAATTCAAGGTGAGAGGCTGATTTAGAACCAATTATTCTTAGAGGTCCAGAGCCGATGAGGTTGAGTATAGGCATATCTACTAATATGGAGAACTAGGCTGTTAGCGCACTGCCACAGAGTACGTGATGGATACGCACGCTGATGTAAATATTACGAGACTGGTCATGCTGGAGATATTTATATTATAGACTAAGCACTATTCGTTTGGCATAAACGAACAGATTGGCGACTTTCTTAATTGGAACAGGAATCACTTCTTTCGACCAGGGTATTAGATGAAAAGCTCAACATATCGAGGCTCAAAACGCCAGGAAGTAGTATGTGAAGTAGTATGTGAAGGGAATTTGAGTTCTTTCATGTTGACCTAGAGTAGCTTGTTGTCGATCAGGCTCATTTTGATGGGTCTAAGAATATTGAATATCCTTTTCTCTAGGGGGTAGTGGCATAAGGTAGGTGGTTAAGGTCTACTTCTATTTGCTAGAATGTGGCTCAACATGTTACTATACGTAACTCGCGCTGAATCCCCAAGCCTCCTTACGAATTCGAAGTCTTGGCTCTCGCGGTGACGCTCTTGGGACTACGGTAGACACTACAGGTAATTCCGTTGGGGCACGATATCGGACCAACCAGATACAATAAAACAAGTACATACTGGTTAGGAAGGTTAGGAATCTTCCCTCGAGATAGCATTTTACATTATCCTATCTGTTAGACTCTATGTCTATATAGCAAGCTAGAAATCTATATATATACCTTATAATGGCACTATAATGAAGCCTTAGAAGATAACTAGAAAGGGGTTGGAATCCAAGTGAGAGAAGCTTCACTAAAAGATACTACAGACTGGCTTTGGTGGAATCCACCATGGACTTTTGCGATGGCGGTATTTTCGAGGGGTCAATTTGGAGATTGCTGCTTTACCCCAAAAATAAAAGCTATAAGAGAGTTTTTACTGTATAGGCAAAAGAAAAAAGGTTTGCCACGCCAATCGATTCGAGTATAGATCTGGTAGGTAGGAGCACGCAAGGAGCACGCAAGATATCGTAGACTTTGTAGCTGCTATTTACGGTGGCCGAAATTCGCATCGTGCATCTAGGACGTTAAGCTTTTTGGACCATGCCAGGTGGATATCGTCTTGCCAATCATTTACGCGGTGAGCCTTATGCCTAGAGATGTCATGCAGGGACTTCGATGCAGCCAAGGGATATGGTATATATTAGGAAGCTTGATCGAGATCAATATACCACTAATCCGTATTGAGTTGCAAACTGCTACTTTGGCTCTCTGCAATACTAGGTGCTACAATCAGCATCAACCCAGTGTGTTGGGGAGCATTACTGTATATGCGCTTCTGAGCAGGGATCGTCTATTGGTCCTTAGTAAGTTCTATACAGCACAGCGTCGCTGTTGATGGTAAGCCTTTGCCAACCTCCGGAACCGTACCCTCGTCCGCGAAATGGTCGGGCATAAGGTAAGTTACATCTGGCAAGCTGTCAAATATCTCCGGCGGGGTCACACTAGTAATATAAATGTTACCTATAGGCGCGATTGGAGATAGAACATATCCCGCACCAATCAGATGGTGAGCCTTGCTGCCCTCTCTCAGCTCTTCTTCACTTACTAACTTTAGACGCCCTTACAGCATTCATGTCTCTTCTTACTATGTCATCGGATTTCTGTCCAATACAATTCGCTTTCGAGATTCTCAAAAGTTGGTGTGATAGATTCGTTCCTGGTCGGCCAACAACATGGCTACTCGCATGACTACGTGAGGAGTTCTAGAAGCCGTTGACAGGTTGACATGGAGTTATGAATAATGTCCGTCATGCCGGAGTCAATAATTCGAAAAGTGTATATATATAGGTCATCAAGGTCGTCGTTTCTTGAATTAGATAGATCATCAGGTCAGTAACAACTAGTAACAAGTCGATCCGGTAACAAACTCGTCTTCGCATCAACCGCCAATATGCAATTCACTCAGAACGTCCTCCTGCTTCTCACCAGCTTGGCTGGCCTTGGCGCCACAGCCCCCTTTTACCCATACGCACCAACATTCAGGCCACGTGGTATACCCGTTCTAGGAAACGTTCCTTACCCGAACACCACGATAGCGGGACTTACCGTTATTGACACGCCTATCGTCCGTCTTGCAAGGGAGTTCGCTCGTAACCACAGCGATGACGCTACCTACAAGCACCAGCTTCGCGCCTGGCTCTTTGGATCTCAAATCATTGCCAATAACGAGACGCTTCTGAACACCGTCGACATTGAAGTACAAGCCGTGGCTGCCATTCTACATGATCTTGGCTGGGACCAAACCCCAGACTCTCCAGTCACCTCTTCGGACAAGAGATTTGAGATTGACGGAGCCATCGCTTCGACAGAGTTCCTCAAGAAGTACGGAGATGAGAACTGGGACCACCGCCGTATCCAGCTGGTATTCGACGCCATTGCATTGCACACGACCCGCACGATCGGATACTACAAGGAGCCCGAGGTATTTGTGACTAGTCAGGGCATTGCTATAGACTACAACGGCCCGGAGCGAGGTGTCAGCAACCAGACGTGGCAGAGCATCGTTGCAGAATACCCCAACTTCGATTTGATTCAGGCGACCAACGAAACCTTCACTGCTATCTGTGCTAGGAAGCCGGATGTCACTTGGGGTAAGACTTATCCAACGGGTGAATTTGATATCAGTGCTAACTATGCCTACCTAGACACCCAGTTGCAGCCGTGGGGTGACCGATACGTGCCGGGCTACAAGGAGAACCAGAACTTGAGAATTGACGGCATCTTCACATACCTCCAAAGCATCCAGAAGAAGTAAGTCAGAGGTATCACCTAGAAAGGTCTTGGTGCTGGTGTTATGGGTGTTCTGAGTGAGGAGCAGGGTTGCAGGGGAAGTGGATGTCACTTTATGAAGCTTCGGTACAGTCGTTTACTAAAAGGGAATCGGCTGGATGAGTGGCTGGATCAGAGCTTTCCCTTTAAATTCTACTAGGTTAGCTTATTATTCCCTAACTATTATTATAGTGATTTATTGTTCTTTCCTCGCCTAATATTTTTACATCTCTATCCCTTTATATCGGTGACCAATGGATACTGATTTTGATGTATATGCCTAACGTAGTATCTAACGAAGCATATATTAGTTTAGGTAGGTAGGTACCTAGGTGGCATTTGGCGATCTAGTCTAAGCTATCTACTTCGAGTAGGATTTATGAAGTTGAAATTTTCATACAAAGCTCTTCACCAACCCTAGCAATTAGGTCAATCCATCTTTCTGGATCCTTTTCCTTGCTCAGCTTGATAGGCTTTTCGAACGTATCCCATACTGCGATATACTTATAATTACTTTCCTCTGTAACCCCGATGCTTCTCCTGAATACCTTCACCATTTGGTCGTGATCCGTTAATTGTCTAAAGTAGGATTTATATACTTCGGCATCCTCCTTACTCCCACGCAGTATTCGGATTTGAACGCAGTAAAGTATTAGAGCGGCGAGACCAGCAGCAAGTGCTGTAGCAACCGAAGAACCGGTTCGATACTTCACTTCTTGGTTTAAACCGACGCCTTCCAGGGCAACATCATTCCCGGGGAATGTAAAATTTATTTGACTTGTACTGCCGACTTCATCATCTGTTCGGCCTGATGCGTGTGCCCCTCCGATTCTGAAAATCCTGTCACGAGCTGCTATCCAAGGGTAGCTGTGGTCTTCTTTTGCTCCGCCATCGCTTGCTGAGCAGAAAAGGAGAATTTTCTTCTTCACTGCCTCGCCAATCGCACTTTCTAGTTCAATTCGTGTTTTCTCGTCTTTAGGGGGGTCGATAGTCCAAGACATTGAGATGATATGGACTTGCATCCTTACGGCTTCGCTGATTGCCTAGGAAAGTCAGCAATATTTGCCACTACGATATGAATATGCTCGCGGGTGCAGACATACCCGTGCAGCACTCTTAGCTGTGATCTGACGACTCCCGTCACGACCTACATGGTCCGCTAGTTTCAGGACATAGAGCTGTGCTCGTGGACATATCCTATATATAAGGCTCGCCATAGCTGTGCCGTGGCCACTGCTCGAAACATAATACGGATAATTGAAAGCCTTGTCCTCTGTTCTCGGGCAGAAACTCCTCCCACCTACCGGATAACATTCCAATTCATTAATGTTAATACCATCGTCAATTAGCGCCACCTTTACTGGTTCGTCAATCTTGTCTTCGACTACCACATTCTGGCTCTTATTGAAATTGGCTTCTGCCTGAAAGAGAAACCTTCTGAATTCAGTCATACACTTAATCCAGTGATCTTGGGCAGGCTGGCGAGGCAGTTGTGGGAGAGCGGCTCTGGCTGCCTGTGGCTCTCTTACAGCTTGCAGTCCGTCCCATGTTATTTCGATATTTGGGTTCGTCGTGATCATCCGACTTTTGAAGTACTCGAGATTAGACTCAGTGCGAGAGTAAGAGTCAAAGCCCTTAGAGCCTGTTAATTATCATGCTAAACTGCATCTGGTACCATATCTCAACTTACCTGCTGGCCATGAATATGGATTTTCCGCAACCCTTTCAATTTCTTCAAACCACCTTCGTCACACCAACCCCGTAGAATGGCGTTATTTCCACTCCAGTATAGATATACGACTTGCACATTTGGCGCTGCGTTGATGATTACCTCGGAGCATAAGTCCCTCTTCTTCCAATTCCAAATCTCAACCCCAAAGCCACTGAGTGCTTTTTCAATTGATTCATCTCCGTGGGCTGTAGACCCTAAGTCGTCGACAATGACCTGGATTATTGTTTGTACACCCTTGCTTCGTAGCCATCTAAATATAAACACTAGATCCGCACGTCCGTTGCCGCCTAACTCCGTTTTTGCCGAATACTCACGAAGTTTAGGGGTGTTTGGCAAGGAGTCATTACCTTCAATAGTTATATGTGGCACTTCTACATGCTGTAGAATATCATCGAACCTAACATGCTTAAGTGCCGTCATTAATCGACGTCGCGTCATAGTAGTGTATCCTGAGAGGTCAAAATAAATTTGCCTATCTGTTATTGAACTAGATTAGCTTTCTGAATCGGAAAATAAATATTAACCTCTTAAAAGGCGCCATGGTTTCTTACCTAGCGAGCTTTTTCGATCGTATATGATCTCTATAGCAGAATCATGACTGCGGTTCCGAAGGTAGTGGTACTTAAGGAAATGCCTAATTTCTTCCGCAGATTCTTTGGTCGGCTTCAATTGACGGACATCTCTAGTCTCTTTACTTGACGGCTTTAGGCCTGAGTTACGTTTCTTCAATTCTGACCTCGTAAATAAGTCGTGGTTAGATGGTTTACTGTTGTGTCCTTGTACTGAATTGCTGACATTAAGCTGATGGCCTTGTATAGTTGAGGATAAGGGATCCGTCGCCTGCATAGCGTTGTCCTTCATGTCGTAGGAGTCCCTTCCAAAATCCTCATTGAAGTCAAGATTGGCCGATATAGTGGGCTTATTTCGAGGATCTCTTGGCGCCTCCTGACTGGGATCTGAAGGAACTGAACGAGCAACTGGCGGAGCGACCCTATTCTTCGCCCGTCCATCTTTCCTGGAAGAAACCGGCGTTTTCTTTCGTTCAATTATGGTTTTGTCTGCCTTTGCCTTTTTGGCTTCTCTTCTTCTTCTCCTTTCCACCTCGGCTGCTTCGCGGGTTGTGATATGATAGAGGTATGGAGACAAGTGATTGTTATTATACGTCAGCGCGCATGAATCATTAGACTCGTAGGATTCTTCGGAAAACCTCATAATGTCATCGCATTTCGCCACGATAGCTTTCACCACTCGAAGCTGATTAGGCTTGCAGTGCCCGTACTCCACAGCTAGATGGAGTGGTGTATTCCCCTTGCTGTCTTTGGCACTCAACGTCTGTGCCCCAGCTATTCCAACGAGGTAATCGAGGAATTCTACTTCCTGCTCGACACCCACGTGAAGACAGTTTTTCCCAAGGTGGTCTGGTATCGAGAGAATGGAATCAATATTGGGGTGTGCACCGCAAATTAACTTTACAAAATCCTCCTTTCCTTCTATTATCGCTATATGTAGTGGTGTATGGCCGCCACTCTGATTCTTCTCAGCTAATAAATTGCTAGGATGTTGTACGAGGAACTCGAGTAAACCCTGTAATCTTGAGAGGTCGGGAATATCATCTTTTCGACTGGCTAAATCATGCAGTACAGTGCGGTTAGTATAGTCCGCGGCGAGCTCGGTGAGACGCCCTGCCGATATCCCATCTCGTATGAGATTCTGGTAGTCCTCTTTTTTACTTAAGCCTTCAACCCCTTCAGATATATCTTTTAAGATACTCTTAAGTAGCCTTTCTGCTGATACGGCATAGGAAGTAACAAGATGCTCTTCCTCATCTCCGGAGCTTTCCCTACCCGAGTCGCTATCTGTCGAATAGCCATTTTCATCGTCCTCTGGATGTTCGTGGATGAAATTCATAGTAGTTACACTTTATAGCACGTAGCATTTATAGACGGTATCGTTGATGAAGTAGTGTATATGAGTTATATGAACGAATAGAGGCTGAGGGGTTGAATTGAGAGAGGCTCAACAACTCAGCCCTGTTAACTCAATCTCACCCCACGACTTAGGGTTCGGTTAGTTATTCGGAAATGGTCATGTATCACTCACCCTAGAAGCGATAGCTGGGTGGCGCCTAATCGGTCCATCTAATTGGCAGGTTGACGAAATTCTCAGCTACTCCTAATGCCTTAGGTAACTCAGCGCAACTCCCTTAATTTAGGAAGATATGAGAAAGATATCATTGGTGCAAAGCTCGCACTGTCTATACATATTTCATCAAACATTTCAGCTTTCTACCCCTCATACTGTAAAAATGGCGCTACGATTGAAAAGAGTATAGATTTGAACAGGGGTTGAAGATATTTCACAGGTGTTTATATGGATTTCAGGCGGATCAGCTATCAGCAGCCAGCAAGGCATAAGAGATAAGCTATGGTGGAATGTGAATGAAGCTTCGGAGAGAAATTTAGTTCAAATGTTAAGAGGCTTTTATAGGCAACTTAAGGCGTAAAATGGTTACTAGCCTAGATGAAGACCTATAAGGTAAAAGGGGAATACGTTACTTGACATGATATACCTCGATATAAGTATAGCCTACCTAGATAGGTACCTGGTATATATAAAACTAGGTAAACGTGGCTTGGGGAATTTTATTGAAAATACGTTTCAGCTGACACGTCTTTGGCTACCCTCCGGTACGAAGGATTCGCTAAAAACGCTTTTCAAAACATTGGCACAGACACCATCTTCAATCCAACCTAAATTATCCGTTAGCATATCTCATTAATAATTGGGTACCTGGGTAGTTACAAAAGGATTAGAATGGACGACGCTTCGTTTGACATATATCTAGACGAGGTCGGAGACGAAGGTAGTGGTTATCATTTTCGCAACGATCCCAATCCATCGCGACGATATCAGCGAGAAACTGTCACTGAACGGCGCGGAGCTGTCGCTATCCGCTGCAAGTCTCGAGAAGTCGTTCACGGATTCCTGGACCCCGACTCTAACGAGTTTGCTACATTACTTGTTTATGATTTTAGTTTCAACGCCGTGAAGCCTGGGCGCCGTATAACAGCTGCGACAATTTCCTTGAATTTTGGTAGCTCGGTGCAAGAAGAAGTTGCTCCAAGAATTCACAGCCTTTCCCCATTTGGTCACTTTCTTATGCTACCGACGATTCAACAAGAGTCGACAACTCGTAGCAATGAAATTAATGCAGGTATTCAGTTCGGAGGGGAGTTAGGTGGCGCTCTGAAATGGGAGAAAGTGATTTCTCGCGACACCAGTGATGCAACAACCTTGAATGGGTCTACAGCATGCGACGATTTTGGCAATGAGATCGGAGTTAGCTGGATCTTACATGAGAACAGATCAACGAAAACGGGAATCCCGTCATTCCTTCGAACCGCTATACTTCTAAAGAGAGAAGATAATAACGAATTCCAATGTACCGCGGAAATCCATGTAGAGGCGGATTGGAAAACTGAACTGGAGAATTTATTTGGCTCAAGAAGCAGCGATGATCCTATCCTCTTCGATCCTGAGAAGAAGCCGACGAACAACCTAAACAAAGATGGATATCCTGTAGAGAATCTTGCATCGGTTGATCTAAGAAAGTTATCTGATGTTGTATTTCACCATTTGCTGGACGACGTGGTCAAGAAGGGCTAGGAGGTGGTGTATGAAATATCTACCTAGGTTAGGTGACTTAGGAGGGATCTTGCATGTAAAATGAGGAATTAACATTGGAAATAAAAACTCATCGACTTATTAGCCGAATTATAACATCGTAACTATTATAGCTTCTTGTTTATAAAATCTTCTCGAAGCCTTTCTATATTATTCACAGAAAATATAATCTTGCATGTGTGATTGTGTTTCAGAACAGATCATACCGTGCGAGTACGTCGAGCAACAAAGCTGAGGTACGATCGTTGGTCCTTAGGAGCCTGGCAGATTTTCTGCCCCCAACTCTGACTTGTACACATTCGGCGAAGCCACATGCCCCACGCTTTAGTGTCTACCCTCCATAACATATCTCTGAATTTTAGACCACCACTGGGGAAGGCTGCGTTGAATCACAGCTAACAATATGGATATGTCGTCTCAAATCTATGCACGGTGACAGCATCTTCCTCTTCCTCAGTTATGGCTGCCGAGAAACCAGTTATGAATTCAACTTCTCCAGGACCCGACTTACATTCTAATGTCAGCACAGTCCGTGGTAGTGAGAGTGTGCAGGGAAAAGTATCTGTGCCTCGACATGAGGGGCTATCACTCCAGTGGTCAACGCCCGGGCCAAACCCTGATCAGCCGGATTCGCAAACTACAAGCCCAAAAGAGGGAATAACATATATTGAGTGTGTACACATCGGCGCTATGAAGAATATGCCATTGATTTGACGTATAGCATTATATTCATTCCTCGGCTATTCGATCTCTACCAGCAGCTTGACACCTTGCCAAAATGGCTCTTAGATTATACGCGTTCCGCAAATCTTAATGTTAGGTTATTTCGTTTCGAATACGATCCAAATGAGGTTGTTCGCAGCCTCCAATGTCGTCGTGTTATTCGAAGACTATCTCTAGAACTTCTAGATAGTATCGCAGGGCAGCGGAACGATGAGGTCGTAAGTATACGGCGTAAAACAATATCCGAACCTTGAAGCTCATCGACTAACTTTATTAGAAACGTGTTGTAATGTTCGTAGCCTTTGATATCGGAGGGATCATCGTCAAAGATGTGAGTCGGTTCTATATATTGGCCCGCGATTCCATCCCTAACGACGACGCCCATAGGCACTATCCCAAGCTTCTCAGGCCTTAGGCTCCTGGATAGAAATCTTAGATCATACTCGAATGCTGGTGATTAACCCTGGATACTTCATCTCTAGTCATATATCTAACCCATCAAGGTTCTGAGCCACTGCCCACACCGATGTAAGAGCCTGACGGGAATGCAGGATAGTCTAAGTCGGCTTCTTTTCACATCACCGCCTGAGCTTGAAATTCCTCTCCGTCCGTCAACAGCTGCGCTACCCGGGCTCGCCGCTGCTATCGTCGAAATCAACGGCTCTTTCATATCATCCAAAGTGCTTCTTCGTACGCGACTCATCAGTATTTATACTACTATGCAGATTTCTAGCGGGGTTCATGAGGTCAGAAGTATATACCTGGATAAAATTGCGGGTTTGTTCTCTAATATCTAACAGTATTTTAATACATTTACCCTAACTTTAGGGACACCATTCGAAACGCGTATACACGAAAATACACAAAGTAACTTTGGCTTAATACTGGGCAACCTATTTCGCAACTTTGAACGGGGTACGACAGACTGCCAGACTTTTCATAGGCATCCTATAATGCAGATAGGCACTAATACTTGGCGCAGTAACAAAATTTGTCCCACGGCTCTTTGATCATGAACACACCCTGGTGTCTCTCGCAACGGCTGTTGAACCGTTTCGCACAGACTGCAACCTAAAGGCTCAGCTTCGTGGCTATTCTACTTATAGAGAATGGTTTGATAACCGCAGTGGCCAGCTACTCTACGCGCATGGCATTGAAAACATTCAAGAAACTGCGGAGCAGGTATTTTATCAGCTGGATGCGATAATAGCACCAACGGCTATGACACATGTTACACTTTACTTCACCTTTGATCGTCAAGACATAAGGCGAAACCGGTTGTCCCAGATGCTCTTTACATTTCTGGCCCAGATTGTCTGCCATCACCCAAGTCCGAGATCTTCAGTAATGACTTTAAAGTTTCTGGACACTGAACGAGCCTGGACCGAAAACGACCTTATATATTGGCTCGAACAGGCTCTATTGAGATTCGATGGCATTCGTATTGTCATCAACGACTTTGATGAGTGCGATGCGAACTCTCGGAAAGCGTTTATTCAATATGTCTCCCGTGCTGTGGTTATTAATGAAAAGACATGGAAAGTATTTGTAACCAGTCGAGCCGATAATCTAAGTGATGAGTTATCAGAATGGCGAAGCCTCGATCTTAGCTTAGCGCCTACATCTGATGATATTCAACTCGATTCTTTGCAGGACACAGAAAAGAGGCAGCAAATAAGCGAGGATCTGCCCCAATCATACGACTTCGATCATATTTCGTGGGAAATTCCTTCGTGGTTCGATGATATTGATTTCCTAGCACGTTCGATAATCCAAGAGCAATTGGTGCGAAGAACAGCGTTGAATAGGAACGCTGCACCGGATGACTTTCTCAGACCAACAGATGACATAACGGCCAATACTCCTCCCGAATTGATTATAGATCGTATACTCCGAAACATTTCCGATAAGCCACTGCTGCTACTAATACTATCCTGGATTCTCTACTCAACCAAGCCATTGTCTATCTGGGAACTCGCCACGGTAGTATTTATCAGTCGTGAACAGGATGGGGGATCTGCTAGTCTACTCGAAAAGACAGACATAGAAGTGATCTTCCCAGATTACTATAGCTGGCTTGCTTGGCTGGCTGGTATTATCAGGATTGATAACAATGAAATTCATGTGTCTAACCTTCGTATAAGAGACATATTCATGACACCCAAAGCAGAAGAAGGACCAACCTATATCTGGCATGAGATTGCCGCCGATGCTCATCATCAAATTGCTACTACTTGTCTAGCTTACCTCTCACGACCTAGTATTCAAGAACGATATGTCGAGTTTATCGACAGACATGCGGAAAATGACCCATCTATTATAATATTAGATGATTCTCGTGATTTGTTTTCCTATGCGGTTGAATACTGGTTTCATCACTATATGCGAATCCAAGATCGTTTGGAAAAGATCGGAAAGTTAGATCAACTCTTCCAAGAAGTTGGATTAAGACGTTGGCCAGAGGCTTTCTGGATTTTCACACGCCCTGTCACTGTGAGTGATAATTGCTGGAAAACCCCCTTTCCACCACTTGCCAGTCTTGGGTGCCTGGAGGTTCGGCCAGAAAGTGACGAAGACTTGGAAGCGGGGATACTTGAAGCAGCTCTCAACGGCCACGTGAAAGAGGTTCAAAAGCTCGTCAGGTCGAAAACATGGGACCAAGATGCCATCTTGCGTTTTATTGAAGCAGCAGGTCCAAGTGGTCAAGAGCAGCTGGTAATCGATCTTATTAATTACCTCGAACTCGATTCTTATGATACTATTAGCGAATGGGGACCGTCGTTATTGTATAGAGCAGCGAGGTTAAACTTTGATCAGCTTGCGGAAACCTTGCTATCAAAGGGGTGTCCAATCGACTGCAATAGCCCGCTTACAGGCGACTCTTCGATGGACCTTCTACGGGTTGCATCATCATCTGGGCACCTCAAAACAGTCAGAGTTTTAGTCACGCACGGAGCTGACATTAACTCTGGCTCTTTCGATGGGAATTCACTGACGTCGGCCATTTTAGGAGGCCATGTCGAAATAATAGAATTTCTTGCCAAAGAAAATAGGGAAATTCTAGAACATAGCATTTACGACGGTGGCACTCCTAGGCCATCTCCTTTGTGCTTTTCTTGCGGATGGGGACGTCCAACAGCGGTACAAAAACTCCTCGAACTCGGAACGGATCCAAATAAACCGGACCCTGGTGGTATGAAGCCGATTGAAATAGCCGCAAAGCATAGAAATGAGAGGTGTGTTGAGGCATTGCTTAATCATGGTGTTGATCCGGATACTCCAAGTGGAATAGGAAAGGGTACATCTATGCATCATGCTGTCGCCAATGGGAGTGTGCAGATATGCCAATTACTACTGGAACACGGCGCCGACCCTAATAACCCGCTTCTTAAGTCACCGCTTTTACATGGCGTGGTAAATCGAACTTTACCTTTTACAACCGAACAGCGGATCGGCCTCACAAGGCTTCTGGTTAAATATAACGTGAATATCAACGCTACAGATGAGCAGAAAGCTACCCCATTACTTATCGCAATCAGAAATCAGTTTGAAGACCTTGCTAGGTGTCTCCTAGAGTATGAGCCCGACGTTAATCTCGCGGATGTTGATGGAAGAACACCAATATACGAGGCAGTACGGAATCAAGACGAAGGTCTGGTGAAATTATTACTCGAGAGAGGCGCAGATGTGAACGTCCAAACAACCCAAGGCCTAATTCCTCTCCATGTTGCCTCTTCAAGTACGCCTATTACTCAGCTTCTGGTAGAGAAAACCAATGATCTTAATCTCAAAAATGATAGTGGCCTTACACAACTGATGTTCCTTGCATCTAAAGGGTGGACAGCTTCTGTCAAAGTTCTCCTGGAACATAAGGCCGACACTGAAATCGAAGTTGATCGAACAGCAACTAACTGGGTTGGATATACAGCGATATCTTTTGCTGCATTCTACAACCATCCAGAGACAATAACTCTATTAGCTTCTTACGGAGCAAACTTGAATCACAAGGAGTCTATTGGTCTCAACCCACTTCACCTCGCGATTGATGGGATCGATGGGATCGAAGGCGGCTGCCTTCAAGCCTTGATGGAGTTCCGTACGCGAATAGACATAGACCAAGTCGACAACGCAGGTGAGACTGCACTAGGCTTGGCGGCTTTCGAAAATGAATTGAAACCCATACAACTATTTGTTCGAGGAGGCTCGAACATAAATTCACAGGACAACATGGGTCGAACAGCCTTGGCGAAAGCCAGCAAGGAGACAATCGTATCGTACCTCCTTGGGCAAGGCGCTGACCCTAATATGAGAGGGTTAGATCCTACCGCCGCAGATTCCCCTATTCATGAAGCCTGCGGTTACTCATATTTCGAAATCGCAAAGCAACTACTTGATTTCGGAGCCGATATAGAAACAATGGCAGTATCAGGCTATGGCACGCCCCTAATGAGAGCATGCCTCCCGTGGGACGATAGTAAAAAGGAAGACCCAGAAAGATTGATCAAGTATCTCATCGACCGAGGCGCGAATGTAAATGCTAAGAGCTATTACGTTGGGAGCCCAGTAGCAGCCGCCGCCCTGGGAATGAAATCAAGTATTGTCCAGTTACTATTAGAAAAAGGAGTTTCCGTTAATAGCGAGGATGCCTTAGGCCGGAGACCAATTCATTTCGCTGCGCTTCATAGTATTGCTAATTTCCGGATCCTTGTCGAAGCAAAAGCTGATATCGAAGCAAAAGACAAGCTTCATCGTGGTGTCTTGCATTGGGCTGCCCAGGTCGGTGGCTTAGAGGTTATCAAACATATCATAGAACTTAATCCTCAAGTAGATGTGGACCAAAGGGACATAGACGGGTGGACGCCTCTCTGTTGGGTCGCCAAGGGGGGAGGCAATTGGCTATTTGAGGATAATGCCAACGATGCCGAGGACACCATTGGGGTAACTAGGGCACTATTAGAGCAACACGCTGATCGATCTATTCAGTGCCCGGTTGGCAATGAACTCTGGACTCCGCTTGAAATGGCCTCCTATTTTGGAGCCGATCCTGGAGTTATTGACCTCTTAAAAAATGGGCTTGAAAAAGAAGATCAGGGGCAATCATCGGAAGATATTCCAACCCCGAACGAAGAAAACCAACCAGGACTCCCAAGAGCGGCCCATGTACACGATGCTGCTTGGTGCGATAGTTGTTTTCTGGTAAGTATCCCCGTGATTAAATATGACATAATAGATGGGTCAGCTAAATAGCCTCTAGAAAGTTAAGGGTTTGTGTTACGCGTGCAAGACTTGCTTCAGCTATATACTCTGTCAGAAATGCTATGTCCATTTGGATATTGTCCATGAGTATAAGCACGACCATGAATTTGAGGAGAGGGGGCCAGAATACGACGCAATATCGGAGTCCAACGCGGACGAGGACGACCAATCAGAGACATCGTCAGTCACTGAATCAAGCATTGATAACAGCGAAGAAAGTTCAGAAGATACCAAAGAAGAGGAGGCAAGTGGTTCGGGTGAAGAGGATTAAACTAGTCTAGTTAAGTAAAGTTTTCCGTTAGCAGTGTCGGTGGGTTCGGCCTTGTGTTTCCAATGATCTATATTTTCATAAAGGCTATGATAAAGTAGCATCGGATACAGGAGGCTTGCCGGGTGCGTGGATTTTCTCCCTTCTACAAGAGCATTGATAATAATGCCGCCGAAAGATAACCTTCGGACCATCAATACCATGCATCAAATCATCACTTTTAGCCATCTGCGGCATTACATCAAGCTGATCACTGATAGCCCTTCACGATCTCATCCACTATACTCCTATTCTTCATGAAAGTTTCAAACTCTTGGACTGGATATCAGTTAGCCGAGGCATGTCTACAGTTGAATGAAGGCTAAACTCACAAGTGATTTTGCCTTCTCCATCTACGTTATTAATTATTTGATCAATCTCAACGTCGCCGATAGGCTCTCCTAATCCCGCTACGAGTTGCCGGAATTGGCTTTGTGTAATTGAGCCCTTGAGGGAGGGCTCAAATTGCTTCCATGCTTTAGCGTAGTCGATCTTTTCGTCTACTGGGGGGTACGTCTGGCCTGTCATCATCGTGATGAACTCTATTGCGCATTAGCTTTCCGAATATGACTTATTCGTCTTCCCTTCGTATTCATGTTTCGTAGGCGGTATTATAATAAATTAGCGAATAATGAAACTTACCATTGAAGTTGATAGTTCCATCACCGTCGAGATCAACCTCTCTGATGATTTGCTGTACTTCGTCTGGTGTTGGCTGCTTTCCGGGACTCTGAGACATTACTTTCGCAAATTCCTCCACACTTATGTTACCTGGCAATAGTTAGAAGACAGTAGTCCATACATGATAGCCAGAATTCATCATTCTGATGAGCTTCAAGTACTAACCGCCCTTATCCGTGTCCTAGAATGAGATTAGATTAAAACTAAAGTATTTCTCACATCTCATAAGGCCCTATACTCACATATGAGTCAAAGAGCTCTTTGAAGACTTGAATTTCCTCCGGTGACAGTTGTCGAGCCTACTCGTCGGGTTAGCGGGGTTTCGCCAAACGCTTCTTTAATGATCGTAAAAGGTTTACCATGTTGGATTTCTGAATTGGATCTTTAATATATAACTTGAGTAAGTTAAAGTTCAAGATATACTCGATATAGTCGTGATGATTCGGTGATCGTTAAAGGGAAATAATATGACAATGGTAATGAGGCTCACGGTGGGCATACATAAAATTTATAGAAATCGGTAACGCACGGATAATAATGATTTGGATGAAACAAATTCCTGTTCCAGAGCCAAGAAATATTCGCCAACTGCGTGATCAGCACAAGGGTGGCACGGTCCGTGATATATTCCAGCTATCCGGGTATAGCAGATCCAGCCACATTTCTAAGTAGCATTTCTGATGAGGGGTATCTACCTATGTACCTTGTTAACTTCCTCGCGCCACGATAGTGATTAAATCCACAGTTGTCGTAAGGCTAGGGGCAATATGCCGAGGTACCGATAGAGTTGTTTGAGTTCCATGAAGATGGTTAGAACGGCATGGTATCCACGATAAGCTTTAGGTAGAGTAATAAAAGACGGTCACAATTAGACGATCTAGAGGTTCTACCGGTGTCAGACCAACACTTTTTTATTAATGCAAAGTGTACCTAAGCGATGCTTTCTGGATGAGACATATAGAACAAAAACCACTGTTGGTATGTAATATAGCCGTAGGCTCACGCAGCTAGAATAAAGTTATTCGTGGAACAGCGAAGTTATTTCTTTGCTTCTTAGTCCACTTCCTGCCAACTTCAAAAATTGACTAACTATCCCAGGGGATATACTTTCAGCAAGTCATTCCCATCTCGGTAACACTCAAGTATCTCGCATCCTAATTATAAGAGCCTTATTTAAAGTAGCTAGTAGGTAAGATGAGCTAAGATAAGAGATGAGAATGAACTAATCCGGAACATACCGACACAGCCCCGACCCAAGTAGATATAGGTAGACGACTATCAATCGGGCGAATGATAGATGAGAGATGAGTTCCCTTTCCAAGAAGTTCTAGAAGCAACCCAGGGAAGTCCAAGTATGAATGTTGCTTAGCGAGGCCAATGTAATTAGCTGGAGACAGACATACATAATAGATTTCAAGTGGTATTAGAAACACAGGCAAGAGCTACTTACTCTAAGGCATTTCTTGCGTAGTTTAAGTATATAAGATCGAGTCTCATGTATCCACTGTTTCAATTCTAACAGCACATTCTTTTATAAGGACACCAATTATTGCACCTTATCTTTCTGTGACGTATTGATTGTATAAAGAGGTAGATAGCATCTATATCATATACTGAAAAGTACGGCCTGTCACTCAATGGTGCTGTGGATCTAAATGTATAACATTATTGATTTAAGAACTAAGAACGAGCTCTGCTATCTATAGTTTAGAGATCGCGTTATATAGAGCTTAGCTGGTTACGTAATACCATGAGTTGAGTTACCATACCTCTGAGGCTTATTGATCGAGGTTCTAAGTCAGATATATAGTATATATAGTAGAGATATCACCTTATATAAGTACCTTACAACTAATTACCTGAGGTAATACTAAGACCCCACTTTAGTATAATAGCCAGATCTGTGATAACCTTAGGTTAGGTTAGGTACCTACCTACCTAGGTAGTTATTGTCGCAGGGAAAAGCACGAGTGTAAGTGCCCTTCTAAAATACACCCAGGAGCCTTCACTCTGGACTATGTGCTATAAGAGTCGATACGGTATAAATCTAGAAATAACGCTTATCATGTCCCTAGGAATTTCTCACGTAGTAAAGTCGTCACCTCTGAATAAAATAAGTACGTTTCCTCGTTGGTAACATTGCATGATACATATATGTAGCCCCTCTGACCAATTATATTACTTGTCGATAATAGTGCTTGAATCGTTCCAAGGCATCCAATAGAACGGCAAGGAAGTAGATAATAATCCATAACTTATATTATGGTTGATGTAACCACTTGTCTTCCGTCAGCTGGTGGCACACCAATATCAACCCACCCTTGCCTACATTGCAGGTTTGAAAGGGTGCGATCAGCTCCAGGAATCAACTGGAGTCAAATAAGAATTTTTGGGGGTCAAATAGCGGCCTTGGCGCTATGTTGGAGAAAGGTCTGATTTAAAGCCTGCCTTTGCCTCTGGTTCTATATTTTTCCTAGCTTTTACCATTCATACTCAGATCACCAGAAGTCATGCGGATGTTAAACCGATTGATTGTAAGGGAAGAACCAATCCCATCGCAATGCTATTCTACATGCAGTAAGCACCTATCTACTTCCTAATTTCTGAAAACGACGCCCATAAGAAAATAACTACATCCAGACAATGCACTCATTGAAGCACAAAGCGCTGGCAAAAGTCCATCGCTATGTTCGTCCAACTCCGTTTTTATGCAATGCCGTACGGCATGTGAAGATTGCATAGAAGCCTCGGGAAGAAACTGGACTACAGCGTTTTCTGGAGAAGAGGGTGAATGGCTATATTTTTGTGATACGCAAACTCCAAGTTCTACTACGCCTACAGAAGGATCAGATTGGACAAGCTCCAGGTCGATTCCATATGAAATTGTGACAACGACGTTACCAGGGTATGTTTTCCGAACTACTACCCTTTGAAAGTATCCAATATAAGTCCCCAAACTCAGTATCTGGGGGGAATTTATGCTAAACTCATTTTTAGTATGTATCAGGTTCCCTTCTAGCCCAGTATCTTGAGGTAAATACACAACGATAACCAGTTATTTGCCGTTGACTTTGATATAGGCACAGCGACCATTGGGGGAGTCACAACGACCTGGTCATTTCAAACAGCCATTACCCTATATTCTCAAATTCCGGCTACTACGGCCGTCGAGATTCCAAGGACAGTCAACGGGAGACTAACGACTTTTACCTTCACGACAACATATCGCCAGATTATACCTAATTTGGAGTTGCCGACAAGTATCGGGAACCAGACTACTAGTGGTAGGGAATTGCTTTCAAATTAATCTCACCTGGTGTAGCTTTTCCGCTGATTCTTTGTAGCGATTGGTATTTCACCGCCACCCACGTTTGGCTCTGAACCAGCCACACCAGCTAGTCGTGCCTGGATCGCTGGGCCTGTTGTAGGCGCTTGCTCTGGAGTGTTTATTCTCATGCTGAGTGCGTTTTTATTATGGCGTCGTAGGCAAAGAAAGGTTAAAGCGCAATCCAAAATAGAGTTGCATGGGAATTCGGCAGTGAAGACAGAGTTGGAAGTCCCTGGCTACCCACAAGAGCTTGATACAACCGGCTCGAAGACGACGTGTAACGAAGCAGGTCGTCCCAGTGAACCACAGGAGCTACCTGCAAACGGATGACGTACGAGACAAGAATCATCTAAACGAGGGCAGTGAGTTGCATAAACGAGGATTTGATCACGTTTATATCAAGGGATATATACAGGAATATAGTATAGATTTGGTTCTATACATCGCATCTTACCAAAATGAGGTTAGTAAAATACATAACCAACTTCTTCGTTTCGGGATACCTCAAGTACCTAAGGTAGTATCCCTAGATAGAGTTATGAGCCTGTGCGCTGTTCAAGATGAAAGGAATATACAAACCATACGGTAAATAAATAATTAAGAATAGTCACGATAGAAAGAGCCTAAACTTTCATCTACAACCTAGGTGCCGTTGAGGCATGTCTTGGTCACAATTGCGGAGGCTAGAGAGGCGTAACTCTAACTACCTAGAATTCTCATAATACTATATTGCGTCTGTGTAGAGAGACGCGGCTTCTTAGGCCGGCATTTAAATAAACTGTGATGGAACCGTGCGCGGGGAACGGAGATTGGTATGAATTTACACGCTTCGAATCCTCTATGGCATCGTACATCGGGTTACATTAAACTCTTGGCTTCCCCTGCATGGGACGCCCAATTAGCCGACTCTAAATTTCGGATAAGGTTGAGTTTTGACAGCCATCAAAGTATCTTAACTCTTAGGGTTAGGCAAGATATCCCAAGTCTATAAATACCTATATAAGGATCAGCAAGATCCCAGAATCCCAGGATTCTTTTGACTTGTAGAACATCCTACAATATTCTTTCCAAAACCAGATCCATCTAAGCACTTTCTAAAGTCAAGTCACTATGCGCGGATTCACTCTCACAGGCACAGTAGCCTGGCTACTCTCATGTTCGACTTCATATGCGAAGTGGGTGACAATTTCTGACTGGGGCGAGAACCCGACACATCTGGACATGAATGCATATATTCCCAAAACTTTGGAGCCTTCGCCTGCCGTCCTTCTTGCCGTAAGACCTGACCATTTCTGCAAGCTAAGAAAAAAAAAACCTAACAAGATATACAGCTACACTTCTGTGGCGGAACGGGGGCTCTTTATCATCAAGTAGCAAACTTCGACGCTTATGCTGAGGCAAAAGGGTTTATTGCAGTGTACCCAACCACTAGAATGGACAACAACTGCTGGGTGAGTTTGATGGTGGAATTATAGTATTCTGTTCAAGTTAAGTTGAAAGAGATGCTTGCTAACTTAATGGTATCACAGGACGTTGCCTCTAATAAGTCTCTCACAGTCGATGGAGGAGGTGACAGCACTGGTCTGGCAAACATGATGAGGTACTTCATCAAACAGTATAACGCAGACCCGATGAGAATCTATGTTCAAGGCTCGTCTTCTGGCTGTATGATGACGAATGTGCTCCTGGCCACTTATCCGGACTTGTTCATGGCCGGATCTTGCTATTCTGGTGTCCCAGCAGGCTGTCTGGCAGGCTCACCCGGATCGAGCCCACAGACTGCCGATTCAAGATGCGCTACAGGCCAGAATATTAAGACGGGCGAGGAATGGGCAAAGATGGTCCGAGCTATGAACCCAAGATGGAACGGAGGATACCCCCGTCTGCAAACTTTCCATGGTACCGCGGATGAGTTTGTCAGTTATAGAAACTTTGGAGAACAGCTGAAGGAGTGGTCGGCCATCCAGGGTGTTGAGTTCACTAAGAATGTTACGGATACACCACAGGGAGGCTATACTCAGATGATATACGGAGATGGTGGTTACTTGGTTGGGATTTCTGCTCATAACGTTGGCCATGTGGTTCCTGTGAACCGAGAGGCCGATATAATGTGGTTCAATCTGGGGGTCTGATCTAGAATCACGGCAAACTGGAATAGTTTTCATTTTCTGTTGGAGCCCGGTTATGAAAAGGCCCCCTCTCTTGGTCTACGGATGGTAGGAGCCGATTTGTATTTCCGACTGGCTGTATTAGGATAAGTTTTGCGGTATGGCAGGTTATTTCCTTTAAAAATAAAAGCGTGGCTTTCTAGATTTGTTGATTTGAGCGTAGTCGCCTATTTGCACACGGATAAAAGAGAATTACCAAAAGTAGAAAATGATTTTAAAAGTCTAATGCTACGATGCGCGCGACAACCTTAATTCCTTAATTCCTTACCGACGTTACTGACGTCTTACGTAACCCGTGCCGTGGTCTATGTACCTAGGTACCTCGAGGCAGGTACCTCGAGGGATACATTTCTCGTATAATTGAATGCTTTATTACAAATGCAACACAGCGATACTACCGGCACCTTTCAACGACATCATCAATATTTTCTTATCCTTGACTAAAGCGTACCACGGAATACGATACGAGAAAGGCGCGTTAACCGTATTAGATATAACTACATACCTGCTGATGGTTAAGTAGCATTTGCATGCATATTATATCCATGCAGTATTTCGATACGGGCTCGGGATTGAGATGCCTAGTCCAGCCAAAAAGCGGAAGCTGAATAGTGGCAACTCGAAATCATCTGGTTTACCTTCTAGAGGTTTGGAGTATTTTTTCTCTAAGCAGCAGGAAAACAAAAGCCCTAATGATCAAACGCCAAAGGATAAAACACCGAACGATGAAGATCCTGGGCGGGATCAGGTGACGACGGACGAGGAGCTCGCACGGAAGCTCCAGGCTGAATGGGATAAGGAGGCCGAAGCTGTGGGGCACGCCTCCGGATCTTCAACCGTGGCAGCGGTCCCCAATCCGCCTAAATCGGACAACATCACTGAACCTGTTGATGTTCCGCCAGCATCCTCAGATCCTCCAGTAGGAGTAAAGAAAGCCCAAAATAAGGGCAAAGGCACTCTGTCGCTACAATCTGTTACAGCTTCTGTAGACATAGTTTCAGAGAACATACCATTTGATGAGAGTCCTCTTACATTCGACCCTTCGAAGTATATACCACAGCTTCAGGAGCATTGGGCTAGCGATGGTGGTAATGCGTCATACGCACTCCTAACACGCTGTTTCGTACTCATCAACAGTACATCTAGTCGAATTAAGATAGTAGATACCCTCGTCAATTGCCTCCGCGTCCTTATCGAAGGAGATTCTGAGAGCTTACTGCCAGCTGTTCGTTACATGTTTATTCTCTATGTTTATATGTCTTACTAATTGCAGTATGTAGGTCTGGCTTTCCACAAACTCAATATCACCACCTTATATCTCTCTGGAACTCGGATTAGGAGGCTCAGCGATTTCGAAGGCCTTGAAGAATGTCTGCGGCTTGGACAATCGATCTATGAAGGCAATTTACGACAAGTACGGCGATGCGGGAGACGTTGCCTTCGAAGCGAAGAAGAAGCAGAGCTTTACACTACGGAAGCCAAAGCCTCTTACGATCAAAGCTGTCTATCAGTCTCTAGTAAAAGTAGCCAGTAGCCAGGGGCAGGGCAGTGGCGAGGTGAAACAGCGTATCGTGGATCGATTGCTCCAAGATGCTCGGGGTGGCGAGGAGAGTCGATATGTTGTCCGTACGCTATGCCAACATCTGCGGATTGGCGCCGTGAAAACTACAATGTTGATCGCTTTATCGCGCGCGTTTCTCCTTTCTAGGCCTTATGGTGCGGAGTTTCCATTAAAGTCTGTCGATGAGCTTAAGGCGTTAAAAAAGGAGGAACTCGCAGACGTGTGGAGCAGAGCCGAGGAGATCGTTAAAGCATGTTTCGCAAGGCGTCCCAACTATAACGATCTCATCCCTGCTATGCTCCAAATAGGAGTGTGTGATGAGTTGCTAATGAGATGCGATCTGACACTACATATACCTTTAAGGCCAATGTTGGGGAGTATTACAAGGGATCTATCTGAGATGCTTACGAAGTTGCAAGGGAGAGATTTCGCATGCGAGTTCAAATATGATGGTCAACGAGCGCAGGTCCACTGCGACGATAAGGGCAAGGTATCAATATTTTCCCGGCATCTAGAGGTCATGACCGACAAATACCCAGACCTCGTAGAATTAGTGCCCAAGCTCCGCGGGGAGGGTGTCAGCAGCTTTATTATGGAGGGTGAAGTGGTTGCGATGGATCGCCAAACAGGGGAATTAAAGAATTTCCAAACACTCACGAATCGAGCTCGGAAGGACGTTACAATTGGGAGCATCACAATTGACGTCTGCTTATTCGCGTTCGATTTGATGTACCTGAACGGCCAGCCGCTTTTAGACCGGCCGTTTCGCGAGCGACGTACGCTGCTACAATCTCTATTTACGGAAATACCGTACCATTTTACCTGGGTGAAGAGCCTCGACGCTACGTCGCAGGATTCCGAAGGGGTGCTGGACTTCTTCAAGCAAGCCATAGAGAATAAATGTGAGGGTATTATGGTTAAGATTCTTGATAACCTGCCCAACCTGCTCACCTCTAGTGACGCCTCAGAGGATCCTAACGGGGTGGCGGAAGACTTAGAAGAAAGCGAGACCCTCACTTTACCGACGAAGTCGAAAGGGAAAAAAGGCAAAGGAAAGGTTGGCAACGGTGACCAAGAGAAGAAGCCGCCACGTCGGAAACCATTGCTTGCCACTTACGAGCCCGATAGGCGCCTTGACTCGTGGCTTAAAGTGAAGAAGGACTATAGCAGCTCGTTTGACACGCTAGATCTTGTACCGGTAGCTGGGTGGCATGGACAAGGCCGCAAGGCGAAATGGTGGTCGCCTATACTTATGGCCGTTCGCAACGACGCAACAGGGACCCTAGACGTCGTGTGCAAATGCATATCCGGATTTACGGATGCCTTCTACAAGGCGAATAAGAAATTTTATGACGACGGTTCTGGTGAAGAACAATTGAATTTTAATGGGGTTAAGGGAGGTGAAGAGGAAGAAGATAAGGGTAGTGACGCGGCGGCTGAGAATGACGGGAGGGAATATAAAAATATCCGCCAGACAAAGCCCAGTTTCGTAGAGTACTCGGGTCCCGAGCCAGATGTCTGGTTCGAACCTCAGGAGGTGTGGGAGATGGCATTTGCCGACATTACATTATCGCCGACATATACTGCGGCTATTGGACTAGTGAGCCAGGATCGAGGGCTTAGTCTACGATTCCCGCGTTTTCTTAAGAAGCGCAAGGATAAAGGGTTGGAAGAAGCTAGTAGTAGCGAGTTTCTGGCCGCATTGTATAGAAAATAGGAGGCTAAGGCGCCAGCTAAGGAGGAAGTTGAGGAAGGCGACGAAAAAGAATTGTAAATATTCAATTAGATTTGAGTGGTGAGCATAGCGCACATAAGCAGCTTCACGTCTTCCAATAACGTCTTCTTCATCCATCACCACCAGAGTGCTGATTACTCTTTCCATGCCTTATACACGATCCGGGCTCCGAATTTCTCACCCTTCTTTAGCAGCTGCTGGCTCCGCCAATCATCCACGTTAATAGCATTTACAAACCGGCTTGGTTCCACGCAAAAACCGCTGCGCGGCCCGCGCGCGGGAGCTCCGCCCACAGCCGGAACATCAATCCACTTGCCGGTATAGAACTGGAATGCGGGCTCCGTGCTAAGAACCTCAAGGTGGATTTTGCTTTCTGGATGGTGAGCGGAAACGAGTTTAGTGAGAGGAAGACCTCGTGTGTCTATCGGCACAGAACCGGGAGAAGCGGTAGGATCGACGATGAAACAGTCGTCGAAATCCGGCTCCTGGACTCCAAGAGTGAAAGGAGTCGTTGTTGCGACTTTAGAGTACGCTGTTGGTCCGGTGGTTGGGATACCCCACTCATCGAGAGGGAGATATGAATTGGTAGAAAGTTGGACTACAGTTCCCTCGATGGTTGGCTTACCCGAGAGGTTAAAGTACCTATTCATATCAGCATGATGCATTCTTGCTCTTATCCGTAGGAATCCAGGTGACCATACGAATGGTTTGTCATGTTTATGATAGTTTCCTCCGCACCTCCTACCAGCTCAGCCTCGTATTCCTGGCTAAGAACTATGACCTCTTTTCCATTCTCGGTAACCTTGCCGGCCGTGTAGAACACCTTGACGAGAACCTCACCGGGGAACCCCTCATCCCCATCTTCGCTTACAAGCGAGAACTCGACGGTCTCTCCACCCTTAAGCTCACCCTCGATTCCGGGAATGTTCTTGCGGACGCCTACCGGGGTCGGACCCTTCCATACTCGCTTACCCCAGCCCACATTTCCGCCGTGCAGGGTGTTCGGTCCATTGTTGGCAACGAAGCTATAGGACTTTCCTCCATTCAATGCGTCGACCTTGGCACCCGAGATGCGGTTTGCGACACGGCCAATTGTGGCACCAAAGTGCGGGCTGTTGTGCTCGGCATAAAGCTCCTGGGTCGGGAAGCCTTGGACAATATTAAGGCCACCAACATTAAAGGATTGGATAATAGCGCCGAGTGGTAGGAAGGAGATCTCGTCGGCCATGGTGATGTTTGCTACAGTTGTCTTGTTGGTGGTGCTAATATGAATTCGCGGGATGTGGGGGGTTAGCTGGAGGCTCGAAATAGACTCTTAGACTCAGGGCGGGATGGCAGCTAAATATGGGAAATAAATTGGAACACTCGGCCTCAGTAGCGAAAGCATTGGTATTCAGGCTATATACGATGTTCACGAGACAAGTGACAAGTGTGGGGAGAGTTTCCAAGCCATCTGCTGAACCTTAGTACATACGATAACCCAGAGCTATCATGAGATGGTGGGGTAGTAAGTACTTTAGGTACCTTTAGGTAGTACCTACCTTATGTACGTATGGCGGGGTAACTCGGTCGTACACGGTCGTACAAGCGGATTATACGATTCCGTTTACCTCATCATTCCACCGAGGCAAGTCGCGATTTCTTTACTTTTCTACGCTATCGATTCCTACGCTGTTAGGGCGTGGCGACATTGATCTTCTGGAGCCATACAACCGGATTCGCGATACGTGGGTATTACAGATGTGCATATGTATGTACTTAACAAGAAGTTAGAACATCCCACGCTTGCAGAGTATGTACATAAGTTTATTTACAAGGTAACAGGTATCTTACCTACCTATGTAGGTATCCATCGTGTTTGGAATGGAATCCTGGGAGAATTAACTAGAGATACTATGCATAATACGATAATTCGGTAGAGTAAAGTATATTGAACTGTGCTTGAATTCGCAATAATGTCTTAACATTAATATGTAAATGCCAGGGAATCTTGAAGTCTGCTCGGAAGTACCTGCCGTCCGGACGAATAATATTTTGGGCCAATCATCGCCTTAGCCTTACGGCATCGTCCTTCTCATTAGGCAGGAAAGGGCAAGCTAAGACACCCGCATTACATAGAATCTGATACACCTGCACCTGCGTGGCTATTTCCTACATGTAATACCCACGTGGAAGTACTTGCCTGTCCTATATCCGACTGCAGGTGCCGTCCAATGCTTACCGTACATTGGACACCTACCTAACCTACCTAAGGTTAGGTAGCTTCTCAACCAACTCACCGGTCTTGCTAACCCTCCTGATTCACACTTGTCTACCTAACCTAATATTCAAAACCTCTTATCTGCTATTCATTATCATTTCCGATCCCGATTCAAAGGAATAGACAGACAATCCAAACCCAAGATGCTTAACTAAAATTTTCCGATTATATACGAATATAGTACACCAATGGACGGCCAGCTCTAAGTCTTGTAAGCTCTCCCTTAGAGCTTCATAGACGCCCTGCTACTTTGAATCTGGCAAATTAAAGGATTAGACGAGCCATGGCTGAATCGTCACCGCTGAAAGCTACCCCCAAACGCAAACGCGACGATGTGCTCAACGAGCAGCGCGTTTTCAACTCTTCTCCTTATACTTATAGTCTGCATAAGACCACCTTCTCTTTCCAAGCTCCGACCCTGAAACCAGTGGAGAATACTCGAAACGATGCCCCTGAAGATGGTAACAGTAGTCCTCGAAGTAAGGTTGCTCAGAAGTTCCAAGAACTGGCTCTTGGAAGTGGGGGCGGGGTAATTGATACCGACAGGGTCGATGGCACTGGTTTTATGGAAACGAGGACGGGAACGGGATCAGACGAGGCTAGTCCCCAATTTACAATTGATAGCCCAAGGTTTTCGCCAGAGCTCACCGTCTTCGATTTTGATGGAGGTATCAGAAGTAGCACGTCTGTCGAAGACATGCAGCTTGACGATGGCGATACTGCATCGCGTAAGCGTGTCAAGTTGCCCGACATCGCCGAACTACAAAATTCTCCTGAGGTCGTGTTGGGGGGAGAAGTAGACGTAACGAATTCCGACTTTACCCAGCCTACTGAGTCCCCTCGATTCACTTTACAGACAGCCGTGGATCCTGCTATTTTGAGGACAGAAAAGACCGAAGGTTCAGGCCGCTTGCAGAAGTCGTATCCGTCCATCAACCGATTGTCGGAATCTAAGTCGCGTATTCGAAAACGATCGGGCACCCCGCCCTTAGCAAAGCGTAAGACGGCAGAAGCCTTGGCCGAGGAGGATCCTATCATCGTTGATCCCATTCGTGCCGCGCTTACGTGGCATGAGGATGAAATTACTATCTATGACCCCGAGGATAAAGACGATGACGGTACTGGTATCAACGGTATCGGCTTCAGACCAACTCCTGCTTTGGCATACGCGCGGGCGCAGAAACGAAGACAGCAGCTGGCCGATTATAGAAAACGCGAGGAGAGCGAAGCTAGAGCGAAGAGAAGTCAACGTCGTCGACAACGGATTGGCAATGTCGCGGAATTGGAGAGAAAACATTCCATGGCACGAGTGCGTTTCTCGGATGCAGAGCCGACTACTGTGGTCACGACTTGATGTCAGCAGCATACGTCCTCTGCCACTTGAATTTCAATGCAATAATTCTGGACTTGGGGCGTTAAGTGGATATAACCGGCAATGGTTTGATTAATAGGGCGTTGAATAGCTCTGGCGCAGATATATAGCCTTAGATGGCCGACATGATGGCAAGGCTGCCTTTATCTATTTGAAACCTATTCGACTTTCTTTATCCTTTTGCAAAATAACCTAAAACTACATGGCTTCGAATTCGGTATCGCTATAAGTCACACCAACAGAGCCATGGAAGACTGTCGAAAGCGTCAATGTTGATATGTGATTTATGGGTTTCGAAGGATAGCATATGAACAGACCTCAGCGACATACCCCGAATTTCCATAGTATAGTAACTATTCCTTACTTTCGCTGTAATATCTGCAGGTCGACTGAGATCACCAAAATTTACACCAGCTTTTCTTTGTAGCAGCATCTTGCCTTGCTTTTTCTGCTTCCAATCTTAACCTTGCAACTTCTTCAGCTTGTGCCTTTTTCTCGGCTTGCTTCTTGTCCATTACTTCAACTATGCGCGCCATGGCCATGCGCTCGTTCGCTCGTTGCGCACGACAGTATTCCCATTGAATTATGGAGCCCAAGAAAAATACACCAAAAGCCCAGTTTGTTGCTTTTGGTACCGTCCCTGGAGGACATAATTAGTCTAAGCGCATTTTGAACTCTCAAGTAGTACGCTTAGGTACCTCCTACAAAATATCGACCCATTCCCACCGCCGCACCCGATGCGATACCCGTCATAAGGCCCTGGCGGGCACACGGGATTTTGTGTACATTGAGGAAGTCGTCGGATTTTATAGACTGGATCCCATCCTTGATATTGGGTTCAGGAGTGCGCTTTTGTCCCTCCGTGGATTTGCTCGCAGGGCTTTCGGGGTTTGAACTGGGGAATATTTCGTAGATCTGCGGTTTCTTGACATGATCAGGAGGACCTGATACCCCAGGAGGAGGGCCTCGCACCCTAGGAGGCTCGTTGTCGTCTTGCGTCATCACTGGCGCTCAAAATACCAAGCTTAAGTTTCTACGGTTCAACATTTTGACTATAAAAATCGCGATTTGGAGCTATGACGCCGCTATGCAGAGGCCCCACTGGGAGTATTCAACTAAACGAGTGAATCGAATTGAGTACTACTATGCATATATAGGGGCACTTTAAGGAACGCGACAATGGTAGTACATAAAACGCGAACGTACATAATGCAAAGACGCGTCTCGCGTTTAATGGGACAGGGGTTTTGTAGCCCATTCCATATCGATTATGGATTCTTTTGGATACAACCGATACAACCACCATACCGAATAGCAAATTTGAAGACTATAACATCAACTACTTCAACAAGATAATTCTCGGGATCTTAATTGGATTGGTTATCTTATTTGAACCCTGCCGTCGCAAATGACGCCCAAAATACCCTGCATTATAACGATACCGTCGCTATAATCGACAATTCTCCTACCGACTCTAATATGCCCAACACATCTCTACGCCGCCCTCAAAAGGGCTATGCTCGGCGGGGAGGCAAGAATGCCTACCATGGTGGTAACCGGACTCGAACATTTGCTGCATCGACTACACGCAACGAGGCTACATCAGCCGACGAGAAAGCCGAACGGACACTCCTTGCGCAGCAAATTGATGAGTCTATGGGGTTTGCCAGATACGAGTCAGGTAGAAGAAAAGAGGGATGGCTTGTCAATGTCCAACCGACGACCGTAGCACTTGGCGACGATCGCGCCCCTGGCGGGAGAGCGGCATTAGACTGCTATTTTATCGAGGAAGACGGACAGACGTTCAAGGCAACAGTCGAATACGAACCATACTTCGTCATTGCGTGCCGAAAAGGGAGAGAGGGTGAAGTCGAGGAATGGCTTAAACGAGTGCCAGGTGGCGGTGTCGTACATAGCATTAGACGAGTCGAGAAGGAGGACCTGTCTATGCCGAACCACCTTCTTGGATATAGAAGGACGTTCCTCGAGTTACGATTTAGGAACGTACAAGATTTAATGAATGCGAGGCGGGATATAATGCCTATAGCGGAGAAGAATAAGAAATCTATGGGCACGGTGGATGTTTATGCGGAGGTTGCATCGTTAGTCTCCCTATTTCCAAAAGGATTTTACTCAAATGTCAAGATACTAACATGAGATATAGCGAACAAGCGGGATTCGACCTATTTGATGATTCACGAGATGACGATGGACGACATAATGCTTCTTTTGCGGATGCTAGCGACTACGTGGTTGATATTAGAGAGTACGACGTACCGTACCACGTAAGAGTAATGATAGATATGGGTGAGTGTATATCACTAGCTTCCGCCACGCCACTATATTATGCTAATGAGAATATTAGATATTCGAGTAGGAAAGTGGTATTGGGTGGAAGTAAAGCATGGCATTACCTCTATAACGCTTAATGAGGAACACATCGTTCAAGCCGACCCTGTAGTAATGGCCTTTGATATCGAGACATCAAAAGCCCCTCTCAAATTCCCCGACGCCGCCATAGATCAGATTATGATGATGTCGTATATGATCGACGGGCAAGGTTTCCTCATCACGAATCGGGAGATCGTGTCGGAGGACATTTCAGATTTCGAATACACCCCCAAACCCGAATACCCTGGAACATTCATGATTTTTAACGAGCCTAACGAGAAAGCTGTTATCGAGAGGTTCTTTTCACACGTCAAAGAGGCGAGACCGACCGTCATTGCCACGTACAACGGGGACTTTTTCGATTGGCCGTTTGTAGAAACGAGAGCAAGCATTAACGGTATCGATATGTACCGAGAGATTGGATGGAAGAAAGATAGTGAAGACATCTACAAGTGCACGTATGGCGTCCATATGGACTGTCTAGCGTGGGTCAACCGAGATTCTTACTTACCCCAGGGTAGTCGAGGTTTGAAGGCTGTTACCGTTGCCAAGCTTGGGTACGATCCAGACGAACTCGATCCGGAACTTATGACACCATACGCAAGCGAAAGGCCTCAGACGCTAGCAGAATATTCAGTTTCAGATGCCGTCGCTACGTACTACCTATACATGAAGTATATCCACCCATTCATCTTCTCGTTGTGTACAATTCTACCTCTAGGAGGCGATGACGTATTACGCAAAGGAACGGGTACCTTGTGTGAGATGTTGTTGATGGTGCAAGCATACAAGCACGAAATCATCCTACCCAATAAGCACATGTCACCTAAAGAGTCTTTCTGGGATGGGCATTTACTTGACGCTGAAACTTATGTCGGCGGCCACGTCGAAAGTATCGAGGCGGGTGTATTTCGAGCAGATATTCCGGTGAATTTTGCTGTTGATCCCGGTGCGGTAGACGAGCTGCTCCGAGATTTAGATGCGGCTCTTAAATTCGTGATCGAAATCGAAGAAAAGAAGTCTCTAGATGACGTTACGAACTATGATGAGGTTAAAGAGCAGATTGCATCGCGGTTGTTACAACTCAAAGAGACACCTAATCGAAATGAGCGACCTCTGATTTACCACTTGGATGTTGCTTCTATGTATCCTAACATCATGACAACAAATCGATTGCAGCCAGACTCAATGATTCAGGAGTCGGACTGCGCTGCCTGCGATTTCAATCGCCCAGGTAAAACTTGCGATAGGAGAATGCCCTGGGCTTGGAGAGGCGAATACCTTCCCGCGAAGCGAGACGAGTACAACATGATTCGGCATGCGCTTGAAAATGAGAAATTCCCAGGTAAACGACCTGGCGGACCTATGCGAACTTTTCAAGAGCTACCAGAAGATGAGCAGGCCGGTCTCATCAGGAAACGGTTGCAGATGTATAGTCAAAAGGTCTATCACAAGATCCGTGATTCGACTACTATCGTCCGGGAGGCAATTATTTGCCAACGAGAAAATCCCTTCTATATTGACACCGTCAGGGATTTCAGAGATCGTCGATATGATTATAAAGGACAAGCGAAAGTCTGGAAAGGCAAGACCGAGTCTCTAAAGTCTTCTGGAGCACCAAGCACAGAGGTTGAATCCGCGAAGAAAATGATTGTCCTTTACGACTCTCTACAACTTGCGCACAAGGTCATTTTAAACTCGTTCTACGGTTATGTCATGCGAAAGGGTTCGAGATGGTACTCTATGGAAATGGCCGGTGTGACGTGTTTAACTGGCGCAACCATCATTCAGTTGGCACGATCTCTTGTCGAACGCCTTGGCCGACCGCTCGAGCTCGATACCGATGGTATTTGGTGTATGTTGCCTGCGACCTTTCCGGAAAACTTCGTCTTTAAACTTAAGAATGGCAAGAAATGTGCTATCTCATATCCTTGCGTCATGTTAAACCATCTTGTCCACGCCAAATTCACGAACCACCAATATCAGACTCTGGTAGATCCAAAAACGTTTAAATATGAAACGCATAGCGATAATTCAATCTTCTTCGAAGTTGATGGTCCTTACAAGGCGATGGTTTTGCCGACATCGAAAGAAGAAGACAAGAACTTGAAGAAAAGATATGCTGTTTTTAATGACGACGGTAGTCTGGCTGAGCTCAAGGGATTCGAGGTGAAGCGAAGAGGTGAACTAAAGCTTATTAAGATCTTCCAGCAGCAAATCTTCAAGTTCTTCTTAGAGGGAACTACTCTCACTGAGTGTTACGCTGCAGTAGCAAAAGTTGCAAACAGATGGCTGGACGTTCTTGACAATAAGGGCTCGACACTAGCTGATGAGGAACTCATCGATCTCATTTGCGAAAACAGAAGCATGTCTAAGACGCTCGAGGAATACGGAAGCCAGAAATCCACATCCATCACGACGGCCAAACGACTGGCAGAGTTCTTAGGCGAGCAGATGGTTAAAGACAAGGGTCTTAATTGCAAGTATATTATTTGTGCTAGACCTCGGAATGCTCCAGTTACTGAACGAGCTGTTCCAGTCGCCATCTTCTCTGCTGCACAGGAGATCAAGCGAACATACTTGACAAAGTGGCTCAAGGAAGAACCCGCCGATACCGACCCTAGGGCGCTTTTAGACTGGAATTATTATTTAGAACGGTTGGGTTCCGTTATTCAAAAGTTAATCACCATTCCCGCCGCGTTGCAGAAAGTTCGTAACCCAGTCCCGCGAGTGGCACACCCAGACTGGCTTCAGCGGCGGATCAACATCAAAGACGACAAGATGAAGCAGAAAAAGTTGACCGATCTTTTCGCAAGTGCCAAGGGACCTCTAGAAGATATAACGAATCTTACAGGTTCGAGGGTAGACGATCTCGAAGATTTCGGGACCAAGTTACTAAAGCCGAAGAGTACAACTGCAGTTATCAACGCATCCCAGCCCCCACCAACAGCAACAAAGCGAAAATCCCCTGAACCAGAAAAGGAGAATACGGATCCTTTTGCGGCTCTCCCGAAGGAGATGCCAAATCCCTCTGATGATTACCCAGCATTTTTGGAATACCAAAAGAAAAAGTGGAAGATCCAAAAGCAGGCTCGGATCCGTCGACGCCACCTCTTTGGTGATCGTCGTGGTAATGCGAGCGGCAACATCCAACACAAATTCCGCCAGAGAGCAGAAGTTACGTTCAGGAATACGTGGCAATTACTTCAGCTCCGAACAACTGACAACCCAGGCGTGGTAGCTGCCTTTGTCTTGATCGACGCAAAGGTTCACTCGCTCAAGATCAAGGTCTCACGACAGGTGTTCCTAAACCTCAAGGGCAAGGATCTCCCCGACATCGAAGTTCAGGGTTGTGAAGTAGAACAAGTCTATCATACCTTGCCAAATGGACACTCGTCAACACACTTGTTCAAAATCACCGTCCCTGAAGATATTTACTTTTCCGAGTCCCAAAAGTTTTCATTGCTGTTCAACCACCCGAGTGTGGAAGGTGTATATGAGAAGCAGGTCCCGTTAAACATTCGAGCAGTGCTCCAACTTGGCAACTCGTGTACCATTGACGAGAGGCAGCCCGGTGTACTTGGAAATGGCTTAGATCAAGGTTTCGATCTTAGGAGCTTAGTAAAGCCGACAAAGCCCAAGGCTTACCTGGACTCTAATCCGCTTGCATACCTCTACATATCACATATCACCGCGGGCGAGAGGCAGATCTTTGGTGTATTCTCTTCAACTAGAGACGAAGCCCATATAGTTATTCTTCAGAAAAACAGGGATGCCGGGCAAGACTTACCTAACGTCACGAAGATCTATAGTGAGATGTTTGCAAAGAGGCGACAAGAAGGGGAGGGTACAAATTGGCAAGAATGCTTTGCCTACCAAGAGAAAGTAACGTTCAAAGTAACTCAGGTGACAACGCGACGAAAGGCACACCTTGAGATCAGTGATCTGATCAAGAAGATGAAGAAGGATGAGTTGAAGCCTCTCATGCTTGTTATTCAGTCATCTCAGCAAAACTTACTAGTTCATGATATTCCCACCCTTGCAGAGTTTCCTATTCTTCCCCTTCGATACGACCAGGCAGACAGCTCTCTTCCCCCTCTTGGTTGGCAATCTGTTGTCGCTAAGCGTCTTGTTTCTCACTACCTCAATCTTGGGTCATGGATTCTTCACCTCACAGCCCTAGCAAGGTATGGCGATATACCCTTATGTAACTTGGAGCGCGACGATCCGAGGTTCCTTATCGACGTTGCGTACGCTCGGCGGTTGCAGTTAAATAACGTAGTGCTGTGGTGGTCTCCGGGCCCCAGGCCAGATCATGCCGGCTATGAGCAAGATGATGTGACAGGTCCACTTGATACGGTCACAATGCCCTCGATCAACACCCCCGGGACGTATGCATCTGTTTGTATCGATATCGAAGTTCGGAATCTGGCTATTAACACTATACTCACATCAGCTCTAATCAACGAACTCGAAGGTGCAGATTCAATTTCCTTCAATCCCGCTGCTGACTCTGCACCATCAGATGGCAACGAGGTTTTGCATTCTGAATCAGCGTTTGCCAATGCCGGAGTACTTGTACTACGTGAGATGGTCAAGTCTTGGTGGGCGGAAGCATGCAAGGGTAGCCCTATGGCCGATATTCTCGTCCAGCATCTAGTACGATGGGTCGAGTCTCCTGACTCTTTCATGTACGACCGAGCATTACAGTATTATGTGCAGATGATGAGCCGCAAAGCCATGCAGCAGCTTATGGCGGACTTCCGTCGGGTCGGTTCTCAAGTTGTGTTTGCGAATTCCAATCGACTACTTCTACAGACAACAAAGTCAGAAGTAGGTAACGCATATGCATACAGCCAATACATCTTGAAGAGTATTAAGAGCAAGCCGCTATTTCACTTTATTGATCTCGAAATTAAGGAGTATTGGGACTACCTAGTGTGGTATGATGAGTTCAACTACGGCGGGAAAGCTTGCCAGGAAGTTATTGAAGCCGAGCAGCAGAGTTTACAGACTATCATGAACTGGCAGATAAAGACCTTCCTACCTCTTCGACTGCAGGACACGTTCCAGCATTGGATTGTCGAGTTTATACAACTTATGCACGGACTCAAACGGCCCTTGATGGTGAACGGAGACCCCGATGCGACACCACGTCTCACGCAGCTACCGTTGCGCAACGGCTCTCAAGCTGATGATGGTGATATCTCGCAAGCCATTCTTGGCAAGAATTTCGAAAAACAACTCAAGAAGGAGATTAGGTCACTCGTCTCGACCCAAGCTCGTGAGCTCCTTCACCCAGAACTAGCGTCGGACTGGTCATTCCCGGTTCTACCAGGTAGCCACATGAAGAACATGCAAAATCGCAATGCAGTACTTGAGCTCGTAAAAAACATTATGCAGGTCCTGTCACTAGACAAGAACATTACCATGGAAGCGCGGTTGCTAAGGAAGGAATTGCTCGCACTATTCGAGGTGCGCGAGTTTAGTAAAGAGGGTGCGTTCGCAAATCCGAGCGAGAGCCTCAAAGTAGCACAATGGAGCTGTCACGAGTGCACCCTCGCCCGTGACTGGGACTTGTGCCGCGACGAACACCTACTACCGGATCTAAATGCCTCTGCCGGTAACAACGAGGCGGAAATACGGAGGGCAGCGGCAGCCAAGACCTGGCAGTGTCCATTCTGCGATGCTGAGCTGGACAGACTGAAGATCGAGGAGAGGTTACTGGCGGATGTGCAGAGTATGGTGGTGGAGTGGAGCACGCAAGACCTGAAGTGTGAGCGGTGCGGCAGCGTGCGGTTGAATGACCTCATGGAGCATTGTACATGTAGCGGTCCGTGGGCGGAGAGTGTTAAGAGGGGCGAGGTGGTCAGGCGGCTAGGTGTATATCAAGGCGTGGCGAGGTGGTTCGGCCTCCGGATGCTAGAGAGTCTTGTCGCGGAAGTCCTGGGGGGGCTTTAGAATATAACTCTAGGACTATTAAGCGTTTCACGTGTTTGTAACGATGTTGATTGTCCTAGGCTCATATACCTTTACGTGATAATTGTACTATTCCTTCACGATTGCTTCTCCCTCGTGATACTTCGGCTCTTTTTATTCCCTTGTACGCTGCAGTCCTCCGCGAACAACCGCAGCTCTACACCGATTAGAATATGACATGTGTCGCAGTTGTTAAAGTCCTATGAAAAGTTCCAAGTTTATCCAACCATTACCTGCTCCGAATTCCGGCCTGTTTCGTTACACTACGTAGTATGCAGCGAAGTATCATTGCCATCGCAGGCGGGGTATTCTTTACAGCCTGATGCCTAAGCCCCTAGAAAGTCCAGCACGGCTCGTGCATCTTAATCCTTCATTTTAAAACATTGCCGTCCGGTAGCCTCGAATTTGAACAGGAGAAAATATGACGATCGTAGGAAAAGCAGACGTTCCGGATAGGAAAGCTTTTCGCGAAGGCTTGAACAGCCGTGATGAGTTGGGCGAGAAGGCCAAGTTCATCACCGCTCACGTATGTATTAACTCGGGGCGTTGTTTCGCCACCACAGGAAAAGGCCAAGGCTAACGTGGCTGTAGCTCGGATGGGAAAGTATCCCGGCGTACTCGGCGACGGAATCGCACGACGGGGGACGGTGTGAGGCATCAGCGCCGTTGCCCGACGAATGCATCATCGTCCTCCTGTACGGGCAGATGCAGCTCGACGACGACGAACGAGTGCTCACGGGGACCAACGTCGCGGTGCGCACGCAAGGGTCCAAGACGCTGAAGATCCTGACGAACAGCGCCGCGGTGTGGTACCCGGGGATGTGCTGCTGGGAGGGGGACGAGTGCTTCCTCGCGACGAAGGGCCAGTGCAAGCGCTTCGGAATCGGTAACGTTAGGGAAGTGAAGAAGAAGCCGAAGAATTCGGCTTGGAGTTGGGTGAAGAAGCTTAGTTTAGGAAGACAGGATAAGGATTCTTAATGGCATCATTGCTACCTACCTACCTAGGTAGGTACCTAGGCAGGGAGCGGTATGTCGGATTGGACGTCTTGGAACTACGGTCTATCTCATTATATGTCTGGCAGTTGGCAAGTGTTTATAACAAGGCATGCCCATGAAGGTGGCGTAATTAGGTACTCTTACCAATGCATGATGGATTCCCTCTAAGGGTTCTCCGGTTACATTCTTGCTAAGGCTGGAGCAGTGAAGCCCTGAGATATTAGTCTTTATTGCTGGGTTTGATTCGGGAAGGGCTATGGACCCGAATACTTTCAATGCTTTCGATGCTGTATTTGTTATGGCTCTTGGTAGCTTACCTTTTGTGTTTACCTCTCTACTCTGTAGCTCATGTGAACTGTCCGACGATATGAAAGTCAATTCAAGGGTGACAGATTGATTCACTGACATGGCCATAGTATGACAGTGGCAGTAACTTCTGATTTAGTCCAACAGTTATTCTCTAGAAGGTTACAATAATGAGGTAGTGAAGATATATATATATTCTAACCTGCGAGGGTAGTCAAGGGGTAAAACTTTGACTTTGAGTAAACGACTCAAGTTATGTTTGAGGTAGATCACAATACTCACCAAATCAATAATCAATGTTTCTACAGCGGGTAATTAGTTTCAACAAAGTAACAAGTACATGAGGTAGTTAGAGGCATAACCCGGGGATTGGTTTCTTGCTTGAGAGTTGTAGCGGGATCCCCGAATCTTTTACTGCGGGTCGGATAAAGCTGTATATAGCCAAAGAGAAGGAAACATCTTCGAAGATCACGACCTGTTTTCATAGTTCTTAAATGAACATGGTTGTTCTTCATATATCCGAGATTTTTCACCAGGGCAGAATGATGAGCATAACGTTAACCTATTATTCTAATTTTGCGCGATTTCTTTCAGGCCCTCACATACAAGACCATGCGCGCTATTGAACCCTATGGCTACCTGGCACTCTTTGGGATACTTGCTAGAGCAAGTTACCTGGCTGAAATATGTCCTCGGAGCCCATTGGGTGAAATAGGAGACGGAACCTGCGCTGGGTTTGAATTAGGACAGAAACGAATTTTGAGCAAACTCTCGGGGGCCAACTTAGATTGGGAAGGCCCAGAGCATTGTGTAAACGAAACATGTATCTTCTCAAACGACCACATTGGTGATGGCATCGTACTTATCACGAGCGAAATAAATGCAAAAATTGCAAGCAACTTCCCAGTCACGACCAATAATGGGGCGGCAACATTACCGTTCCACGCGGCAGAAGTTCCCGGAAAGGGCGTTGGTATTGTTGCCGATAGAAAAATACGTAAAGGTGAAACTATTCTCATACGTTCCCCGACGATGATGGTGCAGACCGCCCCTCACGTTGGAATGGAGTCTGGGATCAGGGGTGTGCTATACGACCTCGCCGTGGGAAAGCTTCCGGTTAGAGGCCGAGAGCTTTTCATGGGCCAGATGGGCAAGGACGTTTACGATAAAATAGAGACAAACTGCTTTCAAATGTACATCGACGGGGCAAACGACTCTGGTGGCCACCTAGGGTGTTATCCGGAGGTATCTCGATTCAATCATGACTGCCGGCCAAAGTAAGCTTATTTCCAGAAATTAAATTGTAAATATAAAAATGGCTAACAACAATATCGTCACTTAGTATCCACTATCGTATCTCTAACATGACTCATATCACAGTTGCCGCGCGTGATATAGAGCCTGGTCAGGAGCTAAGTATCAGCTATATCGAACTAATGCTCCCACGAGAAGAGCGTCGTTCTCGCCTACGAAGTTGGGGGTTTGAATGCGCTTGTTCTCACTGCAGCATGAGCGACGAAGAGGTCGCTGCTTCAGATGCGAGAATTTATAGGATCGAAGAATTAGAAACCGCCCTAGAGAATTTCAACCAGACTATCGTAACTGCAGAAACTGGGGCGCAACTAGCAGAATTATACGAAAGGGAAAGACTAGATGTCTATCTCGGACGGGTATACACGCGGGCGGCGCTTAACTTTGCACTATTCGGTGAAGAGAAGAAGGCGCAAAAGTACGCGCTGGCTGCGGTAGAAGCCGTCGAAAGAGAGTTGGGACCAAATGCGGCCGATGCTAAGGCCATGAGAATTTTGGCTGAGAATCCCAAAGAGCATTGGACTTGGGGGAAGCGGAGAAGAGGAAGTTTGGGAAAGGGGGAGGGAAGATGATCCTTCGAGGCGATACTTTGAACTGGTTTCCTGCTCAGTATGTCGACACTCTAAGTTAACCAGGTAATTACTACCGAGATGTTGAATGTCGTAGTTACTTGACGCGTATTATATAGGTACCTAAGATAGTCTTTATTGGACTTGCCTTTCTTATACCCCCCTTCCATATTACAAGCAGCGATTTATTGACGCATCTATAACTTACCTACCTACCTATACATCATCTTAAACAACAACCTTACAACAGAGCTTCGACCAAACAAGGCAATATATAGGCAGCGTGTTAATATCAAGTATAACACTGAAGCTCCTATCTCTCTAATACTACTTAACAACCTAATTGCGATGGCAGAGACAACATTTTTTCTCTTCCCCGAATTTCCGCCGGAACTTCGCTGGCTAATTTGGCGCGAGGCTTTACCGAAACACACTGGGCCGAGTCTGTTCTTCTTCAAACAAGGATGTTGGCGGCTAGAACTCGAGAGTCATATGCTAGAGACAGGCGATGTAGAGATGTGCTTCGACCACGAACTATTGGACGACGATGTTCAATTTGACGTGCCTCTTTTCTACGTCAGCCAAGAGGCTCGTATTGTTACGCTGAGTTGGTTCCGCGAACATGTAAGTACTGTGAATCCCTAATCCTCTAAACTAGCATAATTAGCCCTGCCTAACGTTCGCAGGGCATCAAGATCAAACTGGACGAGAATGGCCATCATATTTTCTCGCGCTCCTTCAACCCTCGGCGCGATGCATTATATATAATGCCCGAAAGGTGGCATTCACTCCACCAAGGAAACGCGAATGATATGGAGGGTGAACCTTTCGTCATTAAATCAGAACCTGAGCATCTTGCCGTGTCTCTGCGCGCTTGTCTGCATCCCGTCATCATCGATATGCTACCAGAAGCGATGTGGTGGTACAGAAAAGCTACGGAGTTCCTGCTAATTATCGGCGAGGAGCCTGATCAGCAAAGGGGACTTGGACAGTGGGAATTGACCACTTTAAAAGAGGGAGTATTCATCTGGAATAGCGATAGTGGTGACTTTGAATTTCGAGGAACAGGCGGGAATAACGTCGAAAATGAGGCTGCTTATGAGAACGTGAGGGATGCTCTTCGTAATGAAGAATTGTTAGAGCGACTTCTTGACTTAGATATCCAGACTCTGGAGATTCGACTTGCACTTGTTATCAGAAGATAGAAATGCATGGGAGAGCTTATGATTCCCAGGTGAGAGGCTTGTAATATGAAACTACCGCTTCTACATCATGTATTTTAGATTTTCATTTGAATTAAATGAAATCGCTACGTGTGCTGTATTGATCGATGAAGAGGAAAATTTCTTAGTTACCTCGTAATGATTGATTGGTTTGCCAACACCAGAATTCGCTCGAGGGTTCCCATCGATAAGACCATAAGTCAGTCGACATCCCATCCCGCGATTTGTTGAAACTGTTCCTACATAGAGGCCTGTCGTTTAATACTGCAACCTGTCGTGCTTTGCTAGCATGCCCCAACCGAATAACATAACATAATAACTTTACTATATAATTCCTTGAACACCACGCCAGCAGACCTACGATAGTATTTGAATGTGTAAATGTATTGCATTTAGCTTCTCTTGGTTAACCGTGTTGGGCATTTGTTAACTCCACTTACCTCGGCTAGCAGGGTATCTATCTTCTTCCTTCGCGCCCAACACTTTTTGACAAGCCTGACAAGCTTGACAACACTCTACCCCTATCCACACTGTTGAATCACACTAACCAAATCGGACTTGTTATGTATTGACGACTTGACTTCAAGTTTTGTAATTCTTCCAATATTATATCTAATTATACTTATCTATTATTTATTTCGGTTGCAGCTTGTGATTATATCTATCCGTCAATCTTAGTTTGTTCGTACTCATCGACTTTCTCTTTTGTAGGCATGGCAGGGAAGCAAAAGGGGCTACCGGGGTTTACACCTATCTCCGATTGGATATTCATCCGCAATGAAGATTCATCCGAAAGCACCGAGAAAGTACCAAGTGATCACCCTACAACGATTATTATATACGGATGGGGTGACGGTCACCCAAAGAATGTCGCTAAATATGTCGATGGCTACAATAAGCTATTCCCAGGAGCTCGCATCTTGATGGTGATATCATCAACTTTTGCAGCTACATATCAGTCGCTTGACCAAAGGACGAAGGATATGATGCCTGTTGTCGACACCGTGTTTCCTACTCCTGATGATGACTCGGCGAGAATAATTTTGCACATCATGTCTAATACCGGCGGTATTTATGCTGCCGCAACATTGAACGCCTACCAAGAGCGCCACGGAAAAGACAAGGCTCTTCCGCATCATCTATGTATAAACGATTCTACCCCCGGCAGTCTTGACTTCGCCAAAGAAGTAGGACGGTGGTCGAAGGCAATGGCAGTAGGAACGGCCAAATGGTTCCCATGGCCGTTTGCAGTAACGCAGCGGATGTGGTGGACATTCTTATATACAATGTACCTCATTGAGAAGGCCATTGGAAGAGAGCCTTCCGGGGTCTATAGCTCCAGGGTGTTCTTGGATCACTCGATAGCAACGCCTAAAGCTCCTAGAGCGTACCTGTACTCCAAGAAGGACGACATTATTTGGTGGGAAGACGTCGAAGCGCACGCAGAGGTAGCAAAGAATAAGGGTTACAAGACGATGTTGGAGATGTTCGATGACTCGCCACACGTCGGCCACATGAGGGTGCATCCTTCTCGATATTGGTCTACAATAGAAGCCCATTGGAAGACAACCATGGCGTTAGAGTAAACCTTGATTATACCTAATAGATTCTGAACTACAAGTCTTGGCATAGAATGAAGATATCACGATGTGGCCTCCAAATTCTACTTCGTGTATAACTACGAGGTTTAACAATGTAATACCGCGTATAATAAGGTATGTTGACGTGAACTGAAACGGCATATTTAGGTGAAGAACTGCGTTCTACCTATCAAGAAGGTATTCTCAAGGCCTGCTCTATATTAATTAGTGATCCTAACCCTTATTTTTATTCGCGTGAAGCCGGAGTTGTAGGCGTGGCCCGGATTAAGTCCTCCTTTTCATCGATCTGCGGGACCAACCGTTCTACCCCGCGGGTTGACTCCCAGTGGACTGTGCCATACCTGTACATCTCGCCGAAGGTGCCGGGCCTATGGTCTGCATCCGCGAATTCCTTCTTCTTCACAAGGTCTCCCAGCGCGGGCAGCCCGCCTGCCGAATTATGGTATACTTTATACATGTGGCTTTTCTCCAACATCTCTACTATGAATGCTTCGGCCGCCTGCCTCTTTGCTTCATCTGGTTCGTCAAGCCGAGTAGTAAAGAGCTCTACTTGTCTAGCTCCGTCGTATTCTGTCTTGATCGCACCTAGCACGCCGTTCAAAATCCCCTCCACCATAAATACCTTGTTCTTGTAATACTCGCGTCCGTTCCAGTCCGTGTTCAGATCGAGCAGGTTTCTCGTTCGGTCGCCAATAAGCATCTGCGCCACGTAGTCGCTCATCTCTTTGACCTTATCCTCGAAATTCCAATCGGCCATCCCCTCAGCAAGCCCGATGTCCCGCATTAGGGGTATTTGATGGAAACCATCTGCATTGGTGCGTCCCTCCCACAGCTGTTTGTAACCGTTGTGCCAATTTTTTATAAAAATGCAGCCTTTTCGTGCGGCCATCATGTAGTTTCCAAAGCTGCCCCATTCTTTTCTAATCTGCCCGGTGATAATCCAGACTGCCATCTCGTAAGGTGTATCCGGAGCTGTGAGGTGGTCCCAGAATAGGGGGCTGAGATGAGTGTGTAACATATTTCCGACATCCATCCAGACACCTCCATGCTCGAATAAAAGCGGCAGCCTCACGAGATCAGCAGAATGTTGTGCCGCATGTCTGCCGTCCATCGTCCGGTTTACGAAACAGTCAGGAAACCAGTCTTCAGAAACATAGTTGTAGATGTTATTCGGTGAGTCCTCGACAAGATCTACAAGGCGAACTTTCCAGGACCTGCCGAGCTTTCTCACCCAGTTCACCACGGTACATCTATAGCTTGGGTACATATAATCGATACCCTTATCCCAGAAAGCCCATACATTCTTCTCTGAAGTGATGGGTCGAAAAGAACGGAGTTCGTTTATGATTTCGGATTCGGGCCGTAGGTCGAGTTGAGTGTCAGGCACTACGCGGAGACTACTTGCTGATTTTGGTGGTTCGAATTCAGCCATCTTAGCCAAAGAGGTCGTTTTGAGCTTTGTGTAAGGTTATGATGATGTCGTTATATTACATTCTTAAAGTTGAGCAGCGATATTTATATTTGTAGGTGGTGGGTAGTATTAAATATGATTCATGGGTGCCTTCTCGAAGTCATATATGAGCCCCTTTTAGCCAATAGGTTGAGTAGTATGGTTCATCTTAGTATCTACGGCTATACCTGAAGTCAGATGCGCAACTAATACTATTACCAACTAAACCTACCTTATACACATCTATCAATCATTAATCAATTATAAAAATTGTGGCTATAAGAGTTACGTACGTTTACACCTAAATTTGTATGCTAAGTGATGTACTGCATGCAGCGGGCGCTAAGGGGCACCAAATTACAAGGGCTGCATTTCCGACTAAAATGGCCATTGGCACTATGATTCATAATGATGGGACTTGAAATCACTTCTCAGCCCAATGGGGCTGAGCACGTTGTTTATTCAGCTAACCCCAATGCTACCCTGTAGGTACCTGGCCTAACCATGCACCTGAGGCTACTACATAGGTAGGCTATGGGATTTAATTTATAGAACGAGATTGTTCAAAGTGATTCATTCTGATCATAAGTTAATGTTTTTTAATGCAGGGACGTGTGTCACGCGAAACCGTGTCGTTCAATGACTTGTCAGGGTTAAAGCTGTCGTATAGTTAGACCAATAGTTGAAAATGTTAAAACTATAAGAATCTTCGTCAAGACCTACAAAAGCTCAAACCTATTGATACTCGTGGTGAATCTTTGTAGTATACAGTAGAGCATCCGCAAGTAAATCATCATGGAGTACCTTAGGGATAAGTCCGAATACTTTGACCTCGACGCCGACTTCAAGCCTTTACCTAAGTATGGCCATCTATCGGAAAAAACACCCGAGTATATAGCAGTTGAGTCCGCCATCGACGCTGCATATTCGCCACTTTGGGCGTCACCCGATTTCGCGGCCTTTAGACAGGCAGCAGGCGACCCGGACGCCGCTCTGCCCCCTGGCGGACCCGATCGGTATCGCGATATTACGACGGAGCTGCTCCAATTTCCTGCCCGCGACGGTCACTTAAACGAATTGAAAGTTTACAAGTCTCACAATGTTGCGCCAGACGCAACTCTAGTGTATCGCATGCACGGCGGTGGTATGGAACATCGGACACAACTCCCTTTCCTTAGCTATACTCTGTTGACCTTCTGCATTTTAGGCTTTGTGATCGGACGACATGAGGTAGACGGTGCCGAAAACGTTTATGCGGCTACAAATCCCAACATTGTTGTAGTTAGTGTAGATTACCGACTGTATGTATTTTATGTCATCTGTTTCCTTCGACCTAGCTAACCCCAAAAAGAGCGCCCGAGTTTCCCTTTCCGCGGCCGGTCGAAGATTGCTACGATGGATTATTATGGGTATGTTCGCCGACTTAGCGAGCTACAATTAAAGGTCATACATTATTAACTCTGTGCTGTAGTGTAAAGAGAACGCAGAAATTCTCGGAGTTAATCCAGAGAAGATCATTGTTGCCGGGAGTAGCGCGGGAGGTAACCTCGTGAGCTTCCACAGTGGTGCCTCTTTTGGCTATATATTGGGTAGTTTTACCTGCTAATACTATTACTACCTAGGCTTCGGTCATGGCCATAATGGCTAGGAAAAATGGCATTTCCGGCATTATTGCTCAAGTCCTTCACTTTCCCACGGTCTGCCATCCTAAATTCTTCCCCCGGGATAAATATGAATACGGCAGCTACATTCAAAACTCGGAAAATCCTGTTCTTAGCACCCTAAGGATGGAGGCTTTCCTTAGGGCCTATAATCCTAACCCTAAACCTGACTACAGGCAGTCGCCTCTGCTTGCAGAATCACTTACGAATCTTCCGCCAGCGTGTAAGAGAATTCTCACCTATCCCCTTCTCTAAACAACACCCTGTCCCATTTTCAAATCTTTTAATTATAACTAACTGGTATTCCGTTCACTCTGTTTTTAGTGATACAATGCGCAGGGTACGATATTCTCCGGGACGATGCTTTCGCATATGCCGAAGCTCTTAAGGCTGCGGGTGTTGACGTTGAGATATACGGTTATCAAGGTGTACCGCACTGTTTCCCTGCTGTTATCCTGACCCATCCTAGCACACCGATATTCTACAAGAGGTTTAACGGGTTCTTAACGAAGCATGCTACTGCATAGTAGTTCCGGTCATGGGAAATGAAGTAACTATGGAAATAGGGGAATACGTTTGATAAAAGCTTGGCGCGCGTGGTAAACCAAACGTTTGTTTAAGTATAATAAGATTCTTATAAATCCCTGTCGCACATATTAAGTAATGGCATTTATGACATTACAAGATACCTTTTGGTAATGTGGTCAATCTGACAATTCTTTATCACTGAGTTTGGATAAGCCATCAGCTTGGCACGGAGTTTCTCGCGTACCTTATTTTATTTGGTTATGGGTTTCACTATTGATTGATAAGATATACCAAAGAAAATAGTTCCACCAGGAATCGAACCCCCGTCTTTGTAATGATAGTCACCCGGAATATAGGAGGTTATTCGGTCCTTTCCAATAGACTTATCGCTATGTGGGAATCGACTCCTTGGCGCGGAGTTTCTACATAGGTACCTAACCTAGGTAGGTACCTAAGGTTTACGACGCAAACTCTCAATCACGCAATTTTGCGCGCCAATGGCAAATGCCGTCTTGAACGCAATTATTACCGAGTTTTCTACGGAAATCGCCTTCAAAAGTTATAACCATACCGAGCGGATGTCAGCTCTGAGATTATGAAGTATATGAAAATATACCTTTTACTATACGAGTTATCACACAATCAAAAGTATTGGGAGAATAGTCTTTTCAAGGACAAAATAAATTTAAAGTCTTGAATTTATTACTGTATAATATTTAATAAAATGGTCTTTATGTATATTTGCATTATAAGAAGGAGATCAAAGTATAGCTTATTTGGAAGTACATTTATCATCATGCATCATGACGGACAGTTGATGCCAAGCATTGCCAAGTGCCAAGCTGATAGGGACTTCCGTAAACCAACAAAGTTTTTCTTTTTTTTTTCTTGAGCGCAAAATATCATAAGAGTCCGCTAACATCGTGTCCGCTGCTCGTATGGTTCTCCTCTAAGAAATAGGAAATATTTTGTGAAGCAAGCACTCACTCACTATTAAATCTTGTAACTTTGTTGTTTTGATGCGGCAAAGCGTCGTGACCCTTTCCTACCATGAGTAGTAGCCCCAAGGACCCTGATCGGTCCATCTTGCAACCGTATGACGAACCTGATCAGGATGACTTCCGCTCAATTGATCCCGAGTCCGGGGTTAAACGCGGCCTAAAGACGCGACATTTGTCAATGATGGCTTTGGCCGGAATCATTGGACCCGGACTTTTAGTCGGCAGCGGAAGCGCATTGTCTGGCGGTGGGCCGGCCTCGTTGTTGATTGGCTTCGGCGTCATCGGCATAATTGCTTTCAGGTACCATCGCATGCCCCTCCGTAACAGTATGCATACCTACCTATCTATCTGGTGCTGACCTTCAAAAACAGTATTATGCAAAGCTTAGGCGAGCTGACCACTCTTTATCCATCGGGAGGAGCATTTACTCAGCTTGCGGCTCGGTTTGTGGATCCTGCATTTGGTGTTGCTGTTGGATGGAACTACTTCATCATCTGGTTCACTGTCCTTGCCAACGAGTATAATGCTACGAGTAGCATCCTCGTATTCTGGAGTGACAAGGTACCCATATGGGGATATTTTCTGATCTTATGGGTATGTATTAGGTTACTCTTATTGGACTTTCCAATCAACTTCTTTAATCACCTTGCTGACTTTTTCCCAGACCGCCTTCTTACTATTCCAACTCCTGGGTGTTTCTACATTTGGCGAGGCTGAGTTTTGGCTAGCTCTTATTAAACTTTTAGGATTGGTAGCATTCTACCTATTTTCCATTGTGTAAGTTTGGATCCGCACGAAATAACATCAGCCAATATGCTAACAACCGTAGATACGTGTCAGGCGGAATCAGTGGGGCAGATGCTATAGGCTTCAGGTATTGGCATGACCCAGGACCTTTTGCTGATGGCTTCCGTGGTGTAGCTAAGGTCTTCGTTTTTTGTTCAACATTCTATGCTGGTGTTGAGTCGGTGGCTGTGGCTGCCACTGAGACCAAGAACCCTGGGGTTGCTGTCCCGCATGCAATTCGCCAAGTCTTCTGGCGCATCATATTCATCTATATGGGCGCAGCCTTCTTTTTCGGTCTCACCTGCCCAGCAAATGCTGATCAGCTTGTTAATGGTACCAGCCGCGCTTTGTTGAGTCCAATGACCGTTGCGATTCAAAATGCAGGCTGGCAAGGTGGCGTGCATCTCATAAATGCCTTTGTTCTTATCACTTGCATTTCTGCTATCAACAGTTCTATCTACATTGCATCGCGGACCCTGCTATATATGGCACAGCAAGGAATGGCCCCATCTTTCCTCGGGTGGACGGACAAGAGGGGAGTACCAATTCCCGCCATCACTATGGCAAATGCATTCGGCGCCATATCTATGATGAACGTTTCAACCGGTGCTGCTAAAGCCTATGGGTACATTGTCAATTTGAGTGGTGTTTCAACTTTCCTGGTCTGGGGGTCTATTTCTCTCACTCACATTCGATTTCGCCAAGCTTGGGAGGCACAGGGTTATCAAGTCAAGGATCTACCGTACATTTCTCTTTGGTATCCCTGGAATGCTTATTTTGGCTTAGGAGCGAATATGTTTCTGGCGTTAGTACAAGGTTGGTCTTACTTTTCTCCCTGGGACGCCGGCGGCTTTGTTGATGCCTACATTCTGTTGCCATTGTTTTTTGTGATATATATTGGATATAAACTCGCTTACAAAACAAAATTATGGAAGAATGAGGAGATCGATTTACAGTCGGGGAGACGTCGTGATTTAGACGAAGACAAGGAGATCACCGAGGCTGAAATAGGGGGTTCCCAACCGTGGTGGCGTCAGCTTCTAAAAAATTTCTAGAGCTTTTCTTCTAAATATGGATCATTTACCCATCAATTATTATACAATTGTTATATTAGTAGAAATAATGCTTACCCCTGAAAATGAAAGGCAAGTTAATGCCCCAATTTGAAATTAGTGCTTAGCATAGAATACGCTGCAATTTTATAGTCATTATCTTGATCTAAAAGATCCGTATTATAATTATGAGGTTCTTAAACTACCCTGATTATATGAAATAGGTAAGTGTTCTATTTCATGGATCCCCTTCCTTAGAAACTAGGATGATATATCTTCACGTCTTCGCTTTAAGAATAGTCTAGACAATATAGTCATGCAATTTAGTTTAGGTAGTGACCTATTACCATTAAAGACACATCAAGATACACCAAGACTGTTATCGAAGAGCTTTAACGTAGATATTTATACGGGATGGAGATTCAAGGAAGGAAACATGCATATAATTAACCATGGTATCTTCGGCAAGATGTATCAACTTCGCTTTAAATATTATTAGAACTCTGGCCGGACCGAAAATTCCTGTTGCAATGCTGGATATCCAATCCTTAGTGACACATACATGATATATATGCAAACAGTGAATTGTTTTCAATATTATTATAGTAAATATCTCATACTCAAAATCAGGTAATTACTAGATACCTAATGCTACATTTGAAGTCATAATTGAAATATTCAAATCCACAGCACCCCTAATTATGCGTCGCGAAAGCGAGCCAACTGCAAGGCTAAGACTCCAAGTTCTATCAATTCAAAACCTAAAATCTAAGGGTACACGCGCTCCTTCGTCACTGGTGTACAATAGGAAAAGGTAACCTTACACAGGTAGTGACGCATCCCAAGTTCGCATCTGAATCACTCTGCTCATCATTGTGCGATAGAAATCTACCACTTTCGAGAAGTATATGCAAGGAATTTCGCGACAATGAATAATTGTTATATATAGAAACTTTAGCAATTTTTATATTTGGTTAATGTAAGCAAGAATAGCCAAGGGAGTAGTACAGCAGCCATTCACTAGCGAGTCAAGGAAAACACAAAGAGACGAGGAAGTTGCTAATGTTTGTGATGCATTGCTTGACGTGTCTTAAACAAAGTGTAAGAACCTCTGTTGGGACTCATGTCTGGTGATCGTACTGCCATTAGGTAGGTAGTCAACGGAACACCTCGCCTCCAACACGTCTTGTACGTGGAAATCAGCTTACACGCCAATACCATTCACTATTTTCATATCCATATATAAACCCCTATCTCACGGAAGATATGCACCATATTCCAAAGCGAAATAGACCCCCTTCACTACTACCTAGAGCCCGTCAAGGAAAATTGAAACCCCTTTAGCAATTGCGCGACGTCTTCCGAAAGATCTACTCAACGAACAAGATCAACTCCTTACAGCTGCCACCATGTGTACCCAACATCAGTGCGAGATCAAATGCCCTGATTGCGGGAAGATTACGGGTACTACTATGGCAGACTTTGATTTCTGTAAAGATGTAAGCAGCAAGTGCAAAATTGTCAAGAAAAACACCTACGTGAGATATGAGATCTGCAACGGGTGTAAGGCCGAAAGAATGGGAAAAGAGAAGGAACTTGAAGAGGAAATGAAGCAGAAAGGATGGAGAATGTGAGTAGTGTGACGCAACTGGAGGAAATGTTGATTTACAGGCCGAGATAGAAAGCACTGCATTTACTAGGACGTCGCGGTCTTGGGGATATTGATTAATTCTTAACTAGATGTTCAGCTCTTCTGCGAGTACTGATGTTGGGAATGATGTTGATCAATTAAGAATCTCATGACTCCACCTTCATCTGTAGAAATCTTAAATATGTCCTCATCACTTGCATCTTAACTGTGACAATCTTGGGTGAAGATTAATAGTGAACCTCTGCCTATGAGAACTGCAGGTTACAATATTAGAATCATCTATAAAAGCGCAAATATATTAATAAGCTACCTAGTTATGATAGGCCATTATATATTATAGAGTTGATTTGCAGCATGAGGTAAGCTTCATTGCGACTGAATAATACATATATGGTAGATCCAGACTATTAATAGCCCACCCCGCAAAGACATCCGACCTAGGCTTTTTACCCCTTGTATCCGTGAAGTCGCTATGCAAGACGCGGCCATACCCGTTATTATTGAATAAT